CGGGTTTAGCGCAGTTGTGTGGGAGTCGCAGTGGAATGCACCACGGAAAAAAAACATCAAAGGACACCGTAACCCACCCCCCACTCAGTCACCACCCCCACCCAGCTTGTCTTTTTTACGTAGCTCTATATCTCTATGAGTCGAAATGTATCTCTATGAATATGTGTATCTCTATGAGTCTCTGGATTATATGTGTCTCTTTGTATTTGTATCAGTCCACGTATCTCTGAGTCTCTATGTATCTCTATGTATCTCTGAGTGACTGAGTCTCTGTGTATCTCTATGAGTCTGTGTATCTCTATGAGTCTCTGTGTATCTATATGAGTCTCTGTGTATATCTATGAGTCTCTGTGTATCTCTATGAGTCTCTGTGTATCTCTATGAGTCTGTGTATCTCTATGAGTCTCTGTGTATCTCTATGAGTCTCTGTGTATATCTATGAGTCTCTGTGTATCTCTATGAGTCTCTGTGTATCTCTATGAGTCTGTGTATCTCTATGAGTCTCTGTGTATCTCTATGAGTCTCTGTGTATATTTATGAGTCTCTGTGTATCTCTATGAGTCTCTGTGTATCTCTATGAGTCTCTGTGTATGTCTATGTATCTCTATGAGTCTATATGAGTATCTATGTATTTCTATGTATCTCTATGAGTCTCTATGTATCTCTATGAGTCTCTGTGTATCTCTAAGAGTCTCTGTGTATCTCTATGAGTCTCTGTGTATCTCCGTCTCTATGGGCTTTCTATCCGGTCCACGGCAGGGCTGTCGTCCAAGTTCAGAAGTTCTGACCTCGAGCTTGACCTCATGGTACGGGAAGAGGGTGTGGCTATCTGCGTGCTGCCTGCCCAGTGGGCGGAGCTATGTAAAAGTAGGCGGGGCAGTGCTAGACATCGGGTGAGTGTGGTTATGTAAGTGTTGAGTAGTTCCTGACGGACGTACTCGGAGACGGAGGTAAGTTAAGGACTTCCGCCAGGGTTTAGTAAAGCTGTTACAATATTACACAGCAGGGTACACAACTCCCTGGGGCTAGGGGTCCTACTCTGAGTCCGGGTCCCTGCCGGCTAGCTCCGGTCTCTCTCTCTCTCGTGTCGGATCGGGGACTCTGCCGACTCCACCGAGCGGAGAGAGAAGCACCTCTACGGCTACTACCACCGGCTTCTCCCCAGCAGCATTAGCATCATCATTAGTAGCACCATCAGCAGCAGCATCATCATCAGCTTCAGTAGCATCAGCAGCATCATCAGCATCAGCAGCATCATCATCAGCAGCATCATCAGCATCAGCAGCATTAGCAGCATCATCAGCATCAGCAGCATCATCATCAGCACCATTAGTAACACCATCATCATCAGGGTCCGGGTCCCTGCCGGCTAGCTCCGGTTTCTCTCTCGTGTCGGATCGGGGACTCTGCCGACTCCACCGAGCGGAGAGAGACGCACCTCTACGGCTACCACCGGCTTCTCCCCAGACTCACCACTCGATCCCTCTCTCTACCCCTGGTTCCCTCTTCACCCTGCTTACTTTACCCGTTACCACAGTGACCCCGCTTACGTCACGGGGTATCCCTTAAGTACCCTAGGAGACGTGACGTCATGTGCATTGTCCAGCGCACGTGGCCCCACGCCCCGTGACGTCATCAGCACTGGACAGCGCACATGACGCTACTACTCTACTCCTCTACATAAGGGAGGGAGTGAGGGGGCTGCCTCCTCCACCAGGTGTCCGAGGTGAGTGTTGCTCCTCCTCCTTACACGGCTCCACCAATTCCTTGGGATACGTTGATTAATCGAGGCGCTGGCATTAAACGACAACGTAGGCGCACACTAAATGAGTTTGAGCTGGTGGACTGTAATTGGCTGACGGGTTTTATTCAACACGTGATGGTGCACATATTTGCGTGGTACTAAAACCCGATGAATTCCGGCCCGGATTAAATTTTTTTTTCTGTTGTGATTGGTTTTATAAACAACACCGTGTGTGGCATTAAAAAGGTAAACAAAAAACAGCATTAGGCGACATTTGATGGCCCTTCGCAGCACATACAACCTATTTAAAGTATTTTTTTAAATTTCATTAGATAAGGCCCACTGAGCAATATAGCTTTTTTCAGTAACGACCTTGCCACCCACAAATGATAGCTCAACGATGTGGCTTATCATGCGGAAAGTTACAGCAACCAAATACTCTAAACGCGTGACGTTGATTCTAAATGTGGAGGGAACAACCTGGAAACCCGGAGAAAAATTCACGCGACCACAGCGAGAGAGAGAGACGCGCAAACTCCAAATATACAGCAGCAGGCGTCAGAGTCGGAATCGCATCCACGACATCCTGTATATCTGGCGAGCTAAATTTCGATTTAAAGCTTTCGTGACTGCAGGGATTCATCTTCTTGGTTCTTTCGGTAAAGTCACGTAGAATGGAAACAATAAAAATAATAAAATAAAACATTCAGACGCTGTCTCCCCGACAGACCTGTTCTTCACCTGAGGACGGCTGCTTGCGTTGTGGCCGAAACGTCGTGAGAATTATTTTATTATGTTTTATTTTATTATTTTTATTGTTTCCATTCTGGCGAGCTAGTTAACATCTCGCCACCGTGGCGCAGAGAGACAGCGTCGACGATAAGAATTGGACAATGCAGTCGCTTACACCACGGGTGCCTGATGAGAATGACATTTCGAAAAAAATGTTTTACTGATGACACCAGTTTTCAAATCGGCGTATGAATCGTGACCTAATAGCTCCTGGGTAACAGATAGAGCCTGGGGTGGGATGGAGTGTCTAGTCATTTACAGATGTGAATAGTTGGAACTCTTCCAGCGGGTGTCGTGATGCGCTTGCGGCAATCGTAAAACATGCGGAGAACGTGAAATCTCCATAAAACATTCCCCGAGTGGGCATGTTATTTATGTAGTTAGCTCGTGTTGCCGATGAAAATCCAGGGGAATGGCATGCCGATTAATCTCCCCACTGTCAATTCGCGCTCCCCTGCCTCTCCCTTTCGTCTCCCTCGCTTCGACACGAAATATCCTCTCACTCACCCCACACCCACTCCACACACTCTCCTACCTCTCCACTCTCACCCCCCCCACTCCACACACTCTCCTACCTCCCCCCCACTCCACACACTCTCCTACCTCTCCACTCTCACCCCCCCCCCACTCCACACACTCTCCTACCTCTCCCCCCCCCACTCCACACACTCTCCTACCTCTCCCCCCCCCACTCCACACACTCTCCTACCTCTCCTCTCTCACCCCCACTCCACACACTCTCCTACCTCTCCACTCTCATCTCACTCTACTCCCCTCCACGAACTTTCCTACCTCTCCCTCGCATCTCACTCTACTCCCCTCCACACACTCTCCTACCTCTCCACTCTCATCTCACTCTCCCCCCCCCCTCCACGAACTCTCCTACCTCTCCCTCTCATCTCACTCCCCTCCACGAACTCTCCTACCTCTCCACTCTCATCTCACTCTCCTCCCCTCCACGCACTCTCCTACCTCTCCCTCTCATCTCACTCCCCTCCACGAACTCTCCTACCTCTCCCTCTCATCTCACTCCCCTCCACGCACTCTCCTACCTCTCCCTCTCATCTCACTCCCCTCCACGCACTCTCCTACCTCTCCCTCTCATCTCACTCCCCTCCACGCACTCTCCTACCTCTCCCTCTCATCTCACTCCCCTCCACGAACTCTCCTACCTCTCCCTCTCATCTCACTCCCCTCCACGCACTCTCCTACCTCTCCCTCTCATCTCACTCCCCTCCACGAACTCTCCTACCTCTCCCTCTCATCTCACTCTCCTCCACGAACTTTCCTACCTCTCCCCTCTTATCTCACTCTCCCACCCTCCACGAACTCTCCTACCTCTCCCCTCTTATCTCACTCCCCTCCCCTCCACGAACTCTCCTACCTCTCCCCTCTCATCTCACTCTCCTCCCCTCCACGAACTCTCCTACCTCTCCACTCTCATCTCACTCTCCTACCTCTGCGCTCACGTCTCACTCGCACGACGCTGTTGAACGTCGCTTCTCACGGACCAGCGAGGAGGAGTCCCCCAGTGGAGCTGCTGGGCGAGGCGACGAGTCGTCCTCGCCTGGGAGGTGACCTTGGCTGACCCCGGGCATCACCTGGGCAGGTCACTAAGGTCACCTGCGCGGGTCACCTGGTCAAGACTGTCAAGGCGGAAAGCACCAACACCTGCTAGAGGCACCGCCGCCTCTAGTAATCGCTCTCACGGCACCGACACCGATCCACTGTCTGTATGAAGACCTCCCCAAATCCCCCCTCTCATCACGATCCTGCGACCCGTGCAGGAATCCACACTCGAGGGCCATGACGCAATCCTCGCTCCGTCTCCTCGGTGTGCGTGGTACAATACCAACAACGTGTAAACAATTGCACGTGCGCAGCCTTCACAAGCTCCCCGGATCTCAAAATACAAACACGCCCACCCCTTGCCGATGGGTAGAGGGGGGGGTAGATCTTGATCCCGAATTAGCTCGCGACGTCTGCTGAAGAGGCAGCAGCAGTAGCAGCAGCGAGCGGCTGTCTGCGTCGCTATAATTACGATGACCGTGGCAGCAGCGCGTCCCGGGCTGTGTCACGCCGTCGGGGATGGCCGATGTCAGCAGCAGCAGCCAGCAGTGGAAGGAGCCTGCACCCCACACTCTCCTCGTGCTCCCCACCTATTCTGGCTCGAGACCACCTGCCCCGTCCCTCGACTCTCCCTGCCCGTCTCCTGCTCCCTCCCTCTCACCCTCCTCTTTTTTATTTTTTTACGATCAGTGGAAACAAGAAGATGCTCGGTGTAGTCGGCACTTTGCTTCGTTCATCATTTCTTAATTTATTTTTTATTTATTTTATTTAAACTTTGCTTTATGTAAACCCCCACCTCTCGCTCACTCTCTCGCTCTCTCTCGTTCTGCACCTCCCTCCTTCCCCTCTCCCTCCCTCCCCGCATCACTCTCTCAGTCTCCCCCCCCCCCCTTTCTCCCGCACCGCCCTCGCTCCCTGCGGTCGATTCGCTGTCACGTCCATGGCTGCGCGTGTCCCCGTGTCCCGGCTGGCCCTACTCGGGGCCCCGGGCTCGGGCAAGGGGACCATGGCCCACAAAATCCGCCTCCATTTCGGCATCACGAGCGTGGCGAGCGGGGAGCTACTGCGGGACCACATCTACCGGAGGACCGGTACCACCCCTACACCCCCCCCATCCCCCCCCCCCCACCATCTCATCCCCCTCGCATCCTCTCTCGTTCACTCCCCCTCTCTCTGTCTCTATTGATCCCCTCTCTCTTATCCTCTCGTCTCTCATCCTGTGTTGCTTTCTTCCGCTCTCTCTCTCATCCCCTCTTATCTCCCCTCTCTCATCCCCTCTCTTCACCCCCTCTCTCTATCCCCTCTCTCATCCCCTCTCTTCACTCCCTCTCTCTATCCCCTCTCTCATCCCCTTTCTTCACCCCCTCTCTCTATCCCCTCTCTCATCCCCTCTCTTCACTCCCTCTCTCTATCCCCTCTCTCATCCCCTCTCTTCACTCCCTCTCTCTATCCCCTCTCTCGTCCCCTCTCTTCACTCCCTCTCTCTATCCCCTCTCTCATCCCCTCTCTCATCCCTTCTCTCTATCCCCTCTCTCATCCCTTCGTCTCTCATCCTCTGTCGCTTTCTTCCGCTCTCTCTCTCATCCCCTCTTACACCCCCCTCTCTCTCTTCACCTCCTTAAATCCCTTCTCTTTACCCCCCTCCCCCTCTCATCCTCTGTCTCCCGCCTCCCCCCTCTCTCATTCCCGCCCTCTCTCTTTCTCTCTCTCCATTCACCCGCACGATCGCTGCCCCCCCTATCTCTCTCCGTGGCCGGCACGAGGAGCAGACACGTGCTCGCCCTGCCCGGCTGCCCCGGGGCTGCCAGGGGACCCTTGGCACTCTAATCCCGGAGTTATTTTGGGCGCCCCACGGTGACCGCCACGGTCGTGAGTCGTCACACGAACCGGGCAGTCTGCGCGTAACTTAATCATGTCCCGACTGTGTGTGACATAATCACGTTCGGAGGGTAATTACAACCTTTTTTTTTCTGCGTGTTATTCGAATCATGAGAGCTTCTTCTTTTTAAATCCTTTATATTAAATTCACTTGCTTGCTTGCTTGCGCGCTTACGACCGTGCAAATATTTCGGTCGTTTTTAACCCACTTCCCGTGATCCAATCGAGCTGACATTTTGCACACAGACTCGTTGTGCGTGACAATTTATTTTCGTGAAATTTTTTTTCCAAAATTTTACACTTTTTAAGAATTTTTTTTTATATTTTAATTACCAATTGCTTAATGGTGGTAGGCAATCATCTGACCCATAGGTGGCAGCCATCTCAAGCCAGGGGACGAGAGGACTCTAGCCGCCACGCATATAAAGGATTTATAGTGAAAAACTTTGTTTTTACGGGTTAATTTTTTTAAGTATAAGGAGACGACTTTGAATTGTTTGACCATTTATTTTAAAATATTATTTTGTTATCGCGATTTCGGGGAAGGCACGTGAGCTACTCGGGGCCCTTTAGCCTTTGCTTTAGTTTTGCTTCTGCCCCCGTGCCGCCACTGGCCATCGGGTGTGTGGGTAGTGGAGACCCGGACACGTGCGTGCTTGACCTTGGGTTGGTGAACCTCACAACAAAAACAAAGATCCCCCGTATAGCCTGTAACAAGCTGTAGGGGCAAGTGCTGTTAGCGAGCACCTATGAAGGCCGGCACGGCATACGAGGTGGTGGGTGGCTAACATCACGCCCGGTCGCCTTTGTCTCCCCAGTGGCGATAATTACACATAGCATCAGGTACTCATTTGAGGTTGAGTCGACCTAGGGGAGGCCCAGGACCGGTTCAGATAATCGGCACTGGTGTTGTCCGTAAGTGGTAATCGAACCCGGACACCGGGTTCGTAGCGCAGCGTAGCGCTAACCACTACACTGCCGCACCCCACACACGCTAACCACAACACTACCGCACCCCACACAAGCGCATATTTGAGAACTCCCAGAAGACAGCAGTGCAGCAAGAGTGTTGAATCAATCTGTGCGGTGCTTTCCGTGTTAACCCATTCCATTGCGTGGGGGGGGGGGTCTCTCCGTGCTTTTCCCGTTTTCCTTCCAACCCGAAGCTAAACTCTCGTGAACGGAGTTGACCGTAAGGTCGCCAGTGTGGCAGGACCCTCCTGGGCAAGAGTTCACAGACTCGGCGAAGCTTCCCTATAGTGGGCAAATGCCGTGCATCGAATGAATCACGCGGTCATCCAGCAGTGGATTATGTTGTATTCTTGACAGCAGTCTGGTTCAGGAGCTAGACACCAATGTGGAGATGCTGCTGCTGACGCTGCTGCTGGTCACGGCGAGAGGAATTCAGGAGAGAGGGAGAGAGTTCGTGTGGTGCTGATGCTCCTCCTCCTCCTCCGTTGAAGGACTCCACTGCAGGACCACATTGTAAAGCAGGGCAGTGGGTTTAACACGTGGCAGGCTTTCGCGACCAATATTATTCATAATCAACGTTTTTGGGTTTAGATCGCGTTATTTATAAATGTGTCGTAACCCTCCACCACCCGACACGGCCAATCAGCAAAAAAGTGTCACGTTGACAAAAGACAAATAGTTCACTGCTTTAGCCCCCACACCGGTGTGTTGAAGCGTGAAACCACAACATTTACAATTTGAGTACGACGTTTCGCTGGTAATTGCATCCAGCATCATCGGGCAATTCGCCAGAATGGTGAGGCTCTGCTGTGTCTCCCGTTCTTATATAGAGCAGCAGCAGGGTGACGTCATCATTAACTCATTAAAGGGCAGTGGATTAACAATCGGGATATACATCATCATCATTATTATTTACTACTACACGTTTCCTATCACAGAAGTAATCATTCAAGCCGGACAACTGCCCCCCCCCACCACCGTCCTTGCCCCAAAGGTAAGAAAGCAGTTGCAGGGCTGCGCCTTTACCTACAATATCGATTGGGTGCCACGCAGAGGTCGCAAACGGGGTTTGATTCCTTACCCGTACCCGTACCCGGCCGCACCAGGGTCGCAAACGGCGACCCGTACCCGTACCCGGCCGGGTACGGGTACCCGTTCCCTAACCGTACCCTACCCGAAATGAGTGACAAACGGCTACTCACCAGTGACTCACGGCCTACCCATACCCGTACCCGGCCGGGTATGGGTAGCCGGGTATCGGGTAGGGTACGGGTATCGGGTACCCGGTTGCAACCTCTGGTGCCACGGGCTCCTCGTGTAGCCCACGTGGTGACCACCTCCCTCTCTCTCCATCCCCTGCGGCTCCGCGCGGCGTTCCTCCCACGATTATTCTTCTAATTCCTACCCACTGCGAGCCGCCGTGGTGATGGCTCCCTCGTGGGTGATGAGTGTGGGGAAGGGGGGGTGTTAAAATATATAATAAATATTTAATTGGGAGCAAGGTCATCAGGGGTCACGCAATTGAGAAGTCGCGGCGGGAGGCTCGATGCTCGGACCGCATGCGGTCTCGACAGCCCCCCCCCCCCCGGGGCCCACGAGTCGGAGGTGGGGGCGGGCGGGGGGGCTGGGGGGGGGGCTGGGGGGGGGCAGGGAGAGGAGGTGGGGGGGCAGGGGGGGGGAGCGGAGGGGGCAGGCGGGGCGCCCAGCCGGTGTGCGTTCACCGCTCCTTGCAGAGGTTTGATATTCACTCTTCACGTTCACTCACCACGTTCACTCACCGCATCCGCTCACCGCATGGCGAGTTCACGTGCTTTGGACACCATGAACGTTGCCCCCCGGCTTCCCGGAACGCGGTCAACGCCAGAGAGTGGTGGTGGTGGGGGGGTGAGCGGCAGGGAGTGGTGGTGGTGGGGGTGAGAGAGCGGCAGGGAGTGGTGGGGGTGGTTGGGGTGAGAGAGCGGCAGGGAGTGGTGGGGGTGGTGGTGGTGGTGGCTGGGGTGAGAGAACGGCAGGGAGTGGTGGGGGTGGTGGTGGGGGTGGTGGTGGTTGGGGTGAGAGAACGGCAGGGAGTTGTGGGGGTGGTGGTGGGGGTGGTGGTGGTGGTTGGGGTGAGAGAGCGGCAGGGAGTGGTGGGGGTAGTGGTGGGGGTGGTGGTGGTTGGGGTGAGAGAACGGCAGGGAGTGGTGGGGGTGGTGGTGGGGGTGGTGGTGGTTGGGGTGAGAGAACGGCAGGGAGTGGTGGGGGTGGTGGTGGGGGTGGCTGGGGTGAGAGAACGGCAGGGAGTGGTGGGGGTGGTGGTGGGGGTGGTGGTGGTTGGGGTGAGAGAACGGCAGGGAGTGGTGGGGGTGGTGGTGGGGGTGGTGGTGGTGGTTGGGGTGAGAGAGCGGCAGGGAGTGGTGGGGGTAGTGGTGGGGGTGGTGGTGGTTGGGGTGAGAGAACGGCAGGGAGTGGTGGGGGTGGTGGTGGGGGTGGTGGTGGTTGGGGTGAGAGAACGGCAGGGAGTGGTGGGGGTAGTGGTGGGGGTGGTGGTGGTTGGGGTGAGAGAACGGCAGGGAGTGGTGGGGGTGGTGGTGGGGGTGGTGGTGGTTGGGGTGAGAGAGCGGCAGGGAGTGGTGGGGGTGGTGGTGGGGGTGGTGGTTGTTGGGGTGAAAGAGCGGCAGGGACCGTCGAGGGTTACGGGAAGGGCGGCCGCCCGTGCCGGAACACGGAGCTGGGGTCGCCCCGGGACCCGCCTCTCCGTCCCTTGCCTCCACGCCACTCGTATAACAACAGACTGTGTGGGGGTGGGGGGGGGGGTCAGTGTTCTGTTGTTGTTGTTGTTGTTGTTTTAGCGAGCAGCACCGATGAAGGCCGGCACGGCACACAAAGGGGGTGTGTGTATCCAGTGCCACGCGCGACCGCATTTGCACAATGCTCATACACCCACACCGCACCAGGTACTGATTTAAGGCTGAGATGACCTAGGGGAGGCACAGGACCTTGTTCCGACACCGCTCGCCACACCGACATTGTCTCTTGCCACCAATCCAAGCCGGCTTGTCTGAGTTGAACGCCTTTATCCAGGCGAGCAAGCAGGGTTACCCGTGTGACCCCAGGCATCACCGCCGTGCTGCGTGCTGCGTGTGTCCGCGTGCAGAGATCGGGCACCGGGCGCGCTCCTACATCGTGGCGGGTCGCCTCGTGCCCGACGACTTCATCACACACCTCGTCATGCGGGAGCTGCAGCGGCGCGGTGACGCGGGATGGGTGCTGGACGGTGCGGCGACACCCCTACACGTGACCCGGCTGACACCGGAAAACTCACCGCACTTGTGAACCCGGTTTAATCCGAGTGGGCAGGCTGTAAGCTCCGAGTCGAGCCCAGGATCTCAGCGATAGCGGCTCTGCCTAACTCTGATATGCTCGTTGTATGGTTTCCGCACGTGGCTTTTTAAATCCTTTATATTAAGTTCGCTTGCTTGCTTGCTTGCGTGCTTGCTTGCTTGCTTACGACCGTGCAAATCTTTCGGTCGTTTTTTAACCCACTTCCCGTCATCCAATCGAGCTGACATTTTGCACACAGACTCGTTGTGCGAGACAATTAATGTTCGTGAAAAGAAATTTCCAAAATTTTACACTTTTTAGGGAAAACAAATTAAATATTTAATTACCAATTGCTTAATACTGGCAGACAATCATCTGACCCATAGGTGGCAGCCATCTCAAGCCAGAGGACGAGAGGACTCTAGCCGCCACGCATATAAAGGATTTAGAGTGAAAAACTTTGTTTTTACAGGTTATACTTATTAATTCTCAGGACCGGGATTCGATTTGAATTTAAGTGACAAATTGATTTCACGTGATTTTAAAGCTTTCATGACTGCAGGAATTCATATTCTTTGGGTCTTTCGGTAAAGTCACGCAGATAGGATATTTTCTTTGAACCTATCTACGTGACTTTACCGACAAACCCAAAGAATATGATTTCACGTGGTGTGTACTATATACATAATTAAATCCTTTATTAAATCCTTTATATTAAGTTCCCTTGCTTGCTTAGGACCGTGCAAATCTTTCGGTCGTTTTTTAACCCACTTCCCGTGATCCAATCGAGCTGACATTTTCCACACAGACTCGTTGTGCGTGACAATTAATGTTCGTGACATTTTTTTCCCAAAATTTTACACTTTCTAGGACAAAAATATAATATTTATTTACCAATTGGTTAATGCTGGCACACAATCATCTGACCCATAGGTGGCAGCCATCTCAAGCCAGAGGACGAGAGGACTCTAGCTGCCCCGATGCCACGCATATAAAGGATTTATAGTGAAAAACTTTGTTTTTACGGGTTAACTTTTTTTTGTATTATTCTAACCGAGCTGACACCGGAAAACTCACTGCACTTGTGAACCCACTTTAATCTGAGTGGGCAGGCTGTAAGCTCAGAGAGTCGAGCTCAGGATCTCAGCGGTACCGGCTCTGCACCTCTGATATGCTCGTTGCATGGTTACCAAACATGGCCTTTTAATTTAAGTGACAAAGCTGATTTCACGTGGTGTGTGGATATATATACACATTTTATTTTCGTGTTATTCTGACCGAGGTGATACCATCAACTCGTTCCGCTTGGGAATCCGGTTTCAACGCGGCTGTAACTCAGGATTCAATCCCAGGCTCTCTGCGGCGCGGGTTCAGCGAGTCCGTGGCTCTGCTACAGACATTATGAACCCCACCACCCTCTCCCACAGCCAGCCTCACCAACTCAACTTCCATCCGATAATAACACTGGTCAACAAAAAAAAAAAAAAATTCTGGCCTGGACTTTTACAGCTGTTTTACACTAATTTCAGGGTGCTGATTCCAAATCTGATCTCAGATTTGCTCTATCACATCTCGTTTTTATGCAAGTTGTTGCGAGTCAGTGACTGCTTTAGTGTTAAAATATGGTGCTGTATTTGTAGGATAGTGTGTTTATAATATAATTTTATGTAGATATCCACATTTATTTAATATTTTTCTTCTGCAGTTTTTTTTTGAAAATTCAATATTTGATATCTCCTGATGTGATAGACAAAAACTGATGCCAGATTTGGAATCGGCACCCCAAAATTACCTTAAAACCGTTGGAATACCTTATGCCAGAAAAAGTGTGTTGACCGGTGATAATTATCAACGCTGCCGCGCGGGTCTCGGAATCTTGGCGCGAGCTGCCGGGAAAAGAACGGAAGCCGTGATTTCCAGCGGGGGGGGGGGGGGGGGGGGGGCAGGGGGTAGGGGAAAAACTGGAAACACTCCAACATGTAAATGCGACCACACAGCGCGAAACCGTCGGACGCGCATTAAAGCCGCTCGTCCCTCGTGGGATTCTCGCTCCGAGTTCGACGTCCCGTGCGGCCACGCGGCTTTTGCGGTGGGAGGGGCTGGCCGAGGTCATTTCTCTGCAGGCAAAAAACCTCCCCCACCCGCAATTGCCAACAACGACCGAAGATCATCACCCCCCCCCAACTCTCACCCATCACCGCTGGGGCAAGTGTTGTTAGCGAGAGCACTCATGGCAGGGCCGGCACGGCACACGAGTGCGGAAAGGGGGCCTCCCCACTGATGTTGTTTACGCGATGTGGCAAGTACTTGCATGCCCCTGCCATCTAAATCATTGTATTCTTTCACAGTTTTTTTGCTAAACTAAACTTTTTTCTTTTTTTACCAGGTAAGGCCTACTTAGCTGTATAGCTCTTTTACAGAAGCGATCTGGCCACAAATGACAACTCGACAAAGTTGCTTATCATGTGGAAATTTCGATTTAAAGCTTTCGTGACTGCAGGGATTCATCTTCTTGGTTCTTTCGGTAAAGTCACATAGAAGGGAAATAATAAAATAATAAAAATAAAACATAATAAAATACAATTCTCACGACGTTTCGGCCACAACACAAGCAGCCGTCCTCAGGTGAAGAACAGGTCTGTCGGAAAGACAGTGTCTGAGTGTGGTGAAGAACAGGTCTGTCGGAAAGACAGCGTCTGAATGTCTTTCCGACAGACCTGTTCTTCACCTGAGGACTGCTGCTTGCGTTGTGACCGAAACGTCGTGAGAATTGTATTTTATTATGTTATATTTTTATTATTTTATTATTTCCCTTCTACGTGACTTTACTGAAAGAACCAAGAAGATGTGGGAATTTATCGCAGCCAAATACTCTAAAAGCATGTTTCAAAATGTGGAGGGAAAACCCGGAGGACCCGGAGAAAAATGCAGGCGACCACGAAGAAAGAGAGAGAGACAGACACACAAACTCCAAATATACCAGATTTGAAGCTTGTAGATTTGAAGCTTTCGAGACTGCAAGGATTCATATTCTTAGGTTTTATATATATACCGCTGTCAGATTCAGGATCGGAACCCACGGACCTTCTGTATACCAGGCGAGGCAGTTAACATCTCGCCACCCTGGCGTTCCCATCTCCTCGTGTTTGCGTCTCGGCCAGGATTCCCGCGCACGCTGCCCCAGGCGCACGCCCTGGAGTGCGAGCGCGTGCGGCTGGACGCGGTGCTGTGTCTCGATGTCCCCGCCGACATGATCCGAGAGCGCCTCTCCTCCCGCTGGATCCACGCCCGTAGCGGCCGCGTCTACAACACCCACTACAATCCCCCCAGGAACGCGGTACGGACCGACGGACTATAGGTGATGGTAACGGCTGTAGGTTATGGTTATGGCTATAGGTTATGGTTATTGGTCATAGTTGTGTGGTTATTGGTTATTGATAGTGAATGTGGTTACTGGTCATAGTTAGCGAATGTGGTTATTGGTTATTGATAGTGAATGTGGTTATTGGTTATTGATAGTGAATGTGGTTATTGGTTATTGATAGCGAATGTGGTTACTGGTCATAGTTAGCGAATGTGGTTATTGGTTATTGATAGCGAATGTGGTTATTGGTTATTGATAGTGAATGTGGTTGTTGATAGTGAATGTGGTTACTGGTTATTGATAGTGAATGTGGTTATTGGTTATTGATAGTGAATGTGGTTGTTGATAGTGAGTGTGGTTATTAGTTATTGATAATGAATGTGGTTATTGGTTATTGATAGTGAATGTGGTTATTGCTGTGAATGTGGTTATTGGTTATTGATAGTGAATGTGGTTATTGATCGTGAATGTGGTTATTGATAGTGAATGTGGTTGTTGGCTATTGATAGTGAATGTGGTTATTGGTTATTGATAGTAAATGTGGTTGTTGTTTATTGATTGTGAATGTGGTTATTGGTTATTGCTGTGAATGTGGTTATTGGTTATTGATAGTAAATGTGGTTCTTCTTCTTAGCCTGGGGGTGCACGCCACCCCCTGGCAGTGCGAGATGCCCTTTCTGGGGGTGCGAGAGACATGGGAAGATTTTTTTTTTAGAAGGTAAATCATCACAAACGCAAATTAAGCACGGGCATGTAAGTACAACTTACTTTGTTTCATCAAACCCTGTGTATGTATGAACATTCTACATTTAGTTTTTACGACTGAGATCCAGGGGAGGTTTCTTCATTAGGGCGATTGGGCGACGCACCACCAATCTCATTCAACCACAGAATCATGCTAGCCGTTACTGTGCCTCTGGATATAGTCCAATCAGCGTCATGTCACGTTCTGTGGAGTACCGCCTCTTTTTGGGCGATTTCACTCCGGCTGAGAATCGCCCAGAGTGTTCCCATAGACTTACATTCAAAGATATTTTTTTTCGAACGGCGGGCGCTGCAATGCATTCTCTATGGCTTCCGGGAGGGCTTGCACTAACGTGCTTACGTCATCATACGTAAGCACGTTTCAGTCAACAATATTATTTGTCGTCACCTAGTGGAATCTTTAATAAAAGAAACTGAGTGGATTGTAATAATAGTGAGTATAGAAACAAACAAGATGTATTGTAATAGTCACTTTATTTTTCATTAATATTAAAGAAGTGAAGTTGCCTTTACATGCTTAAGCTGTTAATTTATCCATTGCATGGGTGGACCTTATCCTTATCAATCATCCAGACATTTGCCCCCCCTGAGAGATTTTGCAGGAGCCGCCACTGCTGAGATCCCAAATGGGTGCAAGGCTGCAGTAAAGGTCAAGAACCCACTGCCCTAGAGCGATTCTCTCTCTCAGGTGGGGGAGGTTTGGGGGCCAACTCTCTCATGACCCCCCGTGGCCCCCCTTCCCCCCGCCCCCCGCCCCCCACCCCCCTGCCCCCCCCACCACCCCCAGGGCCGTGACGATGTGACGGGGGAGCCGCTGACGCAGAGGCTGGACGACCGACCCGACACGGTGGTGGCGCGACTCCGCGAGTATCGCGAGAGGACGCAGCCGCTCGTCAACCACTTCGCGTGAGTACGCTCGTATGAGTACGCGTGTGAGTAGGCGTGTGAGTAGGCGTGTGAGTAGGCGTGTGAGTACACGTGTGAGTATGCTCGTGTGAGTACACACGTGTGAGTACACGTGTGAGTACGCACGTGTGAGTAGGTGTGTGAGTACACGTGTGAGTAGGTGTGTGAGTAGGCGTGTGAGTACGCGTGTGAGTAGGCGTGTGACTTCACGTGTGAGTAGGCGTGTGAGTACGCGTGTGAGTAGGCGTGTGAGTAGGCGTGTGAGTACGCGTGTGAGTACATGTGTGAGTAGGCGTGTGAGTAGGCGTGTGCGTAGGCGTGTGAGTACGCGTGTGAGTAGGTGTGTGAGTAGGCGTGCGAGTACGCGTGCGAGTAGGCGTGCGTGTAGGCGTGTGAGTACGCAGTAGTGTAGCGGTGAGTGCTACGCTGCACTACGAACCTGGCCACCCGAGTTCAATTCCCGCTCATGGCCAATACCAGTGACGATCATCTGAACCGGTTCTGAGCTTCCTCGAGGTCAACTTAGTCTCAAATGAGTACAGTAAAACCTTGTAATCCAAAGCACTCGTATATCAAAGCACTCGTATATCAGTTGTGATCACGTGACGCTCGGCAGACAAAGCGTATACACGTGCTACTCGTTTTGCAAGACCTCGCTCGTTTATCAAATTAATGTTTATTTAAAAAAAATGCTCGTCTTGCAAAACACTCGTAGACCAAGTTACTCGCAATCCAAGATTTTACTGTACCTGGTATGATGGGTAAACGGCACCACTGGGGAGACAAAGGCGGCCGGGCATGATGCTAGCCACACAACTCCCTACTGTGCTGTGTCGGCCTTTATCCCCATTTAGCCACTCGCCAAATCGGGGATATTTAATTTTGTTTTGGCAGCATGAACTCCTGCAAGCGAGCCTTGAAGTGCACCTAGCCTGGCACAAGCACTAAGGATGGTGTCGTCACCACCACTTCGTGGCGGATGGCAGCCGTTGTCGCTGTTGTCAGCGTGCGCGTCAGCAGTTGCAACTGTCACCATCATCGGCAACCCTCCACCAATCGTGCATCACTATCATCCATCACTTTCCAGCGTCATGTTGTCATCTAATCGTTGAGACAGAGGAAGCTCCCAGCCCCAACCGCGAAAACCTTTGCACGACCTTCTCGTCTTCACCATCGCAGTAGCAATCCATCGTGTACAACCATCGCCCTCGACCAATCAACATCACCATCATCATCCAAGCAGCATCACTTCACGTAATCTTTTTCACCCAAATCGTCATTCATCGCCATCTTCCATCACCATCCTCCACCCAGGGATTCATTTCAGCGGCCTTATGAAATATTTCCAGACCCAGAACACCACGTCCAGTATACCCTCTCGGCAGTGGCAGAGGCTGCCGGTCACGTGTCATCTACCCCAGCCTACCCAGCGGCCCGGACAAAATTCAGTGAGAACACACGTAGCTTGGTGTTCGGTGGGGAGGTGCTTGGGTGGGCGGAATTCCATGCACAACAGACAGACAGACAAATAATCCCTGGTGGGCAGTGTGGAACCTGTTGTTCCTACCCGTATTAAGCCCCCGTCCTCCACTGTTCACCTGCAGCCATCATCATCACCACCACCGTGACCACGCCGCCCGACCTGCGAGCGACAGCGTCACCCATACCCCTGTCGTTGTCGCCATTGTCCTGCGCATTGAGCAGCAGCAGGGGCCTCCTGCACACCTTCGCGGGCACGGAGACCAACAAGGTGTGGCCCCAAATCCACGCGTTCATCTCCAGCCAAGTCCACTCGTTCGTCTGAAGGGGACCCCCCCCCCCGCACCTTCCCCCCACCAAGGCACACTCAATATCAACCTGCTCACCACTCCCCCAGCCCTCACCGCCACCTATCCATCGTGGGACTCGATAGAAAGGATGGCAAATAGCAGGTAATGTCGCCGGAGACGGAGGAGGAAGACCTAAAGCCAGATGTTGTGGAGGTGATGGCACTGTAAGAACAGATCTCGAAAGTCCGGTGTGTTATGGAACTGTGGACACGTGGAGGCCGGTGCGTCAGTGGCACGGGATGGACTAAGTGCGAAGTAAAATCGCGCACTCGGAGACTCTGCTGCACACGGACATATTGGCTCATCCTGACCCTGGCTGACTTGTCCGAGGAATTTAAATGGCAATGCCGGATAGATTATTTTTTAAGCTTTGGAAATGGCAGCGAATATCCGCTCTCGATGCCATAACATCACTTCCAATTACGACACTTGTCTGCAGAGTAAAGCGAAGCATTAAAGCGCGCTAATTTCACAACGTCCAGATGGAGTCTCAGTTTTCTCATCCGCTTGGCTCATGTGTGTCCCTGCGTGGAAGGAAACGTCACGCAAAGCCTCTGTTGGTTTCGACTGCACGTGTGACGATTGACCCGCGAGCACACACCCGGCCCGTGGCTCGGCAAAGTGTCAGATGTCACAACCCGGCGGTCGCGATTCGACTCATCGAGATATCATTCGTTGCCCTTTCCAATGATGGGCGAGAGTCCGAAGGCATTAGCTCCGCCTGTCTGTCTGTGGCGGTTGTTCAAGTCGATTTTGTTTGACCGTGAGAATTCTGCAGGGCGAGTCAGCGGGGACATTGATTGCCAGTCGGGGCGTAATGATAATTTGCGGGTAATTTTTGAATTGGGAAAATTTGGACTCTGTCGCCAATAACTCCTCGTAAAGATGGTCCCATATCGGGTGTGGGACTGATGCCTGAAACCGCCAATGCCCCTGCAACTACCGCACAGGACGTTGATCTGTACCCGTCAATGTATGGTGTGAGGGAGGATATGGAATAAAAAATATATTTTATATATATAACAAAATGATGGTCCCATGTGATGAAACTTCAGCATAGAGTTGTGTTGCGATTAAAGGCTTGCCCTAGAGAAAAAAAAGAGTGGCCTCATCGATCAAACGGTTGCCCAGAACTTGGATTATACGAACCACCGCTATCGGGAATATTAGCTAATATATGCAAACGGCTTCTCCATTTCGGCTTCTCCATTTCTCCCCGCGAGACCGATGGGGCCACCATCGTTATGTTTGCAAGACCGCAGCTGTGCGCTAACCATACAAAAAAGTCACCACAGTTGGTTTTTCCGTTCCACCTTCCACGGACCAAATCCTTTCTTCGTGTGCCAGGTTTTTTTTTTATTTTTAGCGGTGTAAAATGCGCACGGGAAGACTTGCTACCCACAGCCACATTGGTCGGTCCTGAACCCGCCTGACTTGTTCAAAATGTTTAATCATCTGAAATGGCAATGCCAGACAGAGTGGGGTTTTTTTTTGTTAGCTTGGGAAATACTGGCGAGCGTCGGCTTTCGATGCCACTAAAATGATTTCCAATTACAACACTTGACCATGAAGACAAGCAACACGTGTGCCAATTTCACAATGTCCACACGGAGTCTTCCTTTCTTTCTCATCCTGATACGTACAGTTGGCTACGTGCGGCTCCAGAGAAGTTCAACATACATACATATGCCTGCAAACTGAGCCTGGTTGTACGACGACGCCTTAAGTTAAGGGGAGTTCACTTGGTAAAAGGGCAGCCCTACAATGGCTTGCTCATGCCACTGATTGCACAAGGGGGCCTTCCACTCGTCGAAGGTATTTGGCCTACTCTTTCACGCTGGTGAGATGTCTTGCTCGGTGATCTGTGGCTTCTATGCCTTGCGTATTTCGGCAGCAATATGGCTCCGGAGCTATCTGCGCCAGTGTCATGGTCTGCTGCTGACCACGAGCGGGCATCAGGAGAGATTTCGTGGCGTTTTGCTATTACTTCTCCTCCGTTGAAATGGGTTTACTAAATTGTCCAGACTAAGGTAGTGCGGGGCCTGTAGCATATGTTATAAAGGGGCCCTAAATAAAAAAAAAACACGTAAATATTAAAACACAATTTTTTTACATGTAATTATATTTTCCCATTTACTATACAGCCGGATAATACGACAAATCGCTAACCTTAAATACCCAGTCGTTCACAAAAGTTGAAGGCGGTATAGTACTATAGTAATAGAGCAAGTGCAGAATCACTGAACCAGAATTGTAGCTTGAAAGCATTTCGTGCAGGGCCTTTGAAAGTGTGGGGCCTGTACAGGGCCGGATTAATATATTTGTAGGCCCCTGGGCTACATGTACTGTGAGGCCCCCAGTAATAACAAATCTTCTTGGTTCTATCGGTAAAGTCACGTAGAAGGGAAGTAATTATTTTTATTATTTTATTACTTCCCTTCTACGTGACTTTACCGAAAGAACCAAGAAGATGAATCCCTGCAGTCACGAAAGCTTTAAATCGAAATTTAAGGAAAACAATGTTAAATAAAAAAAAAAATTTTACAAGGCTAACAACAAATACAATTCAGCATTCACAAGTGAAATAACTTTTCACTTATTCTCTGGAGGCCCTCCAGCTGGCTGAGGCCTCTGGGCTGCATCTCCTAAAGCCCCGTGCCTTAATCCGGCCCTGGGCCCATAGCATATGTAGCTATTTTTAAATCATTTATATTAAGTTCGCTTGCTTGCTTAGGACCGTGCAAATCTTTCGGTCGTTTTTTTAACCCACTTCCCGTGATCCAATCGAGCTGACATTTTCCACACAGACTCGTTGTCCGTGACAATTAATGTTCGTGAAAACATTTTCCCAAAATTTTATACTTTTTAGGACAAAAATATTATATTTAATTACCAATTGCTTAATGGTACAATGCAATCATCTGACCCATATGTGGCAGCCATCTCAAGCCAGAGGACGAGAGGACTCTAGCCGCCACGCATATAAAGGATTTATAGTGAAAAACTTTGTTTTTACGGGTTATACTTATTGCTACTACGATAATGCGGCACTGGGCTGAGAGTTCTAGACAAATGGCGCATTCGACGACCGGGTCTCACATCACTTCGTCTGTTTGGTGATTAATATCGTTGAAAGTTTCGATGAACATTGGCCGTATCGCGGCCCCTACTCCGGTGTTGTTTCGTAGATGGGAATGCAGCTGAGGTGCTTCCACGGCGACCAGTTAGGGGCCGTCCATAAATGACGTCACGCGATTTTGGACGATTTTGACCCCGTAAAAAATCGTCCACATGGCGTCACAAAAAGTCAGCCCCTCCTCAAATATGACGTCACAAAGCTCTGCCCCCCCCCCCAAAAAAAAACATGCTTCAAATCGCTTTAAACTATTGTCATTGTAGTGCGTATTTAATGTGGCGCTGCACTCTGATGTTGTCGGAGAAAACGTGTATTACAAAGTATATTTAATTAAGTAGAACGCGTTGTCTATATTTATTTAAAGTTGCGCATTTTAATGTGACGTCACATTTCTCAACCCCCCCCCCACCTTCATCACACATCGTCACAAATGTCTGACCCCCCCCCCTAGGTGCGTGACGTCATTTATGGACGGCCCCTTAAGGCCTTTCGAATCCACAAAAGAAACGTTTCAGGAGTTTTATGTAACCAGTAAAAAAAAAGTTAGGTTCGTGTAATGCGTAGTGTATAGTGATATCACGTATAGTGTTATTTTGTTATTTTTTAACCTATCTACGTGACATTACCGAAAGACCCAAAGGATAGTGTAGGGTAATGTAGGGTGGTGTATACAAGTGTAGTGTATAGTGTAGTGCATGGTATAGTGTACGCATATTGAACTTATTTCGCAGTAGACGTTAAAGATCCCGAGGCGTTATTCGAAGAAACATCGTGACCTACATTTGCCAAATGTCAACGTTTTACACGCCAATGTCTTTGGAACACAAAGCAGCAGCAGCAGCAGTGGTGACCATCGCCCCCTACTGAAATAAAACTTGGCATGACCCTCCTGCAGAACACGCGGTGAGGCTTGCAAACAATTGTAAGCAAAACACTGCGACTACGACTACTACGTGGACACTTCAACCTTCGACCATCAACCCAATCAGGACCGCATACCTGTCAATGTATGATATAGTAGTGTATAGTGTAGTGTATAGTAGGGTTTCGTGTATAGTAGTGTGAAGTGTATAGTGCATACCTGTCAACCCCTAATCAGTGATTCTAGAATTGAAGCTTTCGTGACTGCAAGGATTCATATTCTTAGGTTTTTTCGGTAAAGTCACGTAGGTAAAACATTAAAAAAGTAAAATAAAATAAAAATCACGACGTTTCGGAGGCAACACAAGCTTCCGTCTTCAGGTGGAACCGTCACAGCCACGACAGCTGTATCAAGTAAATGAGAGATTGCAGGAGCTACCACTCCGTTTATATAATGGTTGGAGAGGGGGGAAGGGCCGCATACTTTTTATTAATATGGTAAGGTGAGGCTTAAGAGGGTGTGCCCGACCTTATTACAGGCCAATTCAGACAGTGTTGGTCACCCCGTGTCCCTTATAAATCTCAACGTTCATCCTACAAATCCCATCACGATGGAGAAACACAAACAAATAGACACATTAAATTTTGATTTAAAGCTTTCGTGACTGCAGGGATTCATATTCTTGGTTCTTTCGGTAAAGTCACGTAGAAGGGAAATAATAAAGTAATATAAATATAAAACAATAAAAATTATCACGACGTTTCGACTGCAACACAAGCAATCATCATCAGGTGATCATCATCAAGTGATTGCTTGTGTTGAAGTCGACACGTCGTGATAATTTTTATTGTTTTATATTAATATTATTTTATTATTTCCCTTATACGTGACTTTACCGAAAGATTCTGTCCGCTTATATGTCTGTCTATATGTCTCTGGTTCTGTGTTTGATCTCTCTCTCAAATTTAGCATTCTCAGGAAGAACGTCATCAACCAGGTAGGGTGTTGACTGTTATGTCATCCGACTCTCTGTTGTATTACATTACATTTCTAAGTACAGTATACTAGATTTCGATTTAAAGCTTTCGTGGCTGCAGGGATTCATCTTATTGGTTCTTTCGGTAAAGTCACGTATTATATTATTAATTCTTTTATTGTGTTTTATTTTTATTATTTTATTACTTCCCTTCTACGTGACTTTACCGAAAGAACCAAGAAGATATACTAGATTTGTGTTTCTATTTAATTTATACCTGATGACGATTGCTTGTGTTGCAATCGAAACGTCGTATGCTAGTATTTAATTTATTATTTTATCTTGATACGTGACTTTGCCGAAAGAACCAAAGAATAATTCCTGCAGTCACGAAAGCTCCAAATTACGTTTTTTACCGAAAGAACCAAGAATATAAATAGTCTCCATTGGTGTTGGACCAGATGACGCCAAAAGGCGTACAACTCAAAAACAGCGCACTATCAGAGTATTGAGAGCTCGGGGTGAAGCATTTACACTATGAGACATCTCCTTTACCAGTGGCAAAATATAGTGATAGGTTTTTACCCTTTCAACTGGTCCAAAAACTTGACCAGACGAGGGGGGGGGGGGGGGTGAGAAATGTGACGTCACATCAAAATGCGCAACTTAAAATAGATATAGAATTGTTATAACAACACTAATTGTTATAACAACACTCCTACAACATCAGAGTGCAGCGCAACATTAAATACGCACTACAATGACAATAGTTTAAAGCGATTTGAAGCATGTTTTATTTTCAAAATGGAAATATGGTTTTGGTGAGAGGGGGGGGCAGAGCTTTGTGACGTCATATTTGAGGGGGGGGGTCTGACTTTTTGTGACGCCGTGTGACGAGGGGGGGGGGTCAAAAATCGTCAAAAATCACGTGACGTCATTTATGGACGGCCCCTAACAACATCTAAAATTGCATCTTTAATCTGCTGCTATTAACCCATAAGAAATAAAGAATAAGATAATGGACACTTGAGATAATTTAAGCTAAGCAGGTATTGAGCCTGGATAGTGATTTGAATGGGCGACCCCAGTGCATAACGGGTGCTATAGGCTGCTGCGTTCCTACGTGGCGGGCAGCAGAGGGCAGTGCTGACACATCCACTCTAAATTGCTGTGCTCCAAGATTCACCAACTCGCTGTGACCGGCGTGGTTGATAAGCCACTTCGGTGAGCTTTTTTTTGAACAAAGCAGCTAATAGCTCAGCAGGCTTTAACCTCGTAAAATAAAGTAAAAAATAGTTTATTTTTTGTGATTTGCTAAACTTTCCTACACGTTGCACTGTAAAAAAAAAATCTTCATAGCTCATCGAATATTTCCAGGATAAAAATGTATAAAAAATGTACGGGTCAAATCCACGTGGGAATTCTAGTGATGGGGGTTGCTATGGTTACCCCACCCCCCCCCCCCGGGACACGACGTACCCCACCCCTCTTGTATGATGACGTCACAACAGCGTGTCACCGCGCTGTTGACGTCACCATACGTTACACACGTCACGCTCGCCGGCACGCGAGGGGGCGTCACCCAGCGTGGTGACGTCACCGGGCGTAGAATTTCCGAGGTTTGTTTCGTCCGCGCGGGTGACGCGTTGGCGCGATGACGTCACGAGGAGCGTAATGACGTCACCACGTTAACCCCTCCCCCCTCCTAGCCCCTCGAGCCACCACCCCCCCTCCCCTCGAATCATATTTCCCAGTCTGGATAAGTGACGGATCACGAGGTCTCACGCGAGCCAATGCGGCGGCGGCGGGTGCGCGCATCCGCAGTGGGAAATACAAACCGACGCGGATCCGGAAACGCGGACGCGGGGCCTCGCCGGGCCGGGCCACCTGAGCCAACATCATCGCCAACATCATCGATACATCATCGATACCATCATCGATAACATCACCGATAACATCGATAACATCACCACCAACATCATCAACATCACCACCAACATCACCACCAACATCATCAACATCACCACCAACATCATCAACATCACCACCAACATCATCAACATCACCACCAACATCATCAACATCACCACCAACATCACCAATACCATCACTAATACCATCACCAAAACTATCACCACCAACATCACCAATACCATCACTAATACCATCACCAAAACTATCACCACTAACATCACCAATACCATCACCAACATCATCGATAACATCATCGATAACATCACCACCAACATCACCGATAACATCAACAACATCACCGTTAACACCACCAACATCACCACCAACACCAATACCATCACCACCAACATCATCACCACCAACAACATCAATACCATCACCACCATCACCAATACCATCACCACCATCACGAGACACCACCATCAACAACAACATCACCACCATCAACAACAACATCACCACCATCAACAACAACATCACCACCATCATAGCCATCACCAATATCGACACCAGCGCAAGCACCACCATCAACGTTCACAACGTTTCACACCATCACCCACATCATCATCGCCGACACCATCCCTGAACTTTTTAACATCACCAAAAACGGATCACCCATCACCACCACCATCACCACCATCACCGATAACATCAACAACATCACCACCAACATCACCGATAACATCAACAACATCACCGTTAACACCACCAACATCAACACCAATACCATCATCACCAACATCACCAATACTATCACCACCATCACCAATACCATCATCACCAACATCACCAATACCATCACCACCACCACCATCACCACCATCACGAGACACCACCAACAACATCATCACCATCAAAGCCATCACCAATATCGACACCAGCGCAAGCACCACCATCAACACTCACAACGTTTCACACCATCACCGACATCATCATCGCCGACACCATCCCTGAACTTTTTAACATCACCAAAAACGGATCACCCATCACCACCACCATCACCACCATCACCATCACCACAATGTCTATCCTGCAGTCGGCCTTCGATTTCTTTGGAGGCAACGCGGCCCGAGACGAGAAGGACTTCGTGGGCAACACGGTGGAGCTGGGCAAGCAGAAGCTTCGTGTCAAGGCCGTTCTGGCCGAGGGTGAGGTTCCACACAGCCACAAATCTACCGGCCCGTCACGGCTTTTACCCCCTGTAAGGTAAAAGTGTGAAAAATTAACCCGTAAAAACAAAGTTTTTCACTATAAATCCTTTATATGCGTGGCGGCTAGAGTCCTCTCGTCCTCTGGCTTGAGATGGCTGCCACCTATGGGTCAGATGATTGTCTGCCAGTATTATTTATCACGGCTTTTACTCCGCTGTGTGTGTGTGTGGTCTACTCGTGCAGAGACATTGATGTTCTTGGTTCTTTCGGTAAAGTCACGTAGAAGGGAAGTAATACAATAAATAAGTATAACCCGTAAAAACAAAGTTTTTCACTATAAATCCTTTATATGCGTGGCGGCTAGAGTCCTCTCGTCCTCGGGCTTGAGATGGCTGCCACCTATGGGTCAGATGATTGTCTGCCAGTATTAAGCAATTGGTAATTAAATATAAAAAAAAATTCCCTAAACAGTGTAAAATTTTGGAAAAAAATTTTCACGAACATTAATTGTCTCGCACAACGAGTCTGTGTGCAAAATGTCAGCTCGATTGGATCACGGGAAGTGGGTTAGAAAACGACCCAAAGATTTGCACGGTCGTAAGCAAGCAAGCAAGCACGCAAGCAAGCGAGCGAACTTAATATAAAGGATTTAAAAAGCAACGAGCCTACCTTTACCCTACCTTTTACCTTACCACAATACAATCACTCTACCCTACATTTTACCCTTTAGCAGGTAAGGTAAAAGGTAAAAAGCAACGAGCCTACCTTTTACCCTACCCTTTACCTTTACCCGTTGGCATGTCGACACCTTTACCTTTACCCCTTTTACCCGGTAAAAAAGGTACAATTACCTTGCCTTGCCGAGGCCTACCTCTGTGTGTGGTCTTCTCGTGCAGAGACATTGATCTTCTTGGTTCTTTCGGTAAAGTCACGTAGAAGGGAAGTAATAAAATAAAAAAATAAAAAATACAATTCTCACGACGTTTCGGCCACAACGCAAGCAGCCGTCCTCAGGTGAAGAACAGGTCTGTCGGAAAGACAGAGTCTCGTTCAGAACAGGTCTCATTCAGACGCTGTCTTTCCGACAGACCTGTTCTTCACCTGAAGACGGCTGCTTGCGTTGTGGCCGAAACTTCGTGAGAATTATTTTTGTTATGTTTTATTTTTATTATTTTATTACTTCCCTTCTACGTGACTTTACCGAAAGAACCAAGAAGATGAATCCCTGCAGTCACGAAAGCTTTAAATCGAAACCGAGACATTGAGTTTTCATGTCCACACGGCGTAGGACGTCTCAATGCAGGGCAGCAAATGTGTTTCTCCCTCCTGATGGGACTTTGTGGGATGAACGTTGAGATTTATAGGATTTACGTGGTCACCAATAAGGTCTGGGTTCGTCTGTAATGTAGAGCACTGATAAGGGGTTGACAGGTATGCACTATACACTCCTATACCCTACTATACAGTACAGTACACTATTATATCCTACACTATACACTACACAATAATACCTGTCGACCCATGCGGTTTACCCCGTATTCTTGTCCAGTGAAATTGAGTTTTGAGGTTCGTACGGCGTACAGCCGTTTCAATACGGGGAACAAACTTGTGTTTTGTCGATTTGTTTGTGTTTCTTCCGTGTGATGGGACTTTGTAGGATGAACTTTGAGATGTATAAGGGCACGGGATCACCAATAAGGTCTGAATTGGTCTATAATAAGGTAGGGCACTGATAAGGTGTTGACAGGAATGTGATATACAAAGCCGATGAGCTTTGAAGCGCTTTTTGGGTTTGTTACAGATGATAACAACTTTGGTTAGGGGGAGAATGTGGGTGATGATAGGTGTTGGGCTGGAGTCACTTTGGGTTAGAACGAGAGAGTTCGCGGGCTCGGGGTTAGACATTGGTGTCAGGTTTAGGGGTTAGAGGAGACATTGGGTGAGGGTCAGGGGGTCGAGAAATGGATTTGTGGGTCAGGATCAAAAGCCGGAATGATGACCATCACGGGTGGGAACTCAGACGGTGGGCTGAAGCTGTGGGGATGGTATAAATCCGCGGTTAAGTGTACGGACTAAGTCGCTTATAAGTACCCTACCTTATTAAAGTCCAGTTCAGACATTGTTGGTCACCCCGTGCCATTATAAGTGTCAACGTTCATCCCACAACTTCCCACCACCTGAAAACTCAATTTCCCTGTACAAGAATACGGAATACGCCATATGGGTTTCGAGGTATGAGACGTTGGGATAGGTCAGGATAGGGCAATCAGGATTCGGTGCGGCGGGGATCGATGCAGGTTTATGGTTAGCGGTAGAACAAGACGAACAAATGGGCTCGTTGCTTCTAGCGGTGGCCAGCCATTGATACGCACAACAGCGGCGGCGTTGTGTGGCTTTCAGGGCCGTGAACTTAGCCTCTAGTCACCAAACCCCATCCCATTGACATGCTGCCTCTGACGTGTCATTGGGAGGTTTAGGTAAACGGGCAGAATGAGTAAGGCGTTGCCAAGGAATGCCAGAAACCAGTTTCGCAACCGAATGAATGAGATGTGCGAGATTTTAAAAGCCGGTCAAACACCCGGCGGGGTTTGGAGTTGCCGCAGCATATGCACGCGTATGCTGAACTTATTTCGCACCGTACGTGGCCAACTGTGCTAATCGGCGCGCGGATCTCATCATACCGGGTCACTCCAAATGCATGTTTTTAATGTACGCTCTAATTCCGTTGGGAAGCCTTCATCCAGCAGTGGATTAACACCCGGCGGCATGAGTTCAAATCCTGGCTGGGGGTTGGTGAAAGTGTAAATAAGTATAACCCGTAAAAACAAAGTTTTTCACTATAAATCCTTTATATGCATTGCAGCGAACTTAATATAAAGGATTTAAAAATATATTCGCCTGTGGAGGACGCGGGGATCGATCCCGCGACCTTTGGCATGGGAAGCGAGGGTGCTACCAACTGCGCTACTCCGCCACGGCCTGTGGAGGGGTTACGCTCTGGGCTCTTACACTCTGACGTTCAGCCAAAGCCATGAATTAGTTATATTTGAATATATGTAAAATACATTTTTTTTTGCCTAAAAAGTGTAAAATTTAGGGAATTTTTTTTCACGAACAATAATTGTCTGGCACAACGAGTCTGTGTGGAAAATGTCAGCTCGATTGGATCACGGGAAGTGGGTTAAAAAACGACCGAAAGATTTGCACGGTCCTAAGCAAGCAAGCAAGCAAGTGAACTTAATATAAAGGATTTAAAAATAGTACTACTTTGTGGGGAAAGTAAACCGTCTTCTTGGTTCTTTCGGTAAAGTCACGTAGAATGACTCTGTCTCCTCGACAGACCTTTTCTCCACCTGAGGACGGCTGCTTGCGTAGTGGCCGAAACGTCGTGAGAATTATTTTATTATGTTTTATTTTTATTATTTTATTATTTCCATTCTACGTGACTTTACAGAAAGAACCAATAAGATGAATCCCTGCAGTCACGAAAGCTTTAAATCGAAAGTAAACTGGTTGTTCTTTGGATAGACTGGCCCCCGCCATAGCAATGTGGCATTTCCACCACTGGCTCAGGGCTGTAAACAGGGCATGAGCATTGCACTGCCGCAACAATCATTTGAGCAAGAAATCACTTTTATTTTTGTATTTACATTTTAGTGCAATATTCTTACCCTGTTGAATATTATATCTTTTCCGTTTGTCTTTTCATAACTGGTTGGCTCAAGGTATTCCTGTTTATGCCAAAGGACTCTGAACTGTTGCCTTGTGTGTGTGTGCCTCTTGAGAAAATCTGCAGAGATGTACTGTTGGCTAAAATTATTCTCAAGGAAGAATGGGCAGTTGATTTAGCGGCTAATTTTTAAACGGATGTTGTGTTCTCGCGTTCACAGGAGGCTTTGCATTCGTCTATGAAGCTCAGGATGTCGGCAATGGCAAAGAGTATGCCCTCAAGGTGCACCCAAACTTGTATTCAGTTCAATCATAATCATTGTTTTTTTCTTAAAGGCTTTTTCCAAAAATCCTCTCCCCTCCTCGTATCGTGAGTGTGCGATCGGTGTCGTGCCCCAGAACATGTTTAGAAATCATTTTGAACCAAATTTTTATTCCGTCATAATTTTACCTGAAATCTACAGTGCAATTAGATTTTTGTAAAACGCTTCAGCATGACCGCGCCTAAAGATACGAATACATCAAAATAGATGTGCTCTTGTTGAAATTGTGTGATTTCCCGATTGTGCAATCGGCGGCGTCTTGATGAGACGCATAATTCGTTTGGAATTCTAGCGCGGCGGTGCAAACCCTCCGTGTTAGAAAATGTGGCACGGTCGTCAATAACACTGCAGTCGTAAATGGGAAAAAAATATTCAATGAACCTTTTGGGCTGTGGTTCTTTTTCAGAGCATAAACCGTGTTAGAGAACGGCCCTGGTAAACAGATAAGAGCTGTTAATTAAATACATCTGAAATACTTCTGGAGATACTTGCACATTTGAAGCATTACAGAATCTATTCGAGTGCGTCACTTTTCCCGACTAGGTTTTGTTCGTATGTTCTTTTTACACGCTTTTATTTAACTCACCTCTGTCTGTTGTTGTTGTTGTTGTCCATTGTTGTATCCTCAAATCTTGTAACTAAATTTTTACCCACTTCCCAATATGGTATCGACTGCAAACTTGGTATACTTATGTCATACTGATGACAATACTATATTCTATCATTAAAAAAAACATTTTAAACATTATTTTTTATATGTTATGTTTCGGCTTGGCTCTAATTGTCCACGGTAATCTGACGTTGGCTGTAATTGGCAAGCTTCGGGGCCACTTCCTGGAGTCGTGGAGTTCTTCCATTACTAGTACGGTACATTTAATTAAAGCGAGATAAAAAAAGTTTTTTTAAATGTTACTTATACTGTGCCATCGCACTCTTGGCCACCACGTGGTTAATCCCTTGCTCGAGTTTACTGACGCTCATTTTGATCACTGGCGGTCACTCTTGTAAATCATAATACTCTGGCCTCTTTTGAGTTGTCACCTCGGTTGAACAGGATAAACGTAGCTTGCCTTGCCTCTGTTTTGAATGGATGTCTGCACATTGCAGAGGCTGCTGTCAGATGAAGAGGAGAGGAGCAAGGCTATCATTCAGGAGGTGCACCTGATGGTATCCTTGGCTGGCTATCACCGACGGTTTTGAGGTTAGAGTGGTCCAGTGTGCTCAGGATAAGTTCAGATGTCAGTGCCAAATTCCAACAGCTTATCATCTGCACTGCACTAATGGATGGGGGGGTGGTGTGGGGTACAGGGAGGTCATTGGTGCCCTAAATTAGACTTTTAATTCGCAATACTTCGGGACCCAGTTTCATCACGGGTGCTGCCCAGAGTCGAACGGAGGATCTCTCAGGAGGTTCTGGCTCAATGCTCTTGACACTGAATCGGTTATCTGAGCACCCCGCAACCACCGCTACTGCGAGTTTGGTTTGCCACGACCGGTGCCTGCCTGAAAAAGTGTAAAATGTAGAGGTTTTTGCTCGTTTCTTACAGAACGTCATTGTGAAATTCGAAGTGGCGATTTGGCAGATGAAACTGGCGTTCACCTTCACAGTGGAGGAATGGAGTCTCGTATCTGTACCCTCGTGTGTTTTCAAAGTGCTTCCTGAATACAAGTGCAGAGTTCACATTCAATTGACACGTTAAAAGCCAAAGCCAATTTACCACTCGTTGAAGTGAAAGTAATTTACATTCCAGCATCTCTGCCTTCATGGTCTCTTGGAGTTTCGTTTTTTATTTGACATTTCATGAGATGAAGTGTCCATTCAGATTTCTCTCAGAGCAGTGCATCCTTTCCTTATCTAGATGTGTATGTAGCGCCTTTATTGAACGTGCTACATGCCAGCGACCTCTGAGATTCCTTCAAGTGACCTAAGGTCTACTCACAGTCGGGAGCAGAACCTTCCCACCCACTCTGCATTTTGAGAGTAATATCCATCCCATGACAGGTAAACCGATAATCGTTGAATTCTTGGGAGAGTTGGAATCAATCCAAATTAAGTACACAACCAAATTTAATGTCAAGGTTGTTTCTTCTGCGGTCTCTTTTGACTGGACCAGAGCCATCAATTTGAGACCCCATTGAATCGTAACTCGGTCTGAGCGAGACTGTGGGTCTCTGCCTGACTTTGGGTCTCTATGCAAGTCTAAAACGAAACTATTTTTATTTTACCAGGTAAGGCCCACTCAGCTAAATATCTCTTTTTCAGAAGCGATCTGGCCACAAATGATAGCTCAATGAAATGGCTTATCGCGTGGAAATTTATAGCAGCCAAATACTCTTAAACGCATGTTTTAAATGTGGAGTGAAAACCCGGAGGTTCCGGAGATAAATCCACGCCACCACGGGGAGAACATGCAAACTCCAAATATACAGCTGTCAGGGTCGGGATCGAACCCATGACCTCCTGTACACCTGGCGAGTTAGTTAACATCTCGCCATTGTGGGGCGCCACGATTCATTGGCGACTAGGCTGAGGCCATCAACCCGTGACACTTGAGAACCTGGTTTAATCGCAGGCAGCTTGCCCTGATCTGAACCCAGCGTCTCAACGGTGCTGGCTCATTGCTCTGACCTCCGAGCCACCCGGTCACCTCAGCCCTCCCCTTGTACTTTCAAAAAGCACAGCGATTAAAATTGCGGGTGCCTCGTGTTCACAGTAGACACAAGATGCGTTAAGTGGCATATCCTGTTCTTGAGCCTCTTGGCTGATCAATAGCCCGAACTGCTGCACTGCAAACTGTCCATTTAATGATCAGTATTCATTGAAATATGTAACAAAGCCTTATAGACTGAGTTCGGTTATACTCTGTAACCTCGAAATAACACGAGCGGGATATACCGTGTCCCGCATGTAACGGAGTTTGTGCTGGGAGGGGCAGTTGAGGACCCTATAAGTTGAAAAAATAATAAACTTGCGCTGACGAAACTCGCTGGAGTGAGCGGAAAAGCAGTGCCGGCTTGTTGCCAGCTGCGTCTCCAGGCCACGCGGCAACGTCGCGCGCCAGTGCAGCCCCCCAGCTCTACGCTGCAGAAGTACCGACCGTCATGTTAGATTCCGCGCTCCTGAATTGGCTCGTGATGTTTCGGTGCTTTTAGCAGGTGTTTTGTCGCCTCTGTTTCGTATTGCTTTTAATACTTGTATGATTGGAAGATGAGCAATATCAATAACATTTCAAGCTGCGTGTGGGCTACATTTGGTGTAAATCATAAAACTGAAATACCTTGGCACACCACCCCTGGATCAGACCGGAAATTCGATGATGCTGTGTAAGCATGTTAAACTGACAAAGCATTATATTCTTAGGTTTTTTCGGTAAAGTCACGTAGGTAAAAAAATTTAAATTAATAAAAGTAAAATAAATAAAAAATATTTTACTTTTATTAATTTACATTTTTTACCTACGTGACTTTCCCGAAAAAACCTAAGAATATGAATCCTTGCAGTCACGAAAGCTTCAAATCTAGAATGACGAAGCATTAAACCAACCGCGTGTTCTTGTCATAACGTCACACGGCATTGTGCAGTTTGTCTGATTATCCTGTTCATGCCGTGGCCACGGTTGTACTGAAATGTGTGGAACTGCTGATGCCATCAAGAGTGGCACTTAACTTGCCGCGCACCCAGAAAAAAGTGTCCGGGCATCCAAACATTGTGCAGTTCAGCTCGGCAGCCTCCATCAGCAAAGAGGAGTCCGACACGGGCAGAGCTGAGTTCCTCATCCTCACCGAGCTTTGTAAAGGTCCGTCGCCGATGCACAATTCACGCGTCGCCTCGCCGAGTCTCAAGACACTTTCTCAGGAGGGTCCTGCCAAGTTTCCGCAGTCGGGGGACGATGTGGATGCTGCTGCTGCGTAATCTCAATGGAGTCATTTGCAGCGATGATTACTTTGACCAATGGAAGTTAGTTTATATGGTTTTTTTTTGTAGCCTTCAGAGGAAACCGGAGAACCTTTAGGAAACCTATCCGGTATAGGGGAATAATTTACAAGCTCCACACGTTCACACACTCGTACATGCGCGCACACACCCTGCAGAACAGCGGTGGGGGCGGCTGGGATTGGCTGGTGGGTGAACACACAAACTCCAGACAGAAATGCGCTCGAGTCGGGGGAAACGGATTGTCGCCACCGCGCCGGCCTGTCCCCGTGCTGCTGCTGCGGTGCCGTTGCAGTGGCACACACGAGCGCGCACGTGCCGCTTCGCAGGTCAGCTCTCGGACGGGCTGAAGCGCGTCGAGCTGCGGGGCCCCGTGCCCTGCAACACGATCATCAAGGTGTTCTACCAGGCGTGCCGCGCCGTGCAGCACCTCCACCGCCTCAAGCCGCCTGTCATCCACCGAGACCTCAAGGTGCGTTCGCGCGGACGGTGACCGACGACGTCGGCTCTGGACTCCGGGTTTCTCTGTTGTTTATAAACAAACAAAAACCGGTCTGTAAATGTATCGCAGTTCTTTTATCGGCATCGTGAGATGAGTCGATTCGGGTCTGTCTCGCTACGCTCTCCCCCCTGTCCAGTGTGGCCCGTCAACTTAGTCGCAAAATCAGGTCAGAGGGGGTCGGGAGGCGGGGAGTTCAGAGAGCTAACGTGTGGTACCTCTGAGATCCAGGGTGTGTGAATCCCGCTTGTAAGTCACCTGTGTTTAAACGAGGTTCTCAAATTTTATCGGATGGCAGCAGTCTCGTCGCCAATGACTGAACGAAAAAAGCCTTACATTTCACTTGTTAATATACAACAAAACATCCAATTGCAATGTGATGAACGGTTTTTACCCAAAAACAAATATGGACCATAGCTTTAGCAATGAAAATCTACGCTTCCGCTTACCACAAAGTCAAACATCCCCGTGTAGCCTTTAACAGACTGTTGGGGCATGTTTTGTTTGTGCAGTCAAAAAACCCTGATCATATTCCATTTCTTCTGTTCTTAATTTGTCACGGTTCTTTCTCTGAGAATGATGATGTCTGTTTGGCTGTCATGTGATGGGCATCACTCTCAGTGGCATGGCAGGTGGCAAAGTTGCAGTCTTGTACTGTGTGGACCGCAAGTTATTTGTAGGGCTCTCAGGTAGCTCTGTAATCTGCTTCCACGGGCCATTCTCCAACACGAAGGGTTGCACGTGTCTGTGAGCGATCCAAGTGGATTCTTCACCTCTTCAAATCACAATCTCATTCTGTTTTTGAACCGAACGGCTCAACTACCTAGAATTGAATTTGCGTTGGCCGTGCCAAATCGTCGTCGCCGTGACCGATCGTCGTAGCGTCGCATTCAAGATGTCGCGGCGCTGTCCTCTGCAGGTGGAGAACCTGCTGCTGAGCTCGCAGGGCAACGTGAAGCTGTGCGACTTTGGCAGCGCCACGACCGTGTGCCACTACCCGGACTACAGCTGGTCGGCGCAGAAGCGCGCCGAGGTGGAGGAGGAGGTGGGTTACCCCGACGCGCCCCCGCCAACAAAATACGACGAATACACAAGAATGTTACCGCTCTGTGCAGTTGCCGTGACTCCGGCTTCTCCCCCCGACATCAGTGTGGATGTGAATACAGGTAGTCCTCGACTTACGATGGAGATGCGTTACGACGACCCCATCGTAAGTCGAAAATATCGTAAGTCGAAGATGGCCTATAGCCTACACAGGAGTCTTAAAGAATGGTGATAATTTAGCAAAACAGAGCAATTTACACTACCGTACTGTATAAACTATATACTGTATGTATTAATTAAAATACTGTATTGCACAGTAAAATGTAAAGTAAAAAAAACAAGGTAAGTTCTTAGCCTACCTATATGAACTGCAATTTAAAGAAAGTCTTTTTCAGGAAACAATCCTATCTGCTATAAAAACTTTTAACATGCATTGAACGTATCGTATCGTGGTAACCCGAAAATAAAATCGCTAAAGCTACGTATCATACATGCATTGAACGTATCGCAACGTATCGTATTGTACTGTGCTCACCAAGATTCTGTCCGTCTGCATACTTGAACGATGTTAGGTTGTTGATGGCTACATTAACTTAGTTGTCGGAAGAGGAGGATGACGATGATGAAGTACAGTATCGTACCTCGTACGCTGCTGCGTTTGCCTGCCGCACGAAATGTAAAATATTTTGTCGTATCGCTATCGCCATCGTAAGATCGAAATATCGTAAGTCAGACCATCGTAACGCGTGTATTCCTGTCTAGATCATGAGGAACACCACTCCCATGTACCGGACTCCGGAGATGCTCGATCTGTATTCGAATCTTCCCATCACAGAGAAGCAGGACATCTGGGTGAGTTGCGCGACGTGACGCCTCTTCACGTACTCGTGTGTCCACGTCAAAGTTTTGCGATAACTGCGTCGGCAGCAGCGCATCGACCCGTAGACTCGCATAGAGATCCACAGATTCATGTAGAAACCCCTAGACTCGCACAGAGACACACAGCCTCACGGAGAGATGCAGGCTCACAGACACACAGCTTGCACAGAGACCTATAGAATCATATATAAATCAATAGGTAGATTTCGGCCTATGTATTTACGTAAAAACCCGCACTCACTTAGAGCTCCATGGATTTACGTAGACTCACATTGCAATTCATAGATTTACATAAAAAACCATAGATTTACATCGAGACCCGCACACTCGCATACAGCTCATGTCTGTGTAGCACAAACACAAATTCCAACACAAACTCAACACTGCTGTGAAGAAGGACCATCGTCCGAAACGTCGCCTACTTACTGCCTCTGTCTGTTCCCCTTTGGGGGCAGTGTTCGTGATGAGCGCGAGTTTCCTTGTTTTACTGCTGGCTTGTAGCCACCCTCCCTCTCTCCCCACCCTTCCTGTTTACGCGTGGCTGGGTATTTACTTGTGCGGCACGATGCACCAACGATTGCGCTTTGCGCAAGCAGCCATTCCCGACGCGCTCTGGAATTAAACCCTGAAGCTTTTATCCTCCATGTTGGCGGTCAACAGCGTTTCTTGGTGAACGCATACGCTTATAAATCGTCCTTATATGTATTTGTTGTACATGCAAATGTTTTTTACGCAGACGAGTCTTCCTGCGATGAGGTTACCGCGTGCAATCGTTGCTTGGTCTTGTGGAACTGGTGTGTGTGTGCGCTGGTATTTTGTACCATCAGGCACTCCACCCCCACAACTCCCAATCGGTGATGGGGCAGTTGTGGAGAGAGTGGAGAGTTTCCCATACCTGTGCTCATGACCGGCTCCGGTTTAACAGCGGAGGTCTCACTCCGAATCAGTCGAGCGGCATTTTCTTTTCATCGGTTGTGTCAAGCTGTGTGGAAGCTACCTGGTCTGTCGTTCCACACAAAGCTTCAGGTCTTCTCGGCCACAGTCATTCCCTCCCTTCTCTACGCTTGCGAAACGTGGACCCCCCTAATGGAACATCTCCGCCGGTTAGAAACATTTAGGCTGGCCTGCCTACGATCCATCCTGGGTTTAACCAGGCTGGATTGTGTGAGGAGCTCACAAATCCTCGAAAGATCTGGACAAAGTCCCATCGGTGAGCTCTTCCAGCAGGCAAGGCTGCGTTGGCTGGGCCATGTAGCCCGCATGCCCAATCACCGCATGCCCAAACAGCTTTTGTTCGGCCTGATTGAGGGGACTAAACGGGCGCGGTACGGGCTAGAGAAGAGATGGAGTGATGTGGTACAGGAGGATGTGGAGCTGAGTGGACTTGCCGCCGACTAGTACCAGCGGTGTCAAGATCGGCCTCTGTGGAGGAGGCTCGTGAAGGACGCTACTGGGCAGTTGGAGGCAGTCGCCCTCCAGCAACAATGGAGGGCGGAGGAGCGATGCTCACAACAACGAGCGGAGCGCTGAGTGGCTAAAGCACAGCAAGTTGGCACAGTAGGGGGCACAGGTGGTGCATCAGCCAATCATCTCAGTCAGTCGACCCGTGGCACCTGCTGGGTCTGCCCCGTGACCTCGTGCCAGCGGGCGTTCGACACTTCACGTGGCCTCAAGGTGCACATGGCCTGGCACAAGCGTCGTGGTGGCGAATAGCGGGTATCGGTGTGTGCCTCACCGTGTCCCACTCAGCTTCTGTTTAACTGTTCCGAGGGAATTGTTGCTGCATATTGTAGGGTATATATACGTGTGTGTGTGTGTGTGTGCATATAGTGTAGTGGTTAGCCCGCTGCGCTACAAACCCGACCTCTTAAGGCTATACATGGGAGCTTTGTCTTTGTATAAACATTGGTGGAGGTGTAAGTGGAGAAGTTGCAGGATGAAACCTATTCTTCCTACAGCACACATACGCGCACAAACACAAATATTCCCCCGTAGAGCCTTAACAGACTGTGTTGGGGCAAGTACTGTTAGCGAGCAGCACCTATGAAGGCCAACACGGCACACGAGGTGGTGGGTGGCCTTCGCCACACCCAGCTGCCTTTGTCTCCCTTCTGGCGATGTTTGCACATCACACCAGGTACTCATTTGAGGCAGAGTCGACTTAGGGGAGGCTCAGGAGTGGTTCAGATTATCGTCACTGGTGTTGGCCATGAGCGGGAATGGACCTCGGGTCACCGGGTTCATAGCGTAGCGCGCTAACCCCTGCACCACCACTGCCACCGATCCAATAACAATACCAGCCATTCGCCACCAAGTGACGGTGACATCACCATGGCGCCTGTGCCAAGCCAGGTGCACTTTGAGGCCACTTGAAATGTAGAATGCTTGCTGACAGGGAGTCACGGGACAGACCCAGGTCTGACTGGTAGATGCACCAGCTGTACCCCCCCTACTGTGCCAACTTGCTACATTTTAGGAACCACTGCCACAAAGACAGACAATCACAATTCTGCATATACCAAATGTGCACACTGAAATGAAAAGGCCTGGGTTCGATTGAAAAAATAATATTTCCCTTTTTTTGTCCCACTCAAGACCAGGACACGTATATTCATGTCCTGTCCAGAGGTCATTTGAAGGGATCTCAGATTTAGCTCCGCGATGTCCGCTTCCGTGGGCCGCTGTCTTAACACAAAGGGTCGCATTTCCGAATGGATCCTATCGTCTCACGACGTCATTTGTTTCGTGTCCATCAAGCCAACTTGGAACAATGGCGACCGTTTGCGACGGGGGCCGCGGGCCCACAGCACGGTCAGCATCGGCTCATGTAACTTTCACCTGAAGGCTCTCAGACACATACGTCCTCTCATCTCTACTGAAATTGCCAACACATTGGCATGTTGCATAGTTGGGTCTCGCCTTGACTATTGCAGCTCCGTCCTAGTCCGGACCTCCGCTGACAACCTAAAGAAACTTCAAAGACTACAAAACAACCTCCTGGCACGCGTCGTCATTGGCCACACTCATCCCCGTCTCGACTCACTAGCTTGTCTCCGTGCTCTCAACTGGCTCCCCATCGCCAGTAGGGTCACATACAAGACCGCCTGCCTCTGCCACAATGCCTTCATATCCGCCTGCCCGCCGTACCTTTCTTCATTATTGACAACTTGCAGCTCAGCACACGGCAGATGCCTGCGCAGCGCGACTCACGACCTCCTCTTGATACCAAGTTCCAGGATGGTCACGTCTATGCGCCGCTTCTCGGTGGCAGCCCCAACAGTCTGGAACGACGTCCCTCTGCACATTGGCAGCATCACCTCAATCGCCTCCTTCAAGAGAGACTTAAAAACTCACCTCTATAACCGTGCTTTCGAGCGACTCTGAGCTTGGCTCCGCGCCTCTGAGTTGCGGCCACTACGTCCGCAAATTTGCACGCGTTATAAATTTAACTATTATCATTACTACTATGATTATTTTACATCGTCAGCCGTGCGTGGCTTCTCCCGTGGGAGGAGAGTGGGCGAGAGCGAGGAGGCTTCGTCTGCTCCTCTCGCCGCACACTCGGGCGGGGTTCGGGGCCGGGCCGAGAGGCACCCAACTCGCCGATTTCGCTCTGCGGCGACGACGCCGACGGCACGGTCAGGATAAAACAAAAAACAAGTATAACCCGTAAAAACAAAGTTTTTCACTATAAATACTTTATATGCGTGGCGGCTAGAGTCTTCTCGTCCTCTGGCTTGAGATGGCTGCCACCTATGGGTCAGATGATTGCATTGCACCATTAAGCAATTGGTAATTAAATATAATATTTTTGTCCTAAAAAGTGTAAAATTTTGGAAAAAAAATTTCACGAACATTAATTGTCTCGCACAACGAGTCTGTGTGGAAAATGTCACCTCGATTGGATCACGGGAAGTGGGTTAAAAAACGACCCAAAGATTTGCACGGTCGTAAGCAAGCAAGCGAATTTAATATAAAGGATTTAATAAATGGGGGGAAAAGACAATGGATGATGTATTCAACTACTAAGGCTTGACTGGAAACTCAATGCATCAAAGAGTTGACATTTGCATGCTGATTATTGCACGCTCGGTCACTGCAATATACAACGTGTTACAATGCATTGGTTCGCAGATTTTGGTGGGTTTCTAAGCTCCATAATAACGTGCATTGGATAATGCGTGGAAGAATGGACTATTTACAATTCGTGCGAACAGATATGCCAATGCAGCGTGGAGGATAATGGAGTGAAGGAAACTATGCAGTTGAGACGGAACATTTTAGAAACGGCAGATGAGAAGGCGAACGCGAGAAAATAGAAGAATTGTTCCTTTAAAATCAGTCGTGATGCTCAATGTTTGACAAGTCATCAAAGCATTGGTGTGTTTGGAGGGTGAATCATTACATGCCAAAAATAAAACGAATGATTCCAATCATTCTCATTCGGATGGATGAATGCGCCCCCATGCCGTGTCAGTTGGTGGGGGTGTGTTGACCATATTTCACCACTTTGGTCAAGGTTGGTTGTTGATGGGGGAGGCAGGAACAGTTCTGACATCATTTGCCACTGGCCGGGAATTTGACTGGTCGCTGGGCTCATAGCGCAGCATGCGAACCACCATGCGCCATTATTCCACCCACTGACATGACACCAGTACAGGAGGTTGGTGCACGTTCTTAAACTCTTACAAACCCGATAATTAATTGTGCAACGCCCGGGCGTCTGGCACGGGCTCCGTCCTAATTAGCAATCGAACGCGTTTCCTGCTCAGCCATGCGATCGGATCACATGATCTGCCGCTGCCCTGTGACCCCCCTCTGTGGGTGTGGCCGGGATTAAATCCTTGAGACAAAGGTCGCACCGCGTCTGCCGGTTGGCCCCGGCGCGAATAAAAATGCCTCTCGCGTAGCGGAGGGCGGCGGCGGCGTTGCCAGCAGCAGCAGCAGCGGCAGCCCTTGGAAGCGTTGCGTATTTTTATCACGTACCGGCGTGAGAAAGGCGCCCGGCCCTGCCCCCCGTTCGCACGGTGAGCGAAGCGTCGGCGGGTGGAAATCCGTCGCGACAACAACCGACGGACACTGCGGCTGCGCGCACCGCCGTGATGCCAACGGCAGTCCTGCGGCTGTAGCCGCTCGCCGGGGGTTTTCGTTCTCGGCTCGTCGCTCGCCGCCCCCCCCCCCTCCCCACCCCGGCGAACGGTCAAAGCGCGTTGCGAAATCTGCCTCGATTACGGTGAACGGTTTGTAACATGCGCGCGATGTTGTGTGTCGAGCGCGAGCCCAATAGCTCTGTGCTGCTGTCAGCGGTTAAGATGAATGTCGGTTACTGTATGGTGGTGCTGTGCGTCGCTTGGCTTCGGCATTGCGGCACTTTGTGCTTTGCAGTCATTATAAGTTGAGAATTTTGTTGTGCTTCACGCTTGGTGGTTAATCTTTAGGTTGCTTCGCTCTCAACGATGAACGCTTATCTATCCTTTACACCCTCGGGCTGTGATTCTGAATAGTTATTAAGGGCATATTGTTATCCCTTAGAGACTCTGACATCCATTGTGCCTATGTCACATTGACACATGTGATTCACCCCACGTATAAAGATTCTAAATGGCTATTTAAATGAGCATTGTAGTAAAAAATTGCATTCATTTACATGTAATGCAAATGTTTCGATTTGCTAGGTCACTGCTCTCTGAACCGGGCTGCCCGAGTTCGATTCCCGGCCATGTCTAACATCGGTGCTGTACCACCTTCCTTTGCCAATCCACAATAACCATTGTTGTGAAGTATGGTAAAAAAAGCATTTGTGATGTGTGGTAGAGAGTTTTTCATACGGCATTAGACCAATAAAGGGCTGGAAATGAAACGCAAACTACCGTAATGCCCATATGCCTTGAGGCTAATGGTATGGCTGAGACAGAACGATAGTGACGGTACAAACAAGACAAAATTTAAATCCACTCTTAAGTCAAATTATAACTTCACATTGTACCGATCCGTTGAACCACCGGGGGTACACGTACAGCCTTTGGTTAATCCGCTGCTGGATGATGTCCTCCCCGCGCCGCGTGGGTCGTCGTCGTTATCTGACTGTACTTCACGCCCAGCAGAGTGGGCTGGTGAAGGAAGGGAGAATTTTGATTCGGTACAGTGCATCAACAAACATGGCTGCACTGCCCTCTGTTGTCCACCACGCAGCCCAGCAGCAGCTGGTACCAGCAGGTGGCTTGATGCATGACGCCTAACCCATCCAAGCACTCTGCAGGCTTAACCCTGCTTAGCTTCCGAGATGTAACCAGGTCGGGCGCATCGCCCGGTGATTCGATTGCAGCATCCGGCACCGAGGTGCTCGGCCCAAAAGATGAACGGCGATCGACCTGCCGCCTGGGTTGCCTCGTCGGTAGCGGGGCAACCGCCTTCGTCCCTGCGTCCGCCAGAGGTCGCAACCGGGTACCCGATACACGTACCCTACCCGATACCCGGCTACCCGTACCCGGCCGGGTACGGGTAGCCGTTTGCGATCCTGGTGTGGCCGGGTACGGGTAAGCCGTGAGTCACTGGTGAGTAGCCGTTTGTCACTCATTTCGGGTAGGGTACGGGTCGGGAACGGTGCCCGGCCGGGTACGGGTACCCATTTGCGACCCTGGTGCGACCGGGTACGGGTACGGGTAAGGAATCAAAACCCGTTTGCGACCTCTGGCGTCCGCGTTTGGTTTCTCGTCACCGCTGAATGCCGCACGCCCCCCCCCCCCCCCCCCCCCCCCCCCCCCCCACTTGCCGTGCAGGCGCTGGGCTGCGTCCTCTACTTGCTCTGCTTCCAGGAGCATCCGTTTGAGGACGGAGCAAAGCTGCGGATCATCAACGGCAACTTCAGCATCCCGCCGGGCGACACGCGCTACGCCGCCCTGCACCCGCTCATCCGTACGCTCTCACGCCGCCACTCAGGAGGCCGCGTGTGGCCGATGTGGAAAGAGAATACTTTGATATTTTTCGATTTAAAGCTTTCGTGACTGCAGGGATTCATCTTCTTGGTTCTTTCGGTAAAGTCACGCAGAAGGGAAATAATAAAATAATAAAAATTAAACCTAATAAAATAATTCTCACGACGTTTCGGCCACAACGCAAGCAGCCGTCCTCAGGTGAAGAACAGGTCTGTCGGAAAGACAGCGTCTGAATGAACACCACCAGGCTTGGCAGCGTATATTTAAGCTGGGTTGGAGCGGGGAGAGCGCCTTGGTGGTGTGTCATTCAGACGCTGTCTTTTCGACAGACCTGTTCTTCACCTGAGGACGGCTGCTTGCGTTGTGGCCGAAACGTCGTGAGAATTATTTTATTATGTTTTAATTTGATTATTTCCCTTCTACGTGACTTTACCGAAAGAACCAAGAAGACTTTGATATTTTTTATCTGGAGGGGACAGCTGTGCTAAGTAGGCGGGATTTGCCTGCTTAATTTGCTTTGTTTCTTATTTTCTCCACGACGCTCACGATTGTTGAGTTACGCGTCGTGTCATTTTGCATCGAACTCGGACCCATCTATAACAGAATAGCGTCCGCGCCTGTAAACATTGGGCAGTTCACCGGTATTGACTCAACCAAGCCTGATTGCTAATGAGACGCTGTACGTCGAAATCGGTTTCAGAGTTTGCTTGCTTTGAACCGACGCTGCTGAAATGATGCTCTCCCAGAACGCCGCACGGCTGATGAGAGGTTTTTACCCTTTCATCTGGTACAAAAACTGACACCTTTATACAGAGTAGAGGAATGAATATGTTCGCCATCGGCAGCTCACACTTGGAGATTGAGGTGCAGCGGTTAGCGCGTACCCCTCCATGAACCCAGCGACCTACACGTCAACGTCTCCCGTGTGTGAAACCTGCTACGTGCATCAGGAAATAGCAAGTCGGGATGATGTAGTTCGAGCAAGACTTGCTGTCGTTCCGCAGGGCTGGGTGAGCCAAGGTTGAACGCAGCATGGTTTATTGACGCGGCTATATTTGCGTGACCAGCGTTCGACGATTCCCAACTCTGGCGTCCAAAGCGAGCGACATCTGAACCGTTCCTGGACCATCTTCTGTCCCCAACTTCACCGACCTGTCCCTTTACAGTGTGGTGAAGTACGGCACAACCACATCCACGACTCTAGACAGCACGGGTAGCCCTTTGTCCGCCAGTGTGTGGACAACAGCCCTGTAGGATTGTCGTGCCGTGACGTGGCCCAGTGATGGCACCTTCACCCCCGCCTTGTTGCAGAGGTTTGCGGATGGAATTGGACAGGCCACCCCGGTTATTACTACGGATGCATTGACCATAGAATAAGCGCCAGTCTGCTTCACAGTGGACGTGAAAGATCCCCCAGCAGCCACTCGCTGTCGTCTTCATCATTGTTCCTAAACCAAGACCCCGGGCACACTGGCACGCATGTCTACACTCTCTCTCTCTCAAGGCTCTATGCTGAAGGTGCACCCAGATGAACGGCCAGGAATAGCGGAGGTCATCGCTCAGCTGCAGGAGATCGCCACTGCGCGTGCCGTCAACCCCAAGCTGCCAATCACAGAGGTGAGTGACTGCCGCCCCCACCGTCAAACCCAAACGCCCGGCGCGGTCTCTAAACGCGCACCGATGCATCGACTTAGCGGCGCCGCAGCGGCCAATGGAAGCGCAGCTCTCACCGTGTCACTGAACCGGACGGAGGTGGCGGAGGTGGCGCAGGTGGCGGAGGTGGGGGCCAGCTGACGTGGGGGGGGGGGGGGGGGGGGCAGCGAGAGGTGGACGTTGTGTCGGCCAGGGCAGGAGAGGTGGAAGATCGCCACGTCGGCACAGGCCCAAAGGTCTAAAACGTCGAGCGGCCAGCAACGAATAGCACCGTCAAGAGTTGTAATAGATGAGAGTCTAAGACACGCGTGTTGAATTGAGCAAGGTCATTTTTATAAGAAAGAAACAATGGAACGAGGGAATTCCAAAGTGGAAAAGTGCGAATGGAAGCAGCAAAAAGAGAAGTGTCGGGGTGATCGAGTGGCTGGATGAGTGTAGTGAGGGAGCAGACGATGTGAGCGAGTGGGTTGATGGGTGAGTCAGTGAGTCGGTGAGTTGTTGTGACCTGCAGTGTGGTGGTAGAACACAGTGTGGTGGATGAGACGACAGTCAGTCTGGTAGAGACCGACTGTGTCGTCGAATCGGTGTGTAAAGCTTGCGGGAACAGTATCCATTGCAGTAGCGATAGTAGCCCGATACGGAGGCGTCTGCCCATGCAGCACTCTCATTACACGTGATGCAAGGGAATCCTCCGACCGAGTATCGGTTGGATTGCTCGACTAATCAGCCGGTAACCCTAATTGTTGGGCCGGAGGTTCAGAGAAACGTCTCCGTTCACCTTGACAAACAAACTCGCACGAGCCATCGAAGATACGTTAAGGAGTTACAGCCTGGGAAGGTCCTCTCAACTTGGTCTCCATTGCTTCTGTCGGAGCAGCTCGTCGCAACATCAGGGAATCACTCGGTTCGGGCACGGCCCCGAACCCCCGTCTCTCTCCGCTTTTCGTCCTTCCTGAAACTCTCCCCGACTAACCCTAACCCCGACCAATCCGCTTCGTTCATCCCAACGGGGTGAGCCCCTCGTTTGCATTTAGTTTTCCCCGCGTACTTTCAAATTTACCCTGTTGACCAATCCGATTTAAACGGTTGTCCACCTTCAAATCCGGTTGTGTGGCCCCACACCGGCTTTCCCCGGCGACAAGCTCCTAGCCAATGAGGGTCGAGCGCGCTGTTTGATCTCGCAAGCCGTTTGAGCCGGCGAGCGTTTGTGTATTTATTTATTTTTACGGTTCCCCTCTCAGCGTCCCTTGCAGCTACGTAGAGAATAGCCGCCAGGACAGCGCGTAATGACTTTGATGCTCCCTGCAGTTTAGCACAAACACTGATTCAAGATCCGAATGGCTCACAGGGCTATACCTAATAAATAAACCTGAACTTGAACTGGCGGCGTGTCTGTTAGCTGCCGTGTCGTTTGGTTCTGAGAGCACGGTGGAACAGCTCGCGTTTCCAGGGCAAGGCTGCCGTTTGCGGAGTGTGCGTGCACGCGCGTGCGTGCATTTGTGGTTGTGTTGGCACGTGGGTGTATGTGCGTGCGTGCGTGTGTCTATACGTGGGTGTACGTGTCCTTTCTGCGGTAGTGTAGCGGTTAGCGCGCTGCGCTATGAACCCGGCGACTCGGGTTCGATTCCCGCTCACGGTCGACACCGGTGACGATTATTTGAACCGGTACTGGGCCTCCCCGAGGTCGACTCGGCCTCAAATGAGTAGCTGGTGCGGTGTGTAAACATCGCCACTGGAGAGACAAAGGCGGTCTGGCGCGGTGCTGGCCACCCACTCCCTCGTGTACCGTTCTGGCCTTCATAGGTGCTCGCTAACAGAACTTGCCCCGACAGTCTGTTCAGGCTATACGGGGGATTTTTGTCTTTGTACGCGTCCTTTCTGCTCTGGGCTGCACGCTGAGTTTGGCATAAATATCAAGGTGATGTCATCGCTACATAGTGTTGAACGACTGTTGTGTGTGTGGGTGTGTGTTATTGTGTGTCATTGTGCTTGCGTGCCATTGTGTGGGGAGCTGTAGTGTAGCAGTTAGCGGCACTCCGTTACGGACCGAGTTGCGACTCCCAGCCATGTCTAACAAAAGTGGCGAGTGCTATCTGAACCTGTCCAGGGCCTCCCCTATGTCGACTCAGCCTTGCACGAGTACCAGATGTGGTGGGTAACGGCAAAACTGGGGAGACCAAAGGGAGAGGTAGCAGAGTGCGTGGAGAGCAGTAGAGAGAGGTGAGATGGGAGAGTGCGTGGAGGGGAGTAGTGAGATGAGAGAGGAGATGGAGGAGAGTTTGTGGAGGAGTAGAGCGAGATGAGAGGCAGGCAGGGCCAGGCCAGTCTCTGGAGGATGTGGAAGGCATTTAGTGCGATCACATTTGTACGTTCACTTCTGCGTGTGCTTCCTCAGTTGTTTGACGGAGGAGGCTCCCTGGGCATTGGCATTTCCCCGTCTGTCACCGCTAATTTCCAGCCTGCACCCGAAAACCGCATGGAGCCACACGGTTCGTATCAAAACACGGCACGCGGGGGCGCGGGGACATGGGGACATGCCTGGGCACGGCGCACGCGGGGACACGGCACACGTGCTCGACCCAACTTTGGTCGTTAAAATGTCCCACCTTGTGGGTAAGTCAACAGCGGCTGTCCTTATGAGTGGACTCGCCTGTGCTTATCGGAATGTGGAATTTCCACCACCGGCTCTGCAGGGTTGGAAATGGGAGATGGACCACGCCAATGGCTCAATGCTCATTTGAGCAAGAAATCACTTTTGACTTTGTTCATTTTTACAAGTCATCGTCATCATCAGCAATGGTCAATCCGCCGCTGGATGAAGGCTTCCCCAAGCCGCCGACGCGACACCTCTTGCGTCCGCAGCGACGTGATGGCGAATGTTTTTTCGTAACTCGCGACGCCATCCTGCCCGCAGGCCTCACGAGCTCGGAGGGCGACCCTCAGCAGGTCGGCGGGCTGCTGGACATCATGAAGGGCGGCGCAGGCCGTCTCTTCAGCAACATCAAGGACACGTCCTCAAAGGTCATCCAGTCGGTCACCAGGTATGCGCCCCCCCCCCCACCATGGTGGTGAGATGTTAACTACCTCGCCTGGTATGGAAGAGGTCGTGGATTCGATCCCGACCCTGAACGCTGCTGTATATTTGGAGTTTGCGTGTTCTCTCTCTCTCTCTCTCCACGTGGTCACGTGGATTTTTATCTGGGTTCTCCGGTTTTCCCCTCTGCGTTTAGAATCGACATCACACGTTTAGAGTATTTGACTACTATACATTTCCACGTGATGTTAAGTCACTTCGTTGAGCTATAACTTCTGAAAAAGAGTTACATAGCTCAGTGGGCTTTTCCTGGTACAATAAAAATAGTTTAGTTTACGTGTCCGCCGTGGCCCCGTACTTTAGCCCGCGCGTTGCCCCCCACCCCCTCACCGCGTGCCCCCCACGTGCCCGAACAGATGTTATGCCGGCGTCACGATTATTGCGTGGCGAGGTAGGGCTGGCTCGTTGGGCGTGCCACGTTGGAATGCGCTGTCCGCGTGGAATGAGCATTCCAAAGACCCTGGCAAAAAAACACCGCCGCAATCTCGGGAGCGTTTATTTTGCGCCGGTTTTGGTAGTTAAAAAAACACATCGTCAACCATGGTCAATCCACTGCCGGACGATGGCCTTGCCAAGCCACCACCGCCACCTCTCACTATCCCGCCATGTAACGATGCAGCGGGTTTGAATGTTTGATGCGCGTAACGAGCGGGTAGGGGTGACGTGCGCAGCCTCGCCAGCCCGTGGGTTTCTGAGTTGTCAATCTCAAATGCCGGCGACGACGGCGGCGTCTGTATTGGATTGGTTGGCGCTGCAGAGCGCGCAGGGTGAAAGGTGGGGGGAGAGATCAGGTGCGTGAGCGATTGCCTCTAAAATCTAGCCAGAGCCGTGGACTGAAGTTAAACACATGTCCAATGAAACGTACAGAAATGAGAACATTGAGAAATTAAGTGAAATGATAGGAGCGTGTTGCAGTGGACAGCGCAGTTAAATGGCCGAGTGAGCGGCTCGCAATCAGAAGGTTGCCAGTTCAAATTCCAGTTAGGAGGGATTGACTCAGCCTATCATTCCTCCGGGGGTCGATAAAATGAGTACTGCATTTCGGGGAAAGTCAACAGTGGTTATTCTACGGATAGACTGCCCCCGACATAGGTTTATGGAATTCCCACCCCTGGTTCCGCCACCATTGCCTCTCTAAAGCAAGGGTCGGCACAAGTGACTCGCACGGCGGTGATGGTGGCGCCGGTGTGTCGCTCGCAGCTCCGTGCAGAGACCTCCTCTCTCTTTCCCCGCCGCACCGATCGCTCGGTGCGCACCCTCGTCGGCGTGCAGTGGCGTTCACTCCCTCGCCGTCACGAGACGATTCGTCACGATTTTCGGTTTCGGACAGTTGCCTCCCATGTTTGCTTTCGAACCTTCCCCACCCCCCCACTCACACTTTCAATGCACTCCAGACCCCCTTTGCTCGTTAATGAATTATAATTAACTTAAAGCGGTGATTTAAATTCACCAATTTGGTTGTCCGAATTCGTTGCTTTAGAGTCAACCTCCGATCGGCGAGCTGCTGACCTGGATTGTCGATTTTTAACGATATTGGTTTTACGCCCTTTTCGTGGTGCCCCGTTCGAAGTGGGGGCTGGTGGGGGGGGTGGTTGTCGTGGTCATGCATGCACATTTGTCTGTGTGCCACTAGGTGGCGACATATCACTTGATTTGCATTTTGCATTGATCGTTTTGTTGCGTGTTTTTTGTTATTTATGCTTCTGCAATCGACTTTAACACCCTGCTTGGTTGCTTTCACCTGTGAATAACCATGTCCATCTCGCCGATTACGTGCTCCTGCCACCCTCAGCACCAGGTAAATCCCATTGCCTCTTCGCATGATTTTAACTTTTTATTTGCGCTTAACATCAGCTTCTGTGTACGCGTAATGCCTTCGCTTGTCATCTCGGCTTTTGACCACCGTGCGCCATCGGTCACCCGCCTCCTGTTAAAGTTCCGCTGTGATGAACGTGTGAAAAAATGGGGAGCTAAGGTGCTGGCAATGCCAACTTTTTGCAGCACCCTGACCACGCCACTCACTAAAGGCCTACCAAATATCGGGGAGGAGGCTCAACCAGTGACACATGATGCCAGAAGAACAGGCTTTACCCTTTGCGGAAAGAACGCAGGCGTTAAGACTTTCAAACACCAAATAGACACCCATCGCAAGGCATCGGGGACACGTGGTCTAGCTGGCACCCACTCCCACCCTCAGACCCGCCTACTTTTACATAGCCCCACCCACGACTCGCGTTACTCCGACTGCCCAAGTGGAGACAAAATCCTGATACCGGGACGGACCTTTTGAAACCACCGGGACTCTCCGGCCAATCCAAGATGTATTTGCAGCCTCAGGCTCCCTTCCTCTCCTTATCCCTGGCCGCCAGCTTCTCCGAGCGAGAGAACCTCGTGGGCGGAGGAGGTGGAGGCCGAGGAGGTGGCCGGAGGTCTCGCGAATGCGGCAGATTTGCCGCTACAGTCGAGACTCGGCGATAGGGAGGGGGCTCGCTTTGGGGGCTTTGCTTGGAGGGACCCCTGTAAGGGGGCTCACCTGGGGGCTTTGCTTGGTGGGACCCCTGGGAAGAGGGCTCGCTTGGGTGCTTGGGGTTGGTGCCGGAGGGTCGGAGCTTGGAGTAGAAGGGCGCTGACCTGACTGTACGCAGGTTTTGCGGTAACGCTGAGGTGCCTCAACTGCCGTATGCACACGGTGCCGCTCCTTGCCGAGCCGCGGGTCGGTGCGGGTTGGCGAAGGCGGGGAGCGCACACGTGGAAGCGCAATGAATTCCCTTCGACGATAGACGTTGCTGCACCGCTCTCTCTGCTGCTCACAGCGTAGCACCGCAGCCGCCTAGAACGCCTGTTGTAGGCCGCTGCAACACTTATTGTAGTACCCTGCACATCCAATTCGCACCCCGCACCTCCGATTAGCACGGTCGGCTACATACGGTAGTGCGAATGGAGTTCAACGTACGTACACACACACCTGTTGTGATCCGCACAGTTTGGGGAGGCCCTCATCCAGCAGTGGATTGACGCGAAGGCTCTACACGTGTTGTATACATTACCCAGTGTAGCATTTGTCAATTCAATTCTATTTGTGTCCTCATGAAAGTTGTGCGGCCACGTGATTGTTACGTGCAATTTAGCTTGTAAACCGGATTGTATTTGCAGCTGAAGGCAGAGAGGCGGCACGGTGGCACAGTGGCAACACTTGTGCCTCAAAGCAAGAAGGGCCTCGGTTCCATTACCAACTCGGGCACCTTTCCACGTGGAGATTCTAAGTTCTCCCCCAGTTCTGTATCGCTTTCCTGTGGGTTCTGCGATTTCCTCCCATAGCTGCCAAACATAAAACATTCAGTGTAACTAGTCTAGGCCAAATGCCGTAATGCATAAAATAAATACCTGCAATTTACTCAATAGGAGGGCACCCTCTTGAAAACTAGTCTTGAGACTCGGTGATGCTTTCCTGGGTAGACAAGCGTAGTAATTACAGTAAGATGAGCAATGCTTCAGCGCTGTCCAGTTGTAGCTGGACAGCTTGTTAGTGAACCAAAACCCCGAAGACAAACTCTACATTTGAACACTTTCCGATTAAGGTTGAAACCGTAATGCATTCGCTCTCTCCGTGCGTCTGCTCGATCGCTCCCGTCCGTCTGTCCGCATCAGGATGGGGGTCACGGTAACTCTCTTACAGATGACCCAATATGAACGGCACTTGAGCGTCAAGTTGTGTCGCTATTAAGGAACTCGCCCGAGAGGGCTAGGGTGGTTGCCCTAGCCCAGGGGTCGGCAACCTACGGCTCTGGAGCCGCATGCGGCTCTTTACGGGCTGCTTCTTGACGATGAGTACGTATACTCAGATGCATTGCGGCTCTTGAAATACTGAATTTTGTACCGAATTGGAAAGAAATGGCTCTTCTTGTTATTTTGGTTGCCGACCCCTGCCCTCGCCCTCCCTTGGCAGCGCTGCTTTCGGAGCCGTACTGTCTCGCCGCGGCCTATGAACAGGCTCCTGACGGCCTCCTTTGTATTTGGATTATCTGCAGTGCTTCCGATGATTGATTTGGTGAAGTGTGGAGGGCCAATGGGCCGATTCACTTAAAAAAAAATCACTTTGGAGGCACTGACTGTAAGTTGATGGTTGTGTTTTGTTTGGTGGCGCTTCATAGCGCACGGAGCGCAGTGCTCTAACAAAATGTGGTCATCGTTTCAGTTACACGAAGGGAGACCTGGACATCTCGTACATCACGACGCGGGTAGCAGGTGAGTGCGGCCTTGAGTCCGTGGACCAGTGCATCGACATTCACTTGCGAGACGTGCATTTCGCAACCTCTTTCTCTCTCGAGACGCGACCAATCGCTGCTGGGATATTTAAGAGGCGTTCTACTTGCGCATCGTATTTCAACCAATTAAAACAATGATTTTCACAGGAATCGTTTATCCACCTCCCTTGATGAGAGCAAAAATGCTCGTTAAATTCCGCGGCGTCGGGACATACTGAGACGAATCGAATTGTTCATCCTCGCTCGGATAGTGGTGGTGCATTTAGTATCGTTTGTATATGGCTTGCGGTGGTGTGGGTGACAATGGGGAGGCTGCTGGTGATGGTCTTTCTAACAGTGCGGTGTGAGGGTACGGTGAGCGTGTGTATCGGTTAGCACACTGCGCTAAAACCCCGGCGACCCGAGTTCGATTCCCGCTCACGGCCAACACCAGTGAGGATTATCTGAACCGGTCCTGGGCCTCCCCCAGGTCGACTCAGTCTCAAATTGGTACCTGGTGTGGTGTGTAAGCATCAGCATTGGGGGAGACAAAGGCGGCCAGGTGTAGTGTTGGCCACACGCCCCCTCGTGTGCCGTGCCGGCCTTCATAGGTGCTACTCGCTTACAGCCCTAGCTGTCCGTTAATTTGCGACACGGGGGATTGTGGGCTTTGAGATCGCTGCCGGTGGCCCTGCGCTCGGATCGGTGTGGCTGTACGCAGTTGGTTTGATCGCTGTGTGTGTTGCTGAGGTGGTGTGGGCTGCAGTGGTGCGGCAGGGAAACGGCGTGGCTGACCGTGGTACGGCCAGAGTCGTGTGGCTGATCCGCGTTGTGGCTGTACGCGGCGTGGCCGGATCTCCCCAGTCATGTCGTACCCGGCGGAGGGAGTCGAGTCGGCGTTCAAGAACCACATTGAGGACGTCCGCGCGTACTTGGACTCGCGGCACCCCGACCACTACGCCGTTTTCAACCTCTGCCAGCGCGGCTACCGCCCCGCGCGCTTCCACAACCGGGTACAGCCGGCTTTCCGCGCCATAGCTGCCGCTCAGAACCATTATCATCGTAGCCCTTGTCTGCGGCGTTATTGTGATCATCGTCATTTTTGAAACCATCACTGTTGCTTTTACGGTCATTGTCTTTGTAATTTTCCTTGAAGTCATTGATATCGTCATCACCAAATCTTGTCTGCGGCATTATCTCCGTATTCATCATTCATGGAGTTGGCTAAGCATCCCAATGTAGGATCACAGAACTTGGGCAATCGCTGGTGCCGGTTCTGGTCACCTTCCCAAGCGCATGTCTGTGGCTTCTCGTGCCTCTGAGCGAAAATTGCAAAGCATTACAAATTCGGCATGAATGACGCCACTATGTATATATATTTTTAGAAAATCATGCAAATATTATCATTTATAATATGAGCATCAGCATTGATGTCATTGCCATTTTGTTTGTATTATTACAATGTTATCATCGCCATTCATTATCACTGACATCATCATCGTCGTGAATATTGTCATCATCGTTTTTATCATCATTACATTTCTTGTCCATCGTCACAGTCACCGTAATTTAAACGTCGCCCACCTGTGTCGGCTTGTGCGACAATCGCGCTTCAGCATCATCCCGGTGAGCGTGCGCTGCCACTGTGAAGTCATCGTGCTCGGCTGCGCAGGGACCCGCTGGCACATGTGCCTTCATTGAGCAAAGCAATTACCCACCCCAAGCCGTTATCGACATGACGCCCATGACCGTTCCGCATCCCTGTCTCGCTCCACGTGATAGTTTAAATTAATAACAGTAATTACGTAAATATATATACGACTGTAGGCCTTGTTGTTACATCTGACGGTGTTTCTACAGAAAGCAAAAAGCAGAATTTAAATGGTTAAGGAAGCCTTCGGAAATAATATCCTGGACTCGTATTTGTCGGAGAGCATTCCAGTTTCAAGTGTATTTGCTTTCACCAGCTGAGAACCCAAGGGACGAGGATAGAGTCATTAGCGAGCATGACCTGGTTCGCGTAGAAATGAACACGCAGTCGTATGGAAAATGAAGCATTTGTAAATCGGAGCAAAAACAAACCGAATAGAAATCAAAGCAAAAAAAAAGGGTGTTTGCCAAGCCTGACTCTGCTGATGAGATACTGGGTGTCGAAGCCGGTCCAGAGTTTGCTTGCGTTGAATCGACTTCGCTGAAATTGCATGCTCCCAGACGGCCGTGTGGCATGATAGGATGTGTAAAAATAGAAAGGAAAGATTTGTTCATGTGGAGAGACGGATATGGGAAGTAGGAGGCGAATTCTCTGAAAGAATAATGACTGAATGGTCGCAATGAAGGATCGCAGTTGGATTCAAGTTGTTACATTGCGGTGAATTGTCATGCCTCAAGTGGCTGTAGTAGGAGTCACACGAACCCGTCACGTACAACGTACGCCACACGAAGTATATGAGTAGTCACGTACAACTTACACAACACAAAGTATGTCAGCAGCTGCTAACAACATGCACCACACGACGTATGTCAGTTGTGACGTGTGACATCCAATATGTGTATTTTGAGTTGACGAATTGCTATGTATCGATGTACCACTCCACTGCTATTGGACGGTATGGAATTCACAATAATGATTGTTGATGTGGAGCAACTATGAAAACCATTTTGGACTTGGAAAGAGATGAGCCTTTACTGTAAAACAAGGGTTTTTTTTGGCAGAGCTGCTCTTTGTGTTACTGAAGGGTTTGAATGGCTGGACAATAAAGCAAATAAAAACCAGTTTTTTGGATTTGAGCCCAGTAATCTGAGATAAATGCTAGGTATGTTGTTGGTCAGACAGGATAAGCAATGCACAAGTCTGGTAGAGAGCATTTGCACGTAATTTTAGGCTATAATTTTCAGCTATAATTTCGCAGCAGCAAGAACAAAAAAAACATCACCCCGATGCAAGTTAGACAAGGGGGCCGATTACAGGAGACCGGCATCGGAGCGGCCTCCTCGAGTCCGGCAACCGAGGGGAAGAGAGGACCAAAGAGCAGACGGCTAGATGAGACTGTCAGGGCGGGTGTTTGAGGGCACGTCCTTACGGCTGCGTGGCAGCTGCGGCATCTGGAAAGAGGGGGGTAGGAAGCGTGGTGGTGGCAGAGGTCGCAAACGGGTTTTGATTCCTTACCCGTACCCGTACCCGGCCGCACCAGGGTCGCAAACGGGTACCCGTACCCGGGTACGGGTAGGGTACGGGTACGGGTACCCGATTGCGACCTCTGGGATGAAGCCATGTTGCAGGCGCGGGTGGGTTGATTCTAGGAACTTGAATTGTGAGAAGAGACAAGACGTTGGGAAATGAGTGACAAACAGTTACTCACCAGTGACTCACGGCCTACCCGTACCCGTACCCGGCCGCACCAGGGTCGCAAACGGGTACCCGGCTGGGTACGGGTAGCCGGGTATCGGGTAGGGTACGGGTATCGGGTACCCGGTTGCGACCTCTGGGTGGTGGTGACATCAACGGCCTTGGCTCCGTTGACATCTTGATCTTGAGTCGCAGATGGAACGAGCAGATAAGCAGCAGCAGCAGAAGAAGATTACGGGAATAAAGTCCGCGAATAACAGAGCGACTCATTTGAATAACACTCCGTGATGAGGGTGGACGTGTGCACCCCACCTCAGCGACTCAACAAACGTCGCACTTAAGCCGCAGAGAGCTTTTTACGAAGGTGTCAATTTTGTTCAACCGAAGCGGAGAACTCAAGAGACCAACTTCGGGGCCTCATTTGCAAGGGTGACCTGGTTCCACACCGCGACAAATGTACCTACGCGTAAATAGACTCGAAGAATGTGCGTCAAATACAACGGCGACAGAGCAGCGCGCCGCCACGCGTCTCAGCCATCCGTGTCGTCGTGGTTTGTTCCGCGCTGGTTCAGGTCTCGGAGTACGCCTTCCCGACACGCCGCGCTCCCAACCTCGGCTGCCTCTACACCTTCTGCAAGGACCTGCTCGTGTGGCTCAAGCAGGACCCCAAAAACATCTGCGTCGTGCACTGCCTGGTACGTGCGAGTGACAGCCGCGTCCTCCCCTCGCGGGCATCGTCGCTCGCTCGGAATTCGCCCTCCCAGGTGGTCGGTGGGGTCGGAGGGGGTCGGGGGGGGGTCTGTGGGTTTGGTGGGGTCTGCGAAGTCTGTGGGGTCTGCGGGATCGGTGAGGTCGGCGGGGTCGGCGTTTCTCTCAGGACTAAGAAGCGATGGCCTGCAGGCTGTACCGGGGCGCGGCACGGTGGCGCAGTGGGAACGCCCGTGCCTCGCTGCCTTGGGGAACTCAATTATACGTTGCTCCACAGCACTGCTCATGTGTGGCTGTAATAGGACAAGAATAAAAGCGTTGACCTTTTAGGTTACGGCCCTTTTTAAATAGAATGTACAGAGAGAGGCCAGGGGCAAGACAGAGTGGATGGAAAGAGTATGGATTCCTGCAGTCACGATAGCCTATTATCCAATTGGATAATAGGCGTTAGACACTGCACTTGTTAACACCATGGCGTTCAGATGACTAGTTCCACTATTATTAGCCATTGAGTAACAGACATCCCCTTCAGTAATCAAAAAGTATAGCTGCCAAATAAGCAGCTTTTTATTGAAAGTAATAGTATAAAATGTTAAATTATAAATAGAGCAAGAAGGGCCTGAGTTCAAATCAGGCGCTTTTCTGCATGGCGTTTGCACGTTCTCCCCCCTGTTCTACAAGGGTTTCCTCTGGGTTCTCTGCTTTCATGAACCCAGAGCGAAAACACACAGTGTCATCGATGTTGGCCAAACATCCCGATGTAGCAGGAACCTCCCAAAAAAAAGAGTCTTCGGACTCTGCGTGCCATTCCGAGGAAGTCGCCCCCGCGTACCTCTCATCAGCACGGTTGTCGACGTACGGTGCGAAAGAAGTTCAACATGCGTACACACACACCTGTTGTGACCTAGCCCGCTGCTTCATTCATACGGCTTGCGGCCACATGACGCCCACGACTTCAAAGTAGTATATAATGCCTATAGTAGTATCTACTGACTCTACAGTAGTATCTACTCACACTACAGTAGTATCTACTGACTCTACAGTAGTATCTACTCACACTACAGTATCTACTGACTACAGTAGTATCTACTCACACTACAGTAGTATCTACTGACTCTACAGTAGTATCTACTCACACTACAGTAGTATCTACTGACTCTACAGTAGTATCTACTGACACTACAGTATCTACTGACTACAGTAGTATCTACTGACTCTATAGTAGTATCTACTGACACTACAGTAGTATCTACTGACTACAGTAGTATCTACTGACTCTATAGTAGTATCTACTGACTCTACAGTAGTATCTACTGACTCTATAGTAGTATCTACTGACACTACAGTAGTATCTACTGACTACAGTAGTATCTACTGACTCTACAGTAGTATCTGCTGACTCTACAGTAGTATCTGCTGACTCTACAGTAGTATCTGCTGACTCTACAGTAGTATCTGCTGACTCTACAGTAGTATCTGCTGACTCTACAGTAGTATCTACTGACTCTACAGTATAAAATACTGACTCTACAATAGTATCTACTGACTCTACAGTAGTATCTACTGACTCTACAGTAGTATCTACTGACTCTACAGTAGTATCTACTGACTCTACAGTAGTATCTACTGACTCTACAGTAGTATCTACTGACTCTATAATAGTATCTACTGACTCTACAGTATAAAATACTGACTCTACAGTAGTATCTACTGACTCTACAGTAGTATCTACTGACACTACAGTAGTATCTACTGACTCTACAGTAGTATCTACTAACTCTACAGTAGTATCTACTGACTCTACAGTAGTATCTACTGACTCTACAGTAGTATCTACTGACTCTACAGTAGTATCTACTCACACTACAGTAGTATCTACTGACTCTACAGTAGTATCTACTAACTCTACAGTAGTATCTACTGACTCTACAGTAGAATCTACTGACTCTACAGTAGAATTTACTGACTCTACAGTAGTATCTACTGACTCTACAGTAGTATCTACTGACTCTACAGTAGAATTTACTGACTCTACAGTAGTATCTACTGACTCTACAGTAGTATCTACTGACTCTACAGTAGAATCTACTGACTCTACAGTAGTATCTACTGACTCTACAGTAGTATCTACTGACTCTACAGTAGTATCTGCTGACTCTACAGTAGTATCTGCTGACTCTACAGTAGTATCTGCTGACTCTACAGTAGTATCTGCTGACTCTACAGTAGTATCTGCTGACTCTACAGTAGTATCTGCTGACTCTACAGTAGTATCTGCTGACTCTACAGTAATATCTACTGACTCTACAGTATAAAATACTGACTCTACAATAGTATCTACTGACTCTACAGTAGTATCTACTGACTCTACAGTAGTATCTACTGACTCTACAGTAGTATCTACTGACTCTACAGTAGAATCTACTGACTCTACAGTAGAATCTACTGACTCTACAGTAGAATCTACTGACTCTACAGTAGTATCTACTGACTCTACAGTAGTATCTACTAACTCTACAGTAGTATCTACTGACTCTACAGTAGAATCTACTGACTCTACAGTAGAATTTACTGACTCTACAGTAGTATCTACTGACTCTACAGTAGTATCTACTGACTCTACAGTAGAATTTACTGACTCTACAGTAGTATCTACTGACTCTACAGTAGTATCTACTGACTCTACAGTAGAATCTACTGACTCTACAGTAGTATCTACTGACTCTACAGTAGTATCTACTGACTCTACAGTAGTATCTGCTGACTCTACAGTAGTATCTGCTGACTCTACAGTAGTATCTGCTGACTCTACAGTAGTATCTGCTGACTCTACAGTAGTATCTGCTGACTCTACAGTAGTATCTGCTGACTCTACAGTAATATCTACTGACTCTACAGTATAAAATACTGACTCTACAATAGTATCTACTGACTCTACAGTAGTATCTACTGACTCTACAGTAGTATCTACTGACTCTACAGTAGTATCTACTGACTCTACAGTAGAATCTACTGACTCTACAGTAGAATCTACTGACTCTACAGTAGAATCTACTGACTCTACAGTAGTATCTACTGACTCTACAGTAGTATCTACTGACTCTACAGTAGTATCTACTGACTCTGCAGTAGTATCTACTGACTCTACAGTAGTATCTACTGACTCTACAGTAGAATCTACTGACTCTACAGTAGAATCTACTGACTCTACAGTAGAATCTACTGACTACAGTAGAATCTACCGACTCTATAGTAGTATCTACTGACTCTACTGTAGCATCTACTGACTCTACCGTAGTACAGTGAGGGAAAAAAGTATTTGATCCCTTGCTGATTTTGTACGTTTGCCCACTGACAACGAAATGATCAGTCTATAATTTTAATGGTATGTTTATTTGAACAGTGAGATACAGAATAACAACAAAACATTTTTTGCAGAGGGGTCAAATACTTATTTCCCTCATTAAAATGCAAATCAATTTATAACATTTTTGACATGCGTTTTTCTGGATTTTTTTGTTGTTATTCTGTCTCTCACTGTTCAAATAACCTACCATTAAATTATAGACTGATCATTTCGTTGTCAGTGGGCAAACGTACAAAATCAGCAGGGTATCAAATACTTTTTTCCCTCACTGTACCCATCGCTGCAAGCTTCTTGGCAGCACTAATCGGGAACTAGAGGGGGCGGCGGTGGCAGCGTTGGGGGGAGGACGACGACTATATCCGACACTGACGCGTTTCCCGTTGGACTAGGACGGGCGTGCCGTGTCGGCGGTGGCGGTGTGCTCCTTCCTGTGCTTCTGCCGGCTCTTCAGCACTGCCGAGGCGGCGCTCTACATGTACAGCCTGCGCCGCTGCCCTCCTGGAATCTGGCCGTCGCACAAGCGGTGAGAGAGAGAGAGGCGGCCACGCGACGCCGTGCTTGTCTCGGTGGGGGTTGCGTCAAAGATCCCGCCGGGCATCATTCGCAAGAGGAGGCCCTCGTGTGCCAGCAGCGTCGGGGTTGCCAAACTCGAAACTGACACCGCAAATTGCTCGATTGGAACTATACGTAGCAATCATCGCCCCCCCCCCCCCCCCACCACTACTAGCAGACGAAATGCTCTAAGCCGCTAATTTCGAACGGCACTCATCCTGATAAGATAATTGGTTTTTTACCCTTTTATCTGGCAATAAAACTGACACCTTTTTCTTACAAGGAGTCATGTTTGCATAGACCACAATACCTGCAGTCGTAATGCAAACAAAAACATAACTCTGATAATGTATGCACTGTCCTTGAAGTTGATTGGTCCACACCCGAGACAGCTTTCCTTAGAGCCTGGTCTCACATGGTGTTGAGCACTCATCTTGTTTTGTCTCGAGTTCTCAGGAAGTTAATTAAACAACGTGAGCTTGAAAGTTGATGGCACCCCGCGTGTGTGTACGAGTGTGCACGTGCGTGGGGAGCGCGCTGCGCTCCGAACCCGGCAACCCGGGTTCGATTCCCGCTCACGGCCAATACCAGCGACGAATTTCTGAATCGGTCCTCGGCCTCCCCTAGGTCGACTCGGCCTCAAATGAGTACCTGATGCGATGTGCAAATATTGGCACTAGGAAGACAAAGGCGGCCGGGCGTGGTGCTGGCCACCCACCCCCTCGCGTGCCGTGCCAGCCTTGCTAACAGCACCTCTCCCAGGAGTCTGTTGAGGTTATACGGGGGCTCTCTGTCTTTGTGCGCGCGCCGCCGGCGCTGCAGCTACATCGAGTACGTGTGCGACATGGTGGCGGACGAGCCCATCATCCCGCACGGCAAGCCCGTGTGCCTGCGCTCCGTGACGCTCTCTCCCGTGCCGCTCTTCAACAAGCAGCGCAACGGCTGTCGCCCGTTCTGCGAGGTCTACGTCGGGGAGGAGCGAATCCTCACCACCTCGCAGGAGTACGACAAGATGAGGTGGGCGCGCCGCGGCGCAGGTTCCCACCGATCAGAGTCGCCCGATGTCGGGAGGGGGCTTCCTCGGGAAGTTGATGAACCCTTTTCCCATTCCGTTAACGGAATACGCGTACGTCAGTAGTTTTTCTTTCGGATCTGTTACGATAACGTACGTGTACGTCATCACAATGGAACCGCAAGAAAAACTGACGTTGATTTTTCTTGACCGAGGCTCCCGCAAGGCCATGCGGGAGGGAGTGTGGCACAGTTTGGCGCTGCTATCGTAGTGTGCGGAGGTCGTGTCGCTACGGTTCTCTGCAGGGAGTACAATGTCTTTAAAAAGAACGGCGCTTCTCTGAATAGAATTAACGCCGAACCGCTTGCGTGTACCAACATTCATTGGTGAACAGGAGCCACCGTGCAACTTGCGGTTGTCTCGGATCGGGAAAGGGTGAACATTTTTCTCTTGATAAAATCAACGATTATTTGCTTTTGATGGAGCCGCCCTCTCTACGCGCGATCTTACATCTCTTCCCCGCACATTTGAAAGGGGACCCCCCGTGTCAGCTGTCCCTGCTCGGCACAAAGTGACTCAGCACCTGGCCTGCAAACGGGGGGGTTGGTGGGGGACGTTGGGATTAGTCTGCCACTAGGAGAGGGGGGCGGCAATTGCTACGTGTAATCCCAGTTGATAAATTTGAATTGACGAACGGCTCAGCAGCCAATGGATGGGCAGCTCTAACCGGAGGTGGCGAGAAGAATTCGGGTGAGGGGGAGGGAGGTGGGGGGGGGCGGAAGGTCTAAAACGTCGAACGACCAGCAACAAACAGCACTGCCAGAGTTAAATTTCGATTTAAAGCTTTTGTGACTGCAGGGATTCATCTTCTTGGTTCTTTCGGTAAAGTCACGTAGAAGGGATATAATAAAATAATAAAAATTAAACATAATAAAATAATTCTCACGACGTTTCGGCCACAACGCAAGCAGCCGTCCTCAGGTGAAGAACAGGTCTGTCGGAAAGACAGCGTCTGAATGGGCACCACCAGGCTTGGCAGCGTATATTTAAGCTGGGTTGGAGGGGGGAAGGGGCGCCTTGACAAAGGAATTTGCATATCAAGAGGAATTTAGCATATTTATGGGAAATGCAGACTGCCAGAGTTGTTAATAGATGAGAGTCGAGGACACGCGTATTGAATTGAGCAAGGCTTTGAGGGTTTGGGGGCAAGAGACGCTAGAGGAGGAAATTCCAACGAGGTGCAGTGCGTGGGAAGAAGCAAAAGGTGGAGTGCTGTGCCCTGCAGTGACGGCGGAGGTGGCGGCGGTGGTGGTGGTAGTGACGGCGGCGGTGATGATGGCGGTGGTGGTGGCGGTGGCGATGGTGGTGGTGGTGGTGGAACACCGCGTTGGTGAGACGACACAGTCGGGTAGTGTGGGTGCGCAGCCTCTTTCGACCGACCCGGCTGCCACAGTGAGAGTGGTGCCCGGTGTGGTCTGTTGGGCACGGAAATCCGTTCCGGGTCGCTGACGTGGCCGCCGCGCTGCCAGCTCACTGCTCGGACCTCCGAGCCTCCCAGCCTCCCCCTCAAGTGAAGGCGCTTTTAAAGGGCATTTAGGCATTTAAATGGTATGGACACTGGTAAAGGGCATGGATTCTGGGTAAAGGACATGACGCTGGGTAAAGGACATGGATGCTAGGTGAAGGGCATGACGCTGGCTAAAGCGGATGGACGCTGGGTAAAGCACATGGACGCTGGCTAAAGGGCATCGACGCTGAGTAAAGGGCATGGACGCTGGGTAATGGCATGGATGCTTGCAGGGATTTCCAAGTGGAGGACAAGAAGGCGGTGATTCCCATGGGCGTGACGGTGTCGGGCGACATCCTGATCATCATGTACCACGCAAGGTCCACACTCGGAGGACGCCTGCAGGCCAAGGTACCCGCCATCGTTTATTGTGACTGGCGTCGTCATCGTTGGCCGTGGTCAATCCACTGCTGGACGAAGGCCTTCCCAACGTCGCCACCATCTCTCGCGATCCTGCGATGCACACGAACCGATCTCGTCACTCCATCTCCTCGGCGGACGTCACCTGCGGAGACGCATTCCTCCCCGAAGGATACATAAAAAAAAAGTTAAATTGTCGACTCGTTCAGCCGTGCAAAACATGCGTAGGCACGCGAGACGTAACGTGTGACTTCCCCCGCTGTGTGCTTCTCAGATGACCTCGATGAAGGTGTTTCAGATCCAGTTCCACACGGGCTTCATACCAAGGAACGCCACGTCCATCAAGTTTTCCAAGTGCGTATTGTGTTGTGTCGCGTAAATTACTTGGCTAATCTGCACGCCCACATTAGCTGAAAAGCCGGTTTGGGGACGGATCGTGTTCCTGAGCGGCAAACTGTTTTGTTCTTTAATTTCACTGAGAAAAGGTACGGCCGTCGCGACGTGACAAACCCAAGAAATCCGATCCACGTTAATCCATGGTTGTCGTGTTGTCTGTTTCTCAAAACATGGTTACGTCACGATTGTCCTTGGAACCGTTTCTCCCAATGGTTGCTCCCAACGGTTCCAACCACACGCCCAGAAATGACCCAGCTTTGTACTTTTGCCTTGTACTTTACTGCATGCGGGCATTTAATCTTTCTGATGAACTATTCAATTCTCTGAAATTGCAAATTTGGTCATCGCAGTTGTACACAAATAGCTTTTATCTGTTAAATTAGTGCTTTGCAGTGTATTTTTTCTGAGTAATTGATGGCATGGCATTTATATCACTTCATCATTTTTGTAATTATTTTGTGTGGATCTGACAGGATGTTCGCTAGCAGTGAGAGATCGTCAAGTCGTAACGATTTGCGCAGACCTGCGCGATGACTTTGCTGCGTGAACTACAGTTGAATAGCTTTCAAGGCGGCTTCATTCCTGAGCAATCAGTTGCGCAATTCGGTTGCGTGCAACCGAATCGCTTGCATGCAAACGTCTGCAATCGGTTGCAAGCTGTTGCGCAACCGGTAGATTGACGGACTCGACTCTCAAGAGGGGCGATCCTGCTCCGCGATCTGTAGTGACGCGTGCCGTCGCGTGCTCAATTGTGAGCTAAGATTTCGCTCGTTAGATTCCTGATATAGGGAGTTGGGAGAGGGTGCAGCTGACAGAATAAGGGGCGGGCCTATGCCGTCGAGGGCCTGGCCAGACACCACGTGCTTTGCTGCGCAACTTTCCGCTCGGGTGCGGACAAAGCGGTTGCGGGCGATCGAAGTTGCGCAGTTTGCAGAGCGATCCGGCCGCGCGGCCGTTCGGAAAGTCAGCGGGGAGGACGAGCGAGCCGTTGGTGCCGTCCGAGGGTGGCACGCCGATGACCCCCGACCTCGCGGACGCTGCGTCGGTCGCGCAGGTACGACCTGGACGCGTGCGACATCCAGGAGAAGTACCCGGAGCTCTTCCAGGTGGTGTTGGAGCTCGAGGTGGAGCCCCGCGACCGCCCCTCGCCGCACCCGGCCCAGCCCTGGGAGTCCTTCTCCGCGCGAGGCCTCACCCCCAAGCCGCTCTTCTCCAGCCGCGACGAGCAGATCAGCACCCTCGCCTCGTTCGGTGCCCACCGCCTAGACACGTTTTGTCTGTCTGTCCGTCTCTTGCCTGACAGCTCCCCGTCAGCTGCCCGACTACTACTTAAGTGCTCTCTGTGTAACGGGTGTGGGAGGTGGGCAAACACTCGTGAAGGTTGATTCATTTCGAACTCAACTCTTTCTGTCAACTTGTGTTGCTGTGAGGCAGCACAAGTTGTTGGCACTAAGAGAAAACGGAAAAAAGTTCACGAATAGAGTCGCCCAGACGTGGAGATGGATTCTCTACACCAGGGGTCGGCAACCAAAATAACAAGAAGAGCCATTTCTTTCCAATTCGGTACAAAATTCAGTATTTCAAGAGCCGCAATGCATCTGAGTACATATGTACTCATCGTCAAGAAGCAGCCCGTAAAGAGCCGCATGCGGCTCCGGAGCCATAGGTTGCCGACCCCTGCTCTAGAGGGATATACGGGTGTTGGGCCAATGAGTTGTGTAAAGAATCCTTTATTTTTTTTACGTGGAGAGATGGATAATGAGGGAGACCTGTTGTGTGTTTATCCGTTTGGTTATTAAAATTCTCTGCAAGTACGTTAATGATTATTTTGCGTTACGCTTGACATAATTTTGCCTCGAGGTGTGGTAGCTCCCCAGCCTTGATGATACAAGCGAGCCCAGCTCTCCTGGCGAGACACTGAACGTCGAAAACAGTCCAGAGTTTGTTGGTGCCGTGGGGCAGATGGTCAATGTGAAAGACAAAATAAGTGCACGTTGTACACTGAGGCACAGGAATGTAACAGAGACGTACCAGTGCGTCTGCTTTAATTGCGTTGTCTGACGGGCTTCAGGCACCTACTTGACGCTTCGCACAACCAACCAAACAGGATTTGAGAGAGAAATTCCTAGAGGTAGTGGGGGTGTGGTGCTCTAACCCCGAGGTCAGAATTCCACAGGGTGGAACTTTTTAAAATACCGATCTGCCCTCCCTTGTGTCGTTCCGTCGCGCCAGAATGGATTAACCCGCGGATTCTCTGTTACCCCGTAACTGTGGAATTTTTCGGCGTGATGCACCGGGCTCGCGTTTTGTTGCAAAACAATATAAATACCGATCTCACTCGAGCCGCGTGTGGGGTGTTCCTACTTCAGGCAAACCAGAGCTGCCCAGGGAGCCTGGATCCGGCACGCAGTACGATTCCGGGAGTCCAGCGCAGAATCCAAGCGCGGTGGAATCGGACGAGCCGGGGTGCAGCAACTCCCACTCCAGCGCCGCTTGGGAGCGTGGGTCCTACTGCACTCAATCTCACAATCTCTCACTCACACACTCACCCGCTCTCTCTCACTCTCTCACAATCTCTCACTCACACACTCACCCGCTCTCTCGCACTCACACTCGCTCTCTCACTCACACTCTCTCACAATCTCACACAATCTCACACACTCTCACTCTCTCACACTCTCTCACTCACACACTCACACTCTCACGCTCTCACAATCTCTCACTCTCACTCACACTCACCCACTCACACTCTCACAATCTCACAATCTCACTATCTCACTCAAACTCACAATCTCACACAATCTCTCACTCACACTCTCACCCGCTCACTCACACTCACTCACACACTCACTCGCTCTCTCTCGCTCTCACTCACTCAATCACACTCTCTCACTCACACTCTCACCCGTTCTCTCTCGCTCTCTCACCCACTCTCTCGCTCTCTCACCCACTCTCTCACTCTCTCACTCACACTCTCTCACAATCTCCCACAATCTCTCACCCGCTATCTCACACTCTCACTCACTTTGTCTCGCTCTCACTCTCTCACTCACACTCCCCCACTCTCTCACTCACACTCTCACCTGCTCTCTCACTCCCTCACTCACACTCCCCCACTCTCTCACTCTCTCACTCACACTCTCACCCGCTCTCTCACACTCTCACCCGCTCTCTCACACTCTCACCCGCTCTCTCTCGCTCTCACTCGCTCAATCACACTCACCCACCCTCTCTCTCTCACTCACACTCTCTCACACTCTCTCACAATCTCTCACTCACACTCTCACTCGCTCTCTCTCGCTCTCACTCGCTCACTCACACTCACCCACTCTCTCACTCTCTCACTCACACTCTCACCCGCTCTCTCACACTCTCCCTCGCACCCTCACACTCACGCTCTCACACTTTCACTCTGGCTTTCACTCGCACTCTCACAATCTCACTTGTGCTTTCACTAGCTCTCTCACTATCACTCTCGCTCTCACTCGCTCTCTCACTCTCACTTGTGCTCTCACTCGTTCTCTCACTATCACTCTCGCTCTCACTCGCTCTCTCACTCTCTCACTTGTGCTCTCACTCGCACTCTCACTTGTGCTCTCACTCGCTCTCTCACTCTCACTTGTGCTCTCACTCGTTCTCTCACTATCACTCTCGCTCTCACTCGCTCTCTCACTCTCTCACTTGTGCTCTCACTCGCACTCTCACTTGTGCTCTCACTCGCTCTCTCACTCTCACTTGTGCTCTCACTCGTTCTCTCACTATCACTCTCGCTCTCACTCGCTCTCTCACTCTCTCACTTGTGCTCTCACTCGCACTCTCACTTGTGCTCTCACTCGCTCTCTCACTCTCACTTGTGCTCTCACTCGTTCTCTCACTATCACTCTCGCTCTCACTCGCTCTCTCACTCTCTCACTTGTGCTCTCACTCGTTTTCTAACACTCTCACTTGTGCTCTCACTCGTTTTCTAACACTCTCACTTGTGCTCTCACTCGTTCTCTCACACTCTCATTCACGCTCTCACACTCTCACCCGCCCCCTCCCGCTCTCTCACACTCTCACTCGATCTCTCACACATTCACTCTCTTCTCACACTCGCTCTCTCACACTCTTACTCGCTCTCTCACACTCGCTCTCTCACACTCTTACTCGCTTTTTCACACTCGCTCTCTCATGCCCTCGCACTCCCTAACTCACGCTCTCACACTCCCTCACTCACAAAGACAAAGATTCCCCCGAATAGTCGTGAACAGACTGTTGGGGAAAATGCTGTTAGCGAGCAGCACCTTTGAAGCCGGGCACGGCACCCGAGGGGGTGAGCCACAAGCACCACGCCCGGCCATAAATCGTGACCGTGAACCTTGCCCATAAATCTCACCTGCCGCCATGCAGTAGATTCTGCTTAAGATTTTCACCAGTCTGCTTTTTTTTTTCTACAAATATTCTTGCGCTGCTCATTCGGGGCTGCGGTAACGGCGTCTGTCACCGCTGTGAGGAATGGGCCCCGTTGAAAGTAGGCTCCAGAACACGTTTACAAATGGCTTGTATAGCTTTGGTTTTACTATGCTTTTGACATTCCTTTACTATACCTTGCAGACAAAGTTCTTTTGTAAGCCAAAAATGTGGTCACATTTTCAGAGCTATAATTAAATTGACAATGATTCAGCCGGTTTGAATCCTGCAACACCCGTTTATATCGATGGTGTTATTTGGTAGACGATTGGTGATTAGGCCTGCGATGGTCAAAGCCCACTTATATCTAGAATTGAAGCTTTCGTGACTGCAGAAATTATACTTTTCGTGACTTCACCAAAAAAACCTAAGAGTATGAATCCTTGCAGTCACGAATGCTTAAAATCTAGAAAGAAATTCTATTCATTGTTTTTTTCGGTAAAGTCACGTATGTAGAAATAAAATAACATTTAAATACCTGATGATGAGCGCTTGTGTTGCGTTCGAAATGTCGTGATTTATTTCGATTAAATTGTATTTATTTTATTTTATTTCTACATACGTGACTTTACCGATAAAACCAATGCGTAGCCCACTTACACTTAAGAACCTGGTTTAACCAGAACTCAGTCTATGTGAGTCAATGGGTCTCGAGGTAGTCTGTTGATCTCTGTGAGTCTGAGTATATATTTGAGGCTATGGGCCTATGTGTGTGCCTGCGTCTCCATGTCGGTCTGTAGGTTTTGTGTGTGGAAGCAGTGTCCGTGAGCTCGCACTCGTCCAAACCTGCACGAACGAACGATGGATGATCAAAAGCACAGTGAATAAGCACACGCGGTTCCCCATTCACAGAGCACCAGGGAGAGGAGGCGGAAGCGTTGTGCAGCGATGCAGAAGGCAGCGACGGCGAGGCCTACGCCGACTCCGTGGAAGGGCTCGCCCCTGCCGAGGACCGGCACGGCACCGAGAACCTCTTCGACGCCGACTTCACCTCCGCCGCGCCGCCGGCATCGCAGCCGGAGGCACCGGCGCCGACCGTCGACTTGCTCGGCCTGGGCACCCACGACGGGTTGCCCTCCATCGCCGCGGCGACGTCGCAGATGAAGGCGTCGGGGAGCAACGCCGACCTTCTGAGCGACCTCTTTGCCGGGGAGCAGCAGCAGCAGCAGCAGCAGCAGCGCCGGCAGCAGCACGTGACGGAAACGGCCACCGCCGACTTGCTCGGAGGAGGAGGAGGGGTCGCCGATTCGGAAGGTTTCTTCTCCGAGTCGGTGCCCGTCGCGCCGCCGTCGCAGCCGAGTGTGCAGCCGCCACCCCAGGAGTCGGGTGCGTCGATCGCGCACGCGTTGTGTGTCTGTGCGAGCGATCGGACGTGCCATTGCACAAGCGGTGGCATTGTGAGCACCGTGCTGGGACGACTTCCTCTGCAGACAAAAGCATTCGTTAACCTCCTCCTCTTCGTCCTCCTCCGCCCGTGTGACCCCGCGTGACCCCGTGTGGCGCTGTAGGTGGCGTGTTCGACCCCTTCTCGCTGGGTCCCACCCCGAGCGTGGCGACCGGTGACCTGTTTGGGGGGTTCCTCTCTCCCAACACCCCCCTCGTACACAGCGCGCACGGCTCCAACTCCGACCTCTTCAGTCTGGGTGAGATGCCGACAGCCCCCGCGATGAGCAACGCGGCAATGCTTGCGTGCAAAATGCGATTCCCGTTCGACAGCACCGTGGCGCCGGCACGCGATGGCCCGCTCTCTTCAATGACGTCACGCAGGCTCTTTAACGTCCCACGCGAAGCAGATGGCGAGTCGTACGTTCACGGTTTATACACCCGCAGTGTTAACCGGGGCGGCCCACCCAATTCGATCCGGCGAACTCGCCGCCGCCGGGCCGCGTCGCCGCCCGTTCTCGCCAACCGAGGTCACGGTCGCGAACGAGACCTCCGTGTGCTCTCCGAGTGGAAGTGAACGCCCGAGACCTCGTGAACCTTGAGCGTGCAGAACCGATCCGGGGGAAACCTCGCTTGCTTGCTTGCGCGCGCTTTGTCGTTTGCTCAAGGAGGGTTTGCGCCGCCCGCTGTCGCTAAGACCCCCGAGCCCGGCAAACCGGACCTGATCGGCGGGTGGGACATGGGGCCTTCTGCGTCCACCGCGAGCGTGCCGTCGCAGCCGTGGAGCGCGGGCGGCGGCGGCCAACCGGCCACTGGAGGTGAGCCAACTGGCGCGTTTGGCACGGCGACGTAATCATCGGCGGCATCCGAGAGAATATTCGCGACAAACTAAATAAGCAGCCAATCGACGCGCCCTCCTTCACAGATCTGTCCCTCCTCGTGAAAATGTACGCATGCCGTCAGCCAGACGCGGCTTTCTGGGAGTGCATTATTTCCGCAGTATTGGTTCAGTTTAAGACGTAGGATTTCGCAACCAATATTACCCATGTCCTTAGGTTTTTTCGGTAAAGTCACGTAGGTAAAAAAATTAAAATTAATAAAAGTAAAATAAAAATCACCATTACAGGTTGGGTTATTCATTAGGGTAATTTTACTTTCATTAATTTAATTTTAATTTTTTTACCTACGTGACTTTACCGAAAAAACCTAAGAATATGAATCCTTGCAGTCACGAAAGCTTCAACTCAAGAATTATCCATGTCCATAAAAGATGTTTTTTTTTTTTGGTTAGATCTCGGAAATAAACGGCCGATTAGTATGGTTCGTCGCTTAAACAAAACATGCCAATTCGTTACTAGTTCAGCACTAACCGGTGTGTTGGAGAGACAAACCACAACATCGACAATTCGAGTATTGTGACGTTTCACTGTTAGTTTCGGTCATCGTCATCAGGCGACAGCCAGTGTTATGGAGAAATCCTCTTGTTGAAATAGATGGGGGATAAATGTGATGCCGTCACCTGTGAACCAGTCAGGTGCGAAGACCAGAGGTGTGGGAGGAGTTAATGTATTTGCATATAAATTACAATGGATACACCATTACAGCTTGGGTTATTCATTAGGGTAATCAAACATACATTATGCATTTGCGTTATGCATGTACATCGTGCCTGTACAAGAAATGGCAGTACCTGTTGTTTTAGATTTGAAGCTTTCGTGACTGCAATGATTCATATTCTTAGGTTTTTTCGGTAAAGTCACGTAGGTAAGTCTATTCTTAGTCTTAAGCCTCACCTTACCATATTAATAAAAGTATGCGGCCCTTGCCCCACCACCTTCTCCAACCATTATATAAACGGATTGGTAGCTTCTGCAATCTCTCATTTACTTGATACAGCTGTCGTGGCTGTGACGGTACCACCTGAAGACGGAAGCTTGTGTTGCCTCCGAAACGTCGTGATTTTTATTTTATTTTACTTTTTTATGTTTTTTACCTACGTGACTTTACCGAAAAAACCTAAGAATATAGTACCTGTTGTCTGCTCACAGTAATCACCATCAACGAATGGTGACCTGTATAGGCATGCAGTTAAAACGGTGTAGAACTTGATGGTTCGCTTCCAAGCTGGTGTTTTAACATCTTAACACGTGTTTTATTGCACGAAAGGGTTAAACCTATTGTTATATTCCAGGTGTTCGTCAGTGCGGACGTTCACACTGTTTGATGTGGATCCGAGTTGTAAAATACGCCGCGTGGCTGATGGGATGTAAAAAAAAAAAAATCTGTTTCGCTTCTGCACCACTCCGAGCGTTTCACCAGAACACTCATCGTCCCGCTGGTTTTGTTTTTGCCGCAGCCTCAACCGGTGTGACGGGCAGCTCCACGGCTGCCCCCCAGCCCGGCAAACCGAAAACCTTTGACCCCTTTGCGGAGCTGGCCAGCCTGGGATCCGGCCTACCTGCAGGTCAAATGCCACACCCTCACCTCTGTGCTTTTCTTTCCTTTATTTATGCTATTGTTTGATCAGTAAAGTCCGGAGGGTTCTGTCAAGTATTTTTGCAATTGGGGCAGCTGTTTTTGTGTGCGACCGCGAATGGAGGGATTTGCAGGTCGTTTGTCCAGCAATTGGAATGTGTGAATGTAATTTAGCCAACACATTGTATAGGGATTTGTTTTTAGCTATGGGAGGAAACCATCTGGAGGTCACCCACGCACAAGATGGGGAGGGAACATACCAAACCCGCACGCAGAAAAGCACCCGGGGGCAGGAATTGACACCTGCAATTTCTCGCTGTGAGGCACGGGCGTAACCACTGTGTCCTCCGCCCTCTGTCATTGCGCTCGGTGGGACGCACGTGTGGAAGGGGGTGGAGGGCCGATTGCTGAGGCAATGACGGTGGGATGAGAATGTCAGCCAAAATCTGTGGTTCTCTGTGTCAGTCTGTGGGTCTCGGTGTGAGTCTATGGGTTTCTCTGTGTCTATGGGGGTCTGTGTGCGAGTCAAAGAGCAGATGTCGGAATGAGACTGTCAGGGCAGATGTCGGAGGTCACTGCGTCTCTCCCGTGCAGCAGCTTGCGGGATCTGGCGTTGAGTAGAGCACGCGGGTAGCGAGGAAGAAGTGTGGTGGCATCAACGGCTTGGACCACGATGACGTCTCAAGCCTCAGAGACGTTACCCGCACGTGGACTCGCAATCCCGTCCATTGTCGTCTGTCTGTAAAGCCGGAGCCGAGATAAGTCACCGAGAGATTGCGTGCGTGAGGTCCCGTTAGCGCGCCCGTGACCGGACGTTGTCGTTTTAGGTGGCAACCTGTTTTCGCCCAAGCAAAGTCCTCACCCGGCGAGCAACCACCAGCCGAGGCCCGGCCAACCACAGGGCCCGGCGGCAGCGGCGGCGGCAGCGGCGTCAGCGCCCGGAGCGGGGCAACCGAAGCTGAGCACGGCGCCGAGCGCAACTCGAGCTCCGCAGGCGCCGACCTGGCAACCGCAGCAGCAGCAGCAACAACAGCAGCAGGCTCCGGCGAAGCCCAACTACAACGTCAACCTGGGCAGCGTCATCGGCAGCCGGGAAGACCGCGGCAAGAGAGCCGCGGGGTTCGGTGCGTTCCCTGCGCGGCCGCCGTTGTTTATTTCTGTCGTAGTCTTCGTCCGGGCACTGTCACCGCCGCCAACCCTCCGCAGACCTCGGTGCGTTTCACCGAGTTGCTCTCTTCTTCGTCTGGATGACGAAAACAAGGGGTGGACGTTTAGTCAAAAAACGCGCCCAGTTATTTCTCGGTGCTGCGAGGGGCGTGTAGGATTTCCCTCGAGGCTTTCGGTGTAATAAAACACTGCGGTGTTGCGCATTATGCAAAAAAAAAATCAAAAGGTCATGCACCTTCAGGATACGCTGATGGCGTATTGCATAATGGGTGAAGGTGGAGTGTGGCGCAAGTTTCTACTGCGTGTGTTTTGAAACTCATGCTTTTCTGGCGTGATGTATCGGTTTGGAAAATGTTTCCTCAAGGTCTGGTCGCGTCACCGACGCCAGTGTCGGTGTGTTTCTATGTTCAGCCGGAGCCATCGTCGCGCTCGCTGAGTCTTTTTATCCGCCCGTAGTCACCGTTAAATTTACAAAAACACTTTCCGTCGCGAATTTTGTTCAACAATACGCTGCCTGCTGGGGGGGCGTAGGTCACCGCGCGACAAGAGCAGCGTGGGTAGGGGGGCGGGGGGGTGGGGGGGGTCTCTGCTCGATTCGCCAACTCGGACCGCGTCCCCCGGCGTCTCTCGTAAGAGAGCTGACGAGCTTGTGCCCGGGCCGCCCCCGGAACCAGGCGTGTCCGATGCCACGTGATCGGATCGCATCGGAGCACGGGGGAAGGAAGAGATGTCGGGTCGGCAGAGGTCGCAAACAGGTTTTGATTCCTTACCCGTACCCGTACACGGCCGCACCAGGGTCGCAAATGGGTACCCGTACCCGGCCAGGTACGGGTACCCGTTCCCTACCCGAAATGAGTGACAAACGGTTACTCACCAGTGACTCACTGGCCTACCCGTACCCGTACCCGGCCGCACCAGGGTCGCAAACGGCTACCCGTACCCGGCCGTATGGGTAGCCGGGTATCGGGTAGGGTACGGGTATCGGGTACCCGGTTGCGACCTCTGTGGGTCGGTGGCGTTTGCTGTGTACAGCACAACCTCACCCAAGAATGTGTTCAGCCACACGTGCTGTCATTTTCTTCCTGATTGCGGTGCCAGTTGGCGAATGGGGAGGGGCGAGGGCAGGGACCCCTCTCCGATGTCACTCGCCACCCACCGTATCTGTGACAGGGCGTGCTCACCTCTGATGACCGCCGCTCAGAGGGCTTTTAGCTGGTCGTGAATAGGGGCTATTTGTGTATGTCATAACACAGTTGTTTAAAACATAAACACAATTATGTTTCCTTGGTTATTGTGAAGCAATTTTTACCTTTTTGACACGAACAGTCGAGTCAAATATGTTCCGCGACCAGCATTTCCTTACGATTATAAATAATAATAAATAACATCTCAGTCCTTTGTTAATCCACTGCTGGATGAAGGTGGTCCCCTTCCACAGTTTCTACCATGGGGGGTTGTCTGACCATACTTGACCACGCTGGTCAGTGTTGGTTGGTAAAGGTAGGGTCCAGGACTGATTCAGATAATAATAACAATACCATGGCAAGCCATGCCCTCGCCCCTCCACCCCTCCTCGCAGTGCCAGAACATGCTCCCTGGACATAAGCTCACTTCTTCTTCACTCTGCTGTCCAGATATAGAACTGCCTCTCTGAACACATTGTTGGCGAGATCACCGTTTCTGGTCTTCAGGCCTCCAAATGCCGAGCACATGGGCACCTCCTAACCTTATGGGACCGAGTCTTTTGAGCTGCAGTGAACCAATGATGATGCCGGTTAGATGTCCTGATGTCCGATACGGCTATCGTTCACAATTGCATCCGATAAAAAAAAAACCGAGCTGTTCCCTTTAAACAAGGGGCAGCCTTACTGAGTCTCAGGACTCTGTATGCAGATGCAGGCATCGTACCGTCCAACGGGGATGAGAAGCGCGGGGCAGCGTTCGAAGAACTCGCGAAATAAAAGTCTGGTTGGAAAACCATTTGAGAAATCTGAACTCGAACCCAGGATCCTCGGGGGTGCCAACTCTCAAGTGCTCGGAGCTTTGAGCCACTGGGGCAACGTCAAGTTTGTAGTATTAGTTCATGTCCATTTTATGAGTGCGTTTCACGCCTACTTTACACCTTAAGCGGAACATTCGAGGTCATGTTGGTTTGTCAGAGTCCACAAAAGCACGCGTGATGTTTCGGCGCAGTGAGTTTTCTTTGAAATGTTATTTTTTTTCCCCTCTTTTCATGCAGCTACGTATTTATTTGCTTTTGGAGCTGGCGAGCAGCCCATTGAGCGTTGTGTGTGCTTGTCCGCTCTTGTTTTGACACCCCACCGCATGCTTTCTCAGTGTTTCTGTTCAGTGGAAAATGCCATTGAGTCCGGTGTTAAAGGCAGTGCCGAGTAGGCGACATCGCCCAATTTATATGAGTGTCGTACGCCACGCGCGGGCACGGCCCCAGGGTGTACAAACTACCCCGTGTGCCGATAATGGACTTCAAGCTTAGGGCTGTTCCTCTGAGTGAGGCCAATCAATTTCAGGTTTGTGCATTTATATTTTTTCCAGTCATAAGCAAAAACTCAAAAAGACTTGGGAGCCAATTTTAGGTGTTTCTCGTCCTTTTAGAATACCATTAGAATTCATGTCAGTCGATCGGGATCATCCACATGTATTCCACGTGTCATGCGGTTTTTTAAAGACCCTTCCTCGGAGAACATCCCCGGACGATGACATCAAAGATTGGCCACTCCAATTATTCACTTATCCCCACAATAGGCAGTGTCCTTGTCTGCCCTGCACGAATATGCGTGTCATGTCATTCAAAGTAGAAACATAGCAATACCAATGTCTACAATTATCCAAATGGCATGAAAGGCCAAATATAAATATATGTTTACGTACCATCAATAAAGATAATGATCAGGCTGAGACGATCACTTGAGCATCCGGTTTAAGCACGAGTGCGTGAAATGGGAATTGGAACCCAGGATGTCAGCGGTGCCGACTTGACGCTTTGACCCTCTGATTCACCCAGACCCCTCTAGGGTTGAGGCAAGGTGGAGGTGCAGCCCAGCAATGGCTTGCTAACGACACCGCTGGCAGAAGGGACTCAACTAGAGGGAGCTCTGGAGAGGCCTCTCCAGATAGTAGTTTGGCCTGCTCTTACACTCAGGCCAGGCATTTTGGAAGAGGTGGCAGTCCCCACACTTTACCACCACCGCATGAGGCCTGCCAGTCTAACTAACCGTGGTTTAATCCATCTTTACTGACGGGCGGACAGAAACGGTTGGCGGGGATTTGATTAACCTTCTCCATTGACACGCCGGGAGACCGAGTGAAATGGGCGACCTCTGGTTTGCAAGTCCGGTGCACTGCTCGCCATCGCACCACCATGACACCGTCCCGGGGGGATTCCTTCCTCACGCTCGGTCGCCCAGGAAAGCCACACCGAGGCTCAAGGCACTTTTATTAGGAGGGCCTTGCCATTTATTTGCAGCTAGGGGTGACGTTGCGATGTGTGATCCCAAATTGAGCAGAGTAGGTACTTTTCCAGCATTGAGATGTTGCACCAATAACCGCTTACATAGTTACATTTTGTTAAGCTATGGGAGGAAACTGGAAAACCTGGAGGAAACCCATGCTGAGCAGGGAGGAAAACAAAGATACAAACTTCTCGCAGAAAGGCGCCCGGGAGCGTGAATCGAACCCAGGAGCTTATTGCTGCGAGGCACGAGTGTGGACGCCGCCGTTGCCGCCGCCGTTGCCGCCCTGCCGGAGCGGTTTGTTGTCGGCGCTTGACAGAGGTGCTGACCTGAGCTCGCTGTGCTTTGTGTGCGCAACCAACGCAGGGGCGCGGCCCAAGGTGCTGGAGAGCGACTTTGAGGACCTCCTCTCCAAGCAGGGCTTCTCGTCCGCCGGCGGCAAGGACCGGCGCCAGCCTCGCACCATCAAGGAGATGATGAAGGAGGAGATGGCCAAGGACATGGACCCCGAGAAGCTCAAGGTTGCTTTAAAAACATGTTTTTTTTTCATTGTTTATTCAAAAACCAAGCACTGCCCGCACATTTGCGCGGACGCACACGACGCGGCTGAGCCCTGCCAGCCAGGCCAGACCTCCGCCTCGCCCCTCTCTGTGTGCGCAACAGCGTGCTTTCGCGAGCACGCGATGCCCCGAGTGAGCCACCAGCCTCGCTTTCCGCTGCACGAGGCGCCGCAACTTCCCGATGAGGCTGCCGTGGGACGCTCGGGCCCAAGCCCGTCCTGACGGACGGCGCCCTTTGCGGCCCCGTCGCGTGCTTCTCCAGCTCGCGTTGTCCCGCGGTGTTGCTTGCGGTCTCGCACGCACGCGGAGATGCCGCTCGCTTACGCATCGTGCGCCCTTCACAGGGACCACGCCAGGGTCACCTTGCCCACGGGACTTGGCTGTCCAGAGTGAAGTTAACCTCTTGCGAATTGTACAGAGGTGCGGGCCACTTTGATAACGGCGCGCGCTTTTCTAGTAAGCGCGCAAACAGCAATGCTGCAATTCGTCACAATTCAATGGGCATGTCTGCTGTCGAGTGCGCTCAAAAGCAGTGAATTGACCTGGGGTTTGGGTGTGGTTCCAGAGCTGCGCACGATTCCCAGCGCAACAAAGGGGGGTGCAGGGAGCGGCTCGTTAGCGATCGCGCGCTCCGCGTTGTGACGGCGTTCGGCTCACAGCTGCTTGGAAACGCAAACTGTGAATGGACAGGGTTGCATTCGCTCGTAGTCCCGCTCGGACGCTGTGCCTTGTGCAGTCGCTCGACAAGCTGGACGAGCAGCGTACTCGGAGCTCTGCGAGAGCGGCAGCTACTTACACGAGCAGTGCACCACTTGCACCTTGCCGGAGCAGACGCCGCGAGTCTCTTATTTCCCAGTGGAAGTTCTTGAATAAGGATTCCTCGACTTGAACCGCATGGGGGCGGGGGAGGAACCGGTCTTGCGGTTGATATCTCAGCGGGACAAAGGAACCCATCATTCCAGCGGTCACTTCAGTTGTAAATTGCATCGCCCATGGGCAGTGTTAATGCAGGGTGTAGTCACTTCCTTTCTCTTCATCACCATACACATGCGCGGTTGTTGTCTTCGCCCTCTCCACGATCCTCCCTTTGCGACTCCTTTAGGAGTTCCACGCATTTGTAAGGTTGGTCACCACCCGGTCGCCCCGTTCCCATGCGCTGAGCGGACACAGAGGCGGTCGCACAGAGGCGGCAACAATTCTCAAAGTTCATCTTGACGTGCTCTTTGGTTCTTTTGGTAAAGTCGCGTAGGTAGAAAATAATAGATCACGACCGTCATCAGGTGAGACAATCACAGCGGGAAACTGCTGAACCAGGATTCCTGCAGTCACGAAAGCTTCAAATCCAGATTAACCTTAACATTTATGAACTTTATATATTTAAGTTCTGGAAATAACGCCATGACGCACTCGTCAGTAACACCGTGGCCTTTCGTCGCAACGTGTAATACATGTACACACACAATATGTGGTCCTACTTCACAGCGAGGAAATAGATAGAGAGGCCTGAGAGATGGGGCGCACGACAAGAGTTGGAGAGTGCTCGTTACCACGTGGAGGCAGGCAATCCTCGTGGCTTGCATTGGCGTGTCAACCTCTGTAATCGGTTTTTTTTTCTATCTTCAAAACGCCGTCCCAACGCTCTCGGCCGCCTGTTTACTTTGTCATTTTGATCCCTGGCCCCGCCGTCAAAACTGCCTGCCCTGGGTTTACATTGCACGGCGTTTTTTTTTTGTTATGGCCGCGTCTCTCTGACGGATTGCTCCGGCTGTTGAGAAGTATCGTATGATGATGATAAATAATAACCTGTTCTGTCACACTTGACACTTAGAAGCCTGCAGGGATGCACATGCATTGATGGTTATTTTTTTTTCTTTGCGTGTGTTACGTCGCGTGTGGGGATATTTTTTCTGTGAAATGGTCGCGAGCGGTTGTGATGCGGTTGTAAAAAAAAAAAGCGTACGTGTTGGCACAAAAAAATTACGTTTTACTTTTAAATTCCGAGATTACTTCATCACTATTCAATGTGCTGGCTGCGTGGCTGCATGCGACCTACGGAGAGAAACCCTCGGGTTATCGCGACAAGGGCTGCGCTTCGTGCAGGGTGCGACGCGTTGACTCCTGAGAGTGCCCGGTCTCTCGCCAGAGCTCGCAACCCTTTGGCTCGTCAATTGAAATCAAGTCAAGCTGGAGGTGATTCGATTTGACCCGGGGAGAAATCGGTAGGACCAAAGATGGGGGCGTTCCCGCTGGCGAGAGTGACCTCGTCGCCAAAAAAATTACGGTAGCCAAACGACGGCAAAAGAGGTCCGGCGCAGAAGCGAAAAGAAATAAGAACAAAAGCACCTGCATGGGTATTTTGTTCCATTGGACACTCCACCCCCACAACTCCCCATTGGTGATCGGGCAGTTGTGGATAGAGTGGAGAGTTTCCCATACCTGGGCAGTGTGCTCATGACTGGCTCCGGTTTGACAGCAGAGGTCTCACTCTGAATCAGTCGAGCAGCATTATCTTTCATCAGTTGCGTAACGCTGTGTGGAAGCTACCAGGTCTGTCGCTCAACATGAAGCTTCGGGTCTTCTCGGCCACAGTAATTTCCTCCCTTCTCTACGCTTGCAAAACATGGACCCCGCTCATGGAACATCTTCGCCGTTTGGAAACGTTTAGGCTGGCCTGCTTACGATCCATCCTGGGTTTAATCAGGCTGGATTGTGTGAGGAGCTCACAAATCCTTGAAAGATCTGGACAAAATCCCATCGGTGAGCTCCTCCGGCAGGCAAGGCTGCGTTGGCTGGGTCATGTAGCCCGCATGCCCAGCCACCGCATGCCTAAACAGCTTTTATTTGGCTGGATCAAAGGAGCTAAACGGGCGCGGCATGGGCTAGAGAAGAGATGGAGTGATGTGGTACAGGAGGATGTGGAGCTGAGTGGACTTGCCGATGACTGGTACCAGCGGTGTCAAGATCGGCCTCTGTGGAGGAGGCTCGTGAAGGATGCTACTGGGCAGTTGGAGGCAGTCGCCCTCCAACAGCAACGGAGGGCAAAAGAGCGACGCTCACAACAACGAGCGGAGCGCCAGGTGGCTAAAACACAGCAAATTGGCACAGTAGGGGGCACAGGTGGTGCATCGGCCACTCATCTCAGTCAGTCGACCCATGGCACCTGCGTCTGCCCCGTGACCTCCTGCCAGCGGGCATTCGACACTTCACGTGGCCTCAACGTGCACATAGCCTGGCACAAGCGCCGTGGTGATGTTACCGCCACTTCGTGGTGAATGGCGGTTGTTGTTGTAAAGATGAACTTGGCTCAATGACACTCCCTCCTAGTTAAAAGGAGGAATGTTTAAGATCACAGTCATAAGTGAAGCAGTTTGCTTGTAAGGAGTGAAGCATGTGGCAGAACGGAAGGATTTGGCAAATCAAAAGTAGCTTTCAAGATGACGGCTACTTTACTATACAGCTCTGTATCAGAAGCGTGACATCAGCTAAGTCGAGGAGAGGCAGCAGCTTTGGTTGCTCACCCTCGCGGCACACGATTATTGAAGCGTGGAACTGATTAAATTTCTACGAGATAGAGAAAGCAAAACTATAATCTGATGCAAATGACGAACCCCCCCCCCCTCCCCAAATCCAGAGTTGGGGTGCCGTGGGTGAATCATCAATTGCATATTTTTTGTTACGTGATGAAGCCATTCTTGTTATTTGCGAAAGACGCCCACAGGATTGTGATCGAGACAACACATTTGGGGGGGGCACTTCCTCTTTGTCTGCACGTTCGCTTGTAGCGAGTCGCAAAGCCGGCGATAACAATGCCGCGGCGCGTCGTCGGATCGAAAGCAAGCTCCCCCACGCTCGCGGTGCCCTCGCTGATCTCTGCAAGGACGGAGTCGGAATGCGCTGAAGTTGTTCTGCATAGAAAGTTTAATTGTAGACGGTGAACAATGGGAGGAACAAAACTGATGACGGAAACATTTCAAGCAAAGCAAGTTTCATCAAAAATACAAGTCTACAAATGAGGCGAGCAAACAAAAGAGAACAAATCCTCATCAAAAGCCCACACCGCTGGGAGTGTAAGTTGTGCTGAATGGGTAGCAGAGGTCGCAAACGGGTTTTGATTCCTTACCCGTACCCAGCCGCACCAGAGTCGCAAACGGGTACCCGTACCCGTACCCGGCCGTACCCATACCCGGCCGGGTACGGGTATCGGGTACCTGATTGCGACCTCTGGGATGAAGCCATATTGCAGGCGCGGGTGGGTTGATTCTAGGAACTTGAATTGTGAGAAGAGACAAGACGTTGGGAAATGAGTGACAAACGGTTACACACCAGTGACTCACGGTGTACCCGTACCCGTACCCGGCCGCACCAGGGTCGCAAACGGGTACCCGTACCCGTACCCGGCTGGGTACGGGTAGTTAGGTATCGGGTAGGGTACGGGTATCAGGTACCCGGTTGCGACCTCTGATGGGTAGTGCCTAGCCAGCAGTCGCCCTGCGCAAGCCACATGCTCGACAACCCGAGGCCGACTCCCGCTTGCGGCCAACAAGAGTGGCGATTATCTGAAACGAGCCCACGTGCTTCCCCTTGGTGGACCCAACCGTAACTGGCTCTTCCCGTATCGGCGTGTCAACGTCGGCGCCAGGGAGACATAAAGGCGGCCAGGCGTGTGTGTGTTCGCCGGGCCCCCGCACCCCGCCCACTGTTGCGCCGCGCAGGCCTTAACGGGCGCCCGCAAACGGCGCTCGCCCCCGTACAGGCTGTGCCGGGGCTGGCGCTGCCCACCGTGACGGGCGACTGCGCGAGAGAAGCCGACGTCCGGGTCGCTGATAAAGGAGCCGACGATACGATGCGCGCCCCCACGTTCTTTCGGTCGTGCCAGGGGAGTCCGGCCCCAGCAGGCAATCGCTGTGGGCGAGACGCAAGCGCCCAAGAGCCAAGGCTTCCTTCATCTACGATTTTTTTCTTCGAATGAAATGCCGAGGCAACGAGTCTGTTACAACTCGACTGGGATAAAAAACAAAATAGTGTAATGAAATAAACAAGCCGACTGCACCTCATTCTGATTTATCTGTCCCTCCATGTAAAACAATTCAAACATTTTGGTTACACTTCCCATAAGCCACACGGCCTTCTGGGAGTGCTTAATTTTAACAGCATTGATTCAACACAAGAAAACGTCTAGACCGGTTTAGACATTGTCTCATCGGCAGTCCGGCTCGCTTGAATCAATGGTGGCGAAACTGACAGATGTTTATAGGCAAAGGAATATCTCTCAGATTTGGGTCCTGATGCAATGCAATCTTGCATTATATATATTTCCGTATTTCGCAATGACAGTTAACAGACCAGTTTTCGTAGCCAAATATGACTTACGAGAAACTTTTTGGACTGGGGCCACGTCGTGATGTGGTCACCACTTGGGCAGGCGCCGATTTGTTCCCGTCTGTTTCATCTCGTCTACCGCTGAGTTGAAGAAGAACTCTCGCAGCCAAATTCGGCACGCATTTCCGCGACGCTTCACTTGGAACTGCCTTACACCATTGGAACCTCCTTTGCCAGTAGCAAAATATGATAATTGGTTGTTTACCCTTTTATCTGGCAACAAAACTGACACTTTTTTTACAAGGAGTCATGTTTGCATTGACCACAATACCTGCGGTTGGAATGCAAACCAAAAACACAACAAATTCCTTCCCTTTATTACTGCTAATCCTACATAATACACGAGCATAATATGACTTTGATACCCCCCCCCCCCCATCACCTACACATTCCACAAGTAGTGACTAATCCCATATCTGCATTTCTCATAAATATGCTAAATTCCTCTTGATATGCAAATTCCTTTGTCAAGGCGCTCTTCCTCCCCTAACCCAGCTTAAATATACGCTGACAAGCTTGGTGGTGTTCATTCAGACGCTGTCTTTCCGACAGACCTGTTCTTCACCTGAGGACGGCTGCTTGCGTTGTGGCCGAAACGTTGTGAGAATTGTATTTTATTATTTTAATTTTTATTATTTTATTATTTCCCTTCTACGTGACTTTACCGAAAGAACCAGAAGAAGAAAATGTATGCACTGTCCTTGAAGTTGATTGGTCCACACCCGAGACAGCTTTTCTTAGAGCCTAGTCTCACATGGTGTTGGACCAGATGACGCCAAAAGGCGCCTCTTCGGGTCGAGGTCTGGAAACCAGAAAAACCACGTGATCTGAACCGGCTTCTTGAATAGGCGTCGAGACGTTTATTTTGCCGTGAACCCTGCAACCGCGAGTTTGATACCGGGCCACGGCTGACCATCGGTGCTGGTGAGCTGCCGGGTTTTTCCAGGCAGACGCCTTGCCCGTTAGGTACGGGTCCCAGTTCCAAGCAAAGCTACGTGATGTGTAACGAAGCAGTCATTTGCAACGTGTTGTATCATGCCCAGTGGCGCTAATGATGAGTCTTATGGTAAACTGCGTGTAGAGCGTCAAGCCCCCTCGGCCGTGAGCCGTTTACGACACCGATGACCCCACGCTGACCACCGCTCCTTGACGAAGAGCGGTCCTGACGTCAGGTTAACTGGAGGGGTGGTCAAGGTCGAGGTCGCGTGACTGTCAGCTCGCCCGGCTCTAATGGCTCTGCGGGGTCGGCGGTGGGGGGTGTGTGCGCTGTTTGTGTTTTTCAGCTTCTCGAGTGGATCGAAGGAAAGGAGCGGAACATCCGCGCCTTGCTGTCCACTCTGCAGGCCGTGCTGTGGGAGGGCGAGTCCAAGTGGCGGCCGGTCACCATGGCCGACCTGGTCACGGCCGACCAGGTGAAGCGAGTCTACCGCAAGGCGGTGCTCATCGTGCATCCTGACAAGGTGACACGCGCACATGCACCCACGCGCACCCACGCGCACCCACGCGCACGCACGCACACAATTGTCCCTTATATATGAAGGGGGGGGGGGGCGCAGAAAAGGCGGGCTAAGAAGGGAACGTTTCTGCTCAGCTACTAGGGAATGCATTAAAAGCATTCTAGACCCAGACCCGTCGTGACTAGAAGACTCGTGACACACTATTGTTGATTAGAAGACTCGTGACACACTATTGTTGAGAGAGAAGTGCAGTTGAAGCGCTTTTTCAGGAAATGTTGACTCAAACGGAAAGTGCAGCAGTGCGTACAAAATAAAACCACAACATCACGAAACGCAATTACCGTGTTCATTTCTTTACAAGGAAGATGGAGACCGGAACAAATGGACGGAACACACGCGGGACAGAACGTCAAACACAGAGCACATAATGCAGTAAAAACAGGACGGTACAAATAGCCGGGAGACGGAACATGCGGAACGGGCAAATACAAAGGAAGACGTTTGTTATTTTGAAATGGAAAATCCATTGAGACTGATTAACTTCTTGGATTGCAAGGAGGTGTCTTGCGACACACGTACAGCAAAAACACGTCACGACACCGCACACACACACGCAGCGTTACGTATACAGCTCGTGGAGTCGCACGTTTAAAGGGAGTTGGGCGGAGTTCGCTCAAGATTCAGGACCGATCCAACCGCAGCAGCGCGCGCAAGCGAGCGAGCGAGCGAGCATCACGGCGCCATCGCGCGCGCATTCATAACAACACCTGAGCCCCTGCACCCCGCGGGCGGTGCGGAACGATCCCTAGCACTCGCACGCGTTGCGCGTGCGTGTTCTCTCTGCTCGATTTTTAAAATACGGCAAGCTTTCGCTTTTGTACGTGTGTGTACGTTGAAATTCTTACGCGCAGTGCGGGACCAACCGTGCTAATCGGAGGTGCGGGGGGAGAAGGACAATAAACTCACCGCAAAAAGCAGTTTTATAGAAATTAGTTTTTTCAATCTTGGTTTCAAAGTGCATTGATCCAGTGGCTTGTTAACGCGTGGTGTTCCACACTCCATCGCGTTTTCGCCAAGATGCGGTTCTTCTAACGTAAAACGTGCGCGCCGTTATCACGTGTTTTCTTGAGCCGTTGATGACGGACTACTTCCTTGAGCTGCGTCGGCCGTGCAGAGTGACACGGTATGTGGAGTGATACAGTAACGCGGCAGCATACCCCCAGTTATTAGTCCCGCCATCTCACTGCGTGTGCGTAGTAGTACATCGTATCTCGCCAGACTTTAACGTTACATTATTTATGAGGACATTTTCTTCGCTTAACGCGTTTTTTTCTTAGCGCGCGGAACTTCACAGGAACGCATCCTCCCCGCGCTAAACGAGGACTCGTTGTAACACCATTGGGACCTCATTTGCCAGTAAAAAATATGATAATTGTTTTTTTACCCTTTTATCTGGCAACAAAAAAGGTGTCAGATTTGTTGCCAGATAAAAGGGTAAAAAAACAATTATCATATTTTTTACTGGCAAATGAGGTTCCAATGGTGTAAATGCTTACCCCGAGCTCTCATACTCTGATGGTGCATTGTCTTTGAGTTGTGCGCCTTTTGGCGTCATCTGGTCCAACACCATGTGAGACTAGGCTCTAAGGAAAGCTGTCTCGGGTGTGGACCAATCAACTTCAAGGACAGTGCATACATTATCAGAGTTGTGTTTTTTGTTTGCATTATGACTGCAGGTATTGTGGTCTATGTAAACATGACTCCTTGTAAAAAAGGTGTCTGTTTTGTTGCCAGATAAAAGGGTAAAAGACTCGATGTAAGTCGCGACTCGTGACGCGCCTGTCCTGCCGTGGACCGTGATACCGTAACCTCGCGCGTCTTTGCAACTGACGCCGTCGCGGAAATCCGATTAACCAGCGAGATGTGAACCCCCCTGTGACCCCCTCTGACCCTTTGCAGGCGACGGGACAGCCCTACGAGCAGTACGCCAAGATGATCTTCATGGAGCTGAACGACGCGTGGGCAGAATTCGAAAACCAGGGACAGCGCTCGCTCATGTAGCACGGCGCACGCGACCGGCTGACGGGCACGGAGGCTCCGATCTCCGTGGTCTTGGCGCGGTATTCTGCGTAACGCGTGCGATAAGCCACGCGATCACCTGCCGCGGAATGAGTGAGGTGTAAATAAGGGTACCACGTGCGGCGGGAAGTTAAAACATTTCCAAGAAATCGGGAATTGCAGGACACTCGCCTTTGAGGCTCGCTGCTGCTGCTGCTGCCACGGCGGCTGCTTGTCGCGGGGGTGGAATTAGTATTTTTTTTTTACTTGCACATTTCCTCCACAACGATGTTGTTCATGCGTACGTCCGGTATACGCGCAACATGCACAGTCAGTCTTCTCAATGTGGCATACACTGTGTGTGGTTAGTATACCGATAATCTACGCTTATATAATACCGTATAGCGTGCGGAGGTGGTGAAAGAGCAAGAGTGGTGCGAGTGACGTGTACCGTAACCAGTGGCAGACCGTGGCAATATCCCTGCTGCCTTGTCCTAATACACTTTCCCAAACGGCGACGCGCGGATCGGTGGGTCGCACAGCCTCCCGACGGAACAACTTTGGAATGCAATCGGTCAGATGGTCGTTGACGTTCTTGGTGGGGACAGGCTTCTTCTATCTGTGTCGCGTTATATATATTTTTTTCACACGCTTTATAATTTATCTCATCACGACTTAACCTTTCTGGGGGGGGACGGGGGGGAAAACAGATTTGAGTTACCTCCTCTGCGAATGACATCGGAATTAAATCGTTCAAATGATCGTCGGGAGTTTTTGATGGGACAGGGTTCTTTAGAAGCCGTCGTGTTGTTTTACACGTCATAATTTATCTCACCGTAACTTAACCCTCTCGAACGGATGACGTCGGCGTTCATTCGCGTGCACACACACACAGCCATGCGAGTCACTGTCGTGTAGAGTTGTGAACTTTGACGGCGCGATGGGCCTTGCGTCGCGGGACCGGCTCCTGTGAGACGTAGATCTTGCGGCACGAGCAGTCGGCACAGGCGATCGTCGTCGCCGCCGCCGCCGTCGCTTGTCCAACATCAAACCACCGCGCTCAACTGCAGCTGCTTCCGCGCCCGTGGATGTGAAAACTACGAACTGGACTCGACGCAAGCGGAAATTTTCGCCAACCACAAACAGCAGCATCGCTCGGTGGTCGATCAACGTCCGCTCGCCGCTCGAGCCGAGCCACGGAACCCAGCGCCCCCTGCTCCCCCCCCCCAACCCGCGGTTTTTGGGGCGGTAGCGGTGATGCGGGTGGCGCTGCCTGGAATCTTAACCTGACAGAGCGCTGGCACGGAGCGGGGGGGGGGCGGGGGGCGCGTGCAATCGATGGAGCGAAACACTGAGTGGAGGAGCCCGGCCGACGAGACGTTGCAAACAGCGAGGTCGAATCATCGCAGCCACCTGCACACGCGTCGGACGCACGTCATTTCTAGCGAGCGATTCACACGACCTATTGAGCCGCCGCTTAGGTGTTTGCATCACACTTCCCCCCGTCACCGTGGCGTCATTCCTTCGTGTTGTGTCGTAAACGTAGCGGCGAGCCTGATCGATGGTTATGATGTACGTTTGACTGTCGGGCCGGCTTGCACGCGTCTGCAAAAGTTGCTGGGTGGGATGGGGGTGGTGGGGGTGGGTGGGTGGCAACCTCTGTAACGTGAGCAGAGCGGTCGGCCGGAGCTGGAGGCGTTTAAATCGAGCTCACCTGGGACAGTTTGTGGTCTCCTCTGACAAAGCCCGCGGAAATGTAAAAGCATCGGTCTTGAAAGTGTTGTGGTGATAATTATGTCACGATTGGCAAACACCGGGACTTTTAAAGCCCTGGGAAGACTCGCAGGTTTCCCAGGAGGGCCGCCACCTCAATAAGAGGACGACCAGGACGGGTGGCAACCCCGGGATGGCGTGCGGGGGGGGGGGCGGGTGGCCTGTCCTGGGTGTGGGGACGTGGGAGATCAGGCGACCATCCCCACGCCAATCTGGACGAGGTGGGGCAGGACAAGCGGTGGCCTGTCGGTGGCCTGCGTCATGGGCCATCTTGGCTGCCCCTCGTGGATCTCCGTAGCGGAGCGACCCCCACCAACTCAGAGATCGTTTCCGTGCGTCCGACCCCGATGGAAAGAAACTCGGCTCGAGCTCTCGGACGATGTCTCGATGTGTAACGCGCTTCTGGAGGAAGAGCGGGCGTTTCTTTTTAATTATCAAGAACTGAGTTTCTTCAGAGAAGTTATTTACGTCGCAATACTTTGTCGTTGTGGTTTCGACACGGTTCCGTGGCGAATGGAACAGTATTTTGAAGAGAGAGGGGACGTGTGCTAAGGTCGCATCACTGAGCAAACGCCGACGGCAGGTTTCCCTTTTCCCACCACTGCCTACGAACCTTGGTCGAGGACGCCGGGGCCGGGCTCCATTCGTTGTGTCGAGCAAAGCTTCGTGGTCGCTGCGCGATCCGGCAAAAGGATTATTTCACGGTAAGGGGGGTTGAGTTCCCCCAAATTATGAATGAATTTGAAAACTGCAAACATTGGGCCTGAAATTATTTTTGCTTTCGGATTCGAACAAAATTTGAATGGCGAATGACGTCGCGCTCACAGCGTCGCTTCCCGGGCACAGAGCGGCGCATTCACTCCCCGCGACCTGATTGCACGCGATGCGAATTAATCCGAAATAAGATCACACGTCGTCCTGGCTCGATCTAAACTCCAAAGTTTTGAATCGGGGACTCTCGTCCCCCGTGACTCGCGCCGCGATCATGAACGCAACGCAGCGCAGTTACGAGGTGGAATCGTGCGCGAATTTATCACCCCGTGAAAAAACAAAACATCTCAAGTGGGGCTCTCCACCAGAGAGGGGGGTCTGCTTGTGCTCGGCAGCGAGCCGATCAGGGGATGAGTGAAGGTCGACAAGCCGACTTTACGCGAATAACCTCACCAAGGTACAGTTCGCTGCCATTCCGCAGCAACGTTTTACGAGCGGCGTTTGAAGTTATATTGTCACGGGAGGGGGGGGGGATGACAATATAACTTCACAGCCAGTTTTGGTTGTCTAATTTTACCCAGCTAGTTGAGCAACAAGCCACGGGTGACCAACGGCAAACTCGAGAATGCAAATTCGCAGGCGTTTCGCGCTTTCATTCCACGGCATTGGCAGCATTTGCTTGACGGGCTACGCACACTGCTGATGTGGGAGAATTCAACTGGTCTCAAGTCCACATTCTTAACCAAACGATGCATTGCTTCAGGAGGCTCAAAGGCTGACCGACCCGATACGTTCTTTATTTTTGGGCAAAAGTAAGCAGCCCCCTTGATGTCGCAATTGCCACCAAGGTGACCCATACATTTTTTTGGACCCATCCCTTTTTTTTTTCTCTCAGGGCGAACTGTCTTTGCCCTTCTTGTGGAAGGTGTGCCAGGCTGCGGGCGTGCCACCAATGTCGCAAGGGCAGAAAGCGCACACCGAGTGGTAGACGCATCATGAATCGATCGTTGAGATTACATAATTCAAAGTCGCGAGTTCAATAATCGAATCGCGGTCATGGTGGGAGTTTCCCCCCCTCCCTCATCTTATCGCACGCGAAACACTCCTCATATTTAACGGAATTGGCCCAACGTCCCAAAAGCAGGGGGCAGCTCTTGGGGAAAAGCCCTTGAGACTCGGCGATGCTTCTCCGGCCAAACAATTTTCCCGTGACCAGATCGCGTTGAGCGTGCCAAGTGCCCGCATGGGTGCCGGGATGCCAGGTGTAAGACGCCCCCCCCCCATCCGCCAAACCTGGCAGGCTCGAACGGAACAAAAAATATTGAATATTCGAAGTCACAATCCATCATCGTGAAAGGTATCCAAGATGCGGTGTGACGGCTGCAGATATTTTATCTGGGATGCTGGTAGACTGTGGGGGGGGGGGGGGGGGGTGCAGGAGGTGGCAGCGCGTGTGAGTTGGAACCACGTCCACAAAAGTAAAAGCTGTCGTGGATGCGGTGTGCAAAGCTGTGGAAATACCCTTTTATCCGGGTCGCCGGATGTCTTGACACACTAAGCCGGCCGGCGTGCGTGTGGACGTGACCTATTCGCGCCGGTGTGGCACGGTTCATTGCTCGGTGCGATCGCTATCGAGTGCCAAAGTGGCCGTTAACCTTCCACAAGCGTAATGCAGGTTGTTGTCGGGGTTAGATCGCGTAAATATAAATGTGTCGTTAAAACCGCCACCACCCGACACGGCCAATTAGTGAGGTTTGTCACGTAAACAGAACGTGGCCAATTCGTCACTAGTGCAGCACTAACCGGTGTGTTGGAGAGCCAAGCCACAACATTTACAATGTGAGTACGACGTTTCGCCAGTAATTACAACTATCTTCATCAGGCGTACTCGGATTGTAAATGTTGTGGATTTAGTCTCCTTTCTAATTGGCCTGTTTCGGTTGGTCACGGGTTTAACGACACATTTATATTTTCACGTGATTGAACCCAAAAAACAACTTGTACTATGGATGGTCGCGAAAGCCGCCGACTCCGTGTTCAACTTGACACAAGCGACCAGCGGAAGAGAGATGAAACGGGGGAGCAGAAACTGACCTCATAGTTAGCGCTAATTCTAGATTTGAAGCTTTCGTGACTGCAAGGATTCATATTCTTAGGTTTTTTCGGTAAAGTCACGTAGGTAAAAAAAAAATTAAAGTAAAATAAAACAATAAAAAATTCACGACGTTTCGGAAGCAACACAAGCCTCCGTCTTCAGGTGGACCCGTCACAGCCACGACAGCTGTATCAAGTAAATGATTCACGACGTTTCGGAAGCAACACAAGCCTAATTGTCCTTCCGGGCGGAGGGGGGGGTGGTGGTGGTGGTGGTTAGTCGAGTCGTGTAACGATTAATCGATGACAGCCTGCGACTGGACTTGCGATACAGGCGTCAAGCGTCACGAGCTCTTGCCGTGTTTTCCACGCCGCGAGGCGCGTCCCACCCCAACCCCCATGCATTTCAAAGCCAAGGCGGGGAGTAGTGCGTCTTGTAATCCGGTGGCCATGGCGATTGTCCCTTTTGTGCGAAGGGTATGTCCCAGAGTGCTCTCGAGGTGGGGCACGGCGTCTGGGGCCATCCATTGAGTACGTACGCATGGAGGGGGGAGGGGGGGTTAACCCAAATGCGTTCGCTTGCGTATGGGGGGAGGGGTTCTACTGACAATGTACACAGGAGACGGGGTGGGGGGTGGTGAAGCCTCGATAATAATTTGTCTACATTGGCCTTCAAATGAGTTGGATAGTCCGGCGGTGTGGACTATCTGTTTGCTTAAACACGTTAATATTATTAATCCTTGATCGTTTCTGCGTGGATTTAATATCGGCCGTTCTATAGGATTTGGGGGGGGGGGGGGGTGCGTCAGGCGTGCCGTACGTACGCAGGTGGGGGTGGGGGTGTAAAAAGTCCACGTGCGTACAGGGAGGGGGGGGGGTCGAGTTTTGACAGATTTTGCGTACCTACTCAATGGATGGCCCCTATCTGGGCGACTGCCCCGGGCCCCGCGCTTGGCGATGGGGGGAGGGCGTGCTTTGACTTCACGGTGTCCGATGTTTATACTTCCAGTTTATTTTGAAGGCGTCTGTGGGGCCCACAGTTGGAATTTGCCGTGAGCCCCTGCAGCGACCCGTTAGACATCTCTGGATATAGATATCGTGCTCATGCAGGTGAAAAACTACAAATCCATACAACAACAATAAAATGTGAAAACAATACAAAGGAGAGAGAAGGTCATAATCGAGTCATCCAATCAATACAATCACATTTTTGTTGTTGTTACCAGGATCGTGACGCTCTATGGGAGGGTGGGGGGGGGGTATCTTCACTGCGATGTGCCGAAGCGGTTAAGGAGGGTGGGAGGACTGTGAAGTCGGCACGGCGAATGCCTTGCTCGATCAAGCATTGATTTATCTTGAGCCATCGGTGCCCATCTATTGAGGCATCCGTGCCCCAACTCCCGTTTACAGCCCTGCCAAGTGCGTTCTCAGTGGCGAAAGTCCACATTCCAGAAGGGGCACCGTATTCACACATCCGATAAGCACGATTGGCTACGTACGGTGCGAAATACGTTCTGAATACATACGACACCTACTGTTAACTTCTTCACAAAGTGGTGCTTATTTTATCGACCTCGGGGGGGGGGGGGGATTGATTGGGTTGAGTCAACCCTCACCTAATAGCTTGTTCCTACTACCCAAAGTCCAGACCTAGTGTTATTTCGCTTTTAATCCGTTCGCTCGTGATGGTGGTGATGATGTGATGGCACGCGACCAGAGGGAGAGCTTCATCATCACTGATTATTGAGCATCAATTGATTAATTCACACCGAGCAATCTCGCATTTGGACTGTTTTGCCCCCACTACTCTCTCTGTTCACACCAGAGGTCGCAAACGGGTTTTGATTCCTTACCCGTACCCGGCCGCACCAGGGTCGCAAACGGGTACCCGTGCCCGTACCTTACCCGTACCCGGCCGGGTACGGGTATCAGGTACCCGGTTGCGACCTCTGATTCACACCCAAAACAGCTTTACACGCAACTTCTTTGATTTTTTGTACAATTTTGACATTCCTGTGTATATATACGATAGAGTCTACGTGTGTGTGTGTGGTGGGTACGTTTGTCCTAAGTATTCCGGATCCTAATTAAACAATAAAGACAAGTAATAAAGATCCTGGAGTGCTCGGCTGGTGTGCGAGATGACAACAGAGCAAAGTGGCTCTGCGTGGATCTGTTGGGTGTTGCATTTGTAGAGAAGTTCCAACGGACGCACTTAAGACGGAGGTAAGTTAAGGGCTTCCGCCAGGGTTTATTAAAGCTTATCAATATCACAAAAGGGCACACAACTCCCAGGGGGCTAGGGGTCCTACTCTGAGTCCGGGTCCCTGCCGGCTCGCTCCGGTCTCTCTCTCGTGTCGGATCGTGGACTTGGCCGACTGCACCGAGCGGAGAGAGAAGCACCTCTACGGCTACCACCGGCTTCTCCCCAGACTCCCCACTCGATCCCTCTCTCTACCCCTGGCTCCCTCTTCACCCTGCTTACTCTACCCCTTCCCACAGTGACCCCGCTTACGTCACGGGGTATCCCTTAAGTACCCTAGGAGACGTGACGTCACCGCACTGAACGGCACACCTGACGTCACGTCCCCATTTTACTCCTCTACACGTTGTTAGATTTGACTGCTCTAAATGTCCACGTGATAAGCCACTTCGTTGGGCTTCCATTTGTGATAGCCAGCGGGGCCTTACTTGGTCAAATAAAAACAATAGTTTAAATTCTAGTTTTTAAATCCTTTATATTAAGTTTACTTGCTTGCTTGCGCGCTTACGACCGTGCAAATCTTTCGGTCGTTTTTAACCCACTTCCCGTGATCCAATCGAGCTGACATTTTGCACACAGACTCGTGCGTGACAATTTATTTTCGTGAAATTTTTTTTCCAAAATTTTACACTTTTTAGGAAAAAGAAAAATTATATTTAATTACCAATTGCTTAATGGTGGCAGGCAATCATCTGACCCATAGGTGGCAGCCATCTCAAGCCAGAGGACGAGAGGACTCTAGCCACCACGCATATAAAGGATTTATAGTGAAAAACTTTGTTTTTACGGGTTAATTTCTTTTTAGTATTTCCTCGGGTGCTAGCTGGGATTTTTCCGAGCGCAGTTACTCGGGGTGTTCACCCACGTGGAACGAAATGCTCGTGGGGTGACGCGCGGAATTGGCCAAACATCTCAAACGTGGCAGGAGCCTCTTGAAAATAAATCCTGAGCCGCGGTGAGATGTTTTTTTTTCCTGGGTCAATGAATGTGAGAGTTGGATGCGAGATCATCTGGAGCGGTGGCGCAGTAGTTAGCCAAACGAAGCCTGTGGATCCAGCGACCAGGGGCTGGCATCGGTGGTGAGTGTTACCCGAACTAATGCTTCTAGCTGGCCGCTTACGGAAACGTGCACTCACCAGCGTGGTGGGAGTGAGGTCAATCAACCTCTGTGACCCACGGCATTGGGAGGTCTTCATCCAGCAGTGGTTTGTCAAGGAGATGTCAATAATTCTGATGCTGTAGCAGAGTCGTCGTCGTCCCCCCCCCCCCCCCCTCTTGCCTGACCCAACATGGTTCTGATAAATACATGCACTTTTTTTCTCGATTTGAAGCTTTCGTGACTGCAAGGATTCATATTCTTAGGTTTTTTCTGGTAAAGTCACGTAGGTAAAAAATGTTAATTAATAAAAGTAAAATAAATAAAAATCACGACGAGGCAACACAAGCTTCCGTCTTCAGGTGGAACTGTCACAGCCACGACAGCTGTATCAAGTGATACACACACAAGTGATACACTTGATACACACAAGTGATACACTTGATACAGCTATCGTGCTGTGACGGTTCCACCTGAAGACGGAAGCTTGTGTTGCCTCCGAAACGTCGTGATTTTTATTTTAATTTTACTTTTATTCATTTTAATTTTTTACCTACGTGACTTTACCGAAAAAAACCTAAGAATAGAAATACATGCACGTATGAATGAACAACGAACGTGAGCAATCCTGACCAATGGTCAATGCTGCGATGTATACCCTAGCGAGCCAAGCGACGCAAGCGAATAGAAACTCAAGTTTGACGGCCGCTCTGCACACGCGACGAAAATGCGGTTCCCGCTCGCCGGCTTCTCTTGACTCACCTCCCTGCCCACATTGTTTCACGCGATCGGGAAGTTTAGAAAGAAAGAAGGCTTTTGGCGTCGCTCGCGCTCTCCGTATGGACTTACATGTCGTCGTTTTTTTACATTGGCAGATTACACTTGTCAACATAGTTTTTCTGACAAAAGGTATTCCAACGGTTTGAAGGTAATTTTGTGGTGCCGATTCCAAATCTGGCATCAGTTTTTGTCTATCAAATATTGCATTTTTAATCAAAACTGCAGAAGAAAAAAATTAAACAGATGTGGATATCTACATAAAATGATATTATAAACACACTATCCTAAAAATACAGCATCATATTTTAACACTAAAGCAGTCACTGACTCGCAACTACTTGCAATCATAAGTGACAGAGTTAATTTCGGGTAAAATCAATGAAAATGGGGTATGCCGATAGCATAAAAATGAGATGTGACAGAGCAAATCTGAGATCAGATTTGGAATCAGCACCCTGAAATTAGTCTAAAACAGATGCAAAAGTCCAGGCCAGAAAAAAAAAATGTTTTGTTTTTGTTGACCAGTGTTATACACGTGATTATTGACCGATATGACTCTTCACGAGTTTATTATTCGACGCGTTTATAATCACACCCCACACCCGACCCCAGAACATTGGCACCGGAGCGCCTTGCATGGGAATCTGTCTCCATGATGTTACACATATATGTAAGATACTAGCAGGAAGTACCCGACGTTGCCCGGGTCTTAAAACTATTTCAAAACTACTCTTTAAAATGTAACAGCAGTGCATACTGTGGTGGTACCTGCTATGATTACAGCAGTGCATGCTGACTGTGGTGGTACCTGCTATGATTACAGCAGTTCATACTGACTGTGGTGGTACCTGCTATGATTACAGCAGTGCATGCTGACTGTGGTGGTACCTGCTATGATTACAGCAGTGCATGCTGACTGTGGTGGTACCTGCTATGATTACAGCAGTTCATGCTGACTGTGGTGGTACCTGCTATGATTACAGCAGTTCATGCTGACTGTGGTGGTACCTGCTATGATTACAGCAGTGAATACTGACTGTGGTAGTACCTGCTATGATGACAGCAGTGCATGCTGACTGTGGTGGTACCTGCTATGATTACAGCAGTGCATGCTGACTGTGGTGGTACCTGCTATGATGACAGCAGTGCATACTGACTGGTGGTACCTGCTATGATTACAGCAGTGCATACTGATTGTGGTGGTACCTGCTATGATTACAGCAGTGAATACCGACTGTGGTGGTACCTGCTATGATTACAGCAGTTCATACTGACTGTGGTGGTACCTGCTATGATTACAGCAGTGCATGCTGACTGTGGTGGTACCTGCTATGATTACAGCAGTTCATGCTGACTGTGGTGGTACCTGCTATGATTACAGCAGTGCATACCGACTGTGGTGGTACCTGCTATGATTACAGCAGTTCATGCTGACTGTGGTGGTACCTGCTATGATGACAGCAGTGCATACTGACTGTGGTGGTACCTGCTATGATTACAGCAGTGCATACTGATTGTGGTGGTACCTGCTATGATTACAGCAGTGAATACCGACTGTGGTGGTACCTGCTATGATTACAGCAGTTCATACTGACTGTGGTGGTACCTGCTATTATTACAGCAGTGCATGCTGACTGTGGTGGTACCTGCTATGATTACAGCAGTGCATGCTGACTGTGGTGGTACCTGCTATGATTACAGCAGTGCATACTGACTGTGGTAGTACCTGCTATGATTACAGCAGTGCATGCTGACTGTGGTGGTACCTGCTATGATTACAGCAGTACATACCGACTGTGGTGGTACCTGCTACATCTAGCGACTGTATAGTAGTAATAACTGCACGCATTGGGGTGGGGGAGACATCACACAGTGAAGATTTTTATAGCATTTTTAACACGAAAGGCGCGTGAGTTGGTATGGTCGTGCACGCGCCATAAATAAATAAATAGTGAAGCGCACAAAAATCGCACTAAATCGCTAATTAAACTAATTTAAAGTTGACGGATGTGAAACTGGAATAGCGCTTGCTGACCACGGGGCTTAGTGCGTGGTTATTTTTTTTTTACCATAAACCCCACCGTTGGAGTGCCAAGCAAGCGACCATACACAAACCCACAAACCCACAATTTATTTCTTTTATTTATATATAGATAGATGTAACTACTGACTCTACAGTAGTATATACCGACTCTATAGTAGTATCTACTGACACTACAGAAGTATCTATTGACTCTGCAATAGTATCTACCGACTCTATAGTAGTATCTACTGACTCTACGGTAGTATCTACTGACTCTGACTCTACAGTAGTATCTACTGACTCTATAGTAATATCTACTGACTCTGACTCTATAGTAGTATCTACTGACTCTATAGTAGTATCTACTGACTCTGACTCTACAGTAGTATCTACTGACTCTATAGTAATATCTACTGACTCTGACTCTACAGTAGTATCTACTGACTCTACAGTAGTATCTACTGACACTACAGTAGTATCTACTGACTCTACAGTAGTATCTACTGACTCTATAGTAGTATCTACTGACACTACAGTAGTATCTACCGACACTACAGTAGTATCTACTGACTATAGTAGTATCTACTGACTCTACAGTAGTATCTACCGACACTACAGTAGTATCTACTTACTATAGTAGTATCTACTGACTCTACAGTAGTATCTACTGACTCTACAGTAGTATCTACTGACTATACTATCTACTGACTCTATAGTAGTATGTACTGACTCTACAGTAGTAACTACCGACTCTACATTAGTATCTACTGACTCTGTAGTAGTATCTACTGACTCTACAGTAGTGTCTACTGACTTTATAGTAGTATCTACTGACTCTACAGTAGTATCTACTGACTTTATAGTAGTATCTACTGACACTACAGTAGTATATACTGACTCTACAGTAGTATATACTTACTATAGTAGTATCTACTGACTCTACAGTAGTATCTACTGACACTACAGTAGTATCTACTGACACTACAGTAGTATCTACTGACTCTATAGTAGTATCTACTGACACTACAGTAGTATCTACTGACTCTATAAAAGTATCTACTGACTCTACAGTAGTATCTACCGACTATAGTAGTATCTACTGACTCTACGGTAGTATCTACTGACTCTGACTCTACAGTAGTATCTACTGACTCTACAGTAGTATCTACTGACTCTATAGTAGTATCTACTGACTCTACAGTAGTATCTACTGACTCTATAAAAGTATCTACTGACTCTACAGTAGTATCTACCGACTATAGTAGTATCTACTGACTCTACGGTAGTATCTACTGACTCTGACTCTACAGTAGTATCTACTGACTCTATAGTAATATCTACTGACTCTGACTCTATAGTAGTATCTACTGACTCTATAGTAATATCTACTGACTCTACAGTAGTATCTACTGACACTACAGTAGTATCCACTAACTCTGACTCTATAGTAGTATCTACTGACACTACAGTAGTATCTACTAACTCTGACTCTATAGTAGTATCTACTGACTTTACAGTAGTATCTACTGACTTTAGTATCTACTGACTCTACAGTAGCATATACTGATACTACAGTAGTATCTACTGACTCTACAGTAGTATCTACTGACTCTACAGTAGTATCTACAGTAGTATCTACTAACTCTGACTCTATAGTAGTATCTACTGACTCTACAGTAGTATCTACTGACTATAGTCGTAAAAATATATTTATAAGGGAGGGGGGGGGGTCGGCATTTATAGGAAACCTTTTAGATCACCTATTTACCCGCCACTTTCTATTACTTTTGAATTCAGGACTTCTTCAATCATCTTTTAATGTTGTTGATGGACAAATGGACAGACAAACGTCACGCCGGGATTTCACAATAGCTTATAGTACTTGTGTGTGTGTGTATTTGTTATGTTTTTAAGAGAAGTTTTGAAATATATTTCCCCACCCCGGGCAACGCCGGGGACTTCCCGCTAATATAATAATAATAAAAGGGAATGCATTGTCAATTTTTAACGACTTTAAAGTTGACGGATGCGATGTTCAAATAGCGCTGCAGGCTCAACCACCGCGGTTCGCGTGTTAAATTCGTCACAAGTTTCGTCCACACACAGACAGAGAATGACTAGTACAGGTAAGATAATTTGTATATGTTTAACGCATAAGCTATTCTATGTTGATTATATATGTAATCTATTATACAATCTCCATGATGTGTTTTTGATATTCATGTCACAGCGCGTCAATAGAGTAGGGGGTGGGGAAGGTGGTGGGGGGGAAGGTGGTGGGGGGGGAACGTGGTGGGGGGGAAGGTGGTGGGGGGAGGTGGTGGGGGGGGAAGGTGGTGGGGGGGAGGTGGTGGGGGGGGGGGAAGGTGTTGGGGGGAAGGTGGTGAAGGTGGTGGGGGGGAGGTGGTGATGGGGGAAGGTGGTGGGGGGGGAAAGGTGGGGGGAGGTGGTGGGGGGGGAGGTGGTAGGGGGGTGGGGGGAAAGGTGGGGGGTGAAGGTGGTGGGGGGGAAGGTGGGGGGGAGGTGGTGGGGGGGAAGGGAGGTGGTAGGGGGGGGGTGGTAGGGGGGGGGGTAGGGGGGAGGTGGTAGGGGGTGTGCTGACGCCACGAGTGATCCCTCCCTCTCGCCACCACCGCCACTTCTGCTGCGCCTCCCTCGGACCTGGTGACTCCGTTTCGCCATCGCTCGAGTCCCACACGCGTCCACCTCTCCCCGCCGCTGCTGCTGCTGCTGCCGCCGCTGTAGACAACAATGACGGCTCCCCGCAGCCTCCACACGTGGCTGCCCGCGTGCCTCTTCCTCCTGATCGTGGCCTCGGGCGCGATCTACAGCCAGGTGGGATTGAGCATCACGTTCGTCAAGTTCCCCCCCGAGCGCTCCGAACGAGACAACTCTCATCGCGTCGCCGCCGTGAATTGCGACGGCGCTCGAGACTGCGGCGGCGGTGACGGTGGTGGCGACGGTGGCGGTGGAGGAGGTGGAGGAGGGGGTGACTTCGATCGCGAGAAGGACCTTTTTCCTAACTTCTGGGAGGAGCGCTCAGCCGGCTCGGCGCCGAGTTGGGACGGCCACTCGAACCTCTGCGTCTCGAACGCGAGCGTGGCTGCCGCAGTGGAAGGCTTTTCGAGCTTGCCGGGGATGATCCAAAACTTCTTGACGCACCGCCACTGCCGCCGCTTCGAGCTCGTGCTGGAGCCGCAGCCGTCCAAGTGCGACCCGGGACCCGTGACCCTCCTCATCGCCATCAAGAGCGACGCCAGGAATCTTGCACGCAGGGATGTGATCCGCAGGACGTGGGGACAAGAGCGAACCATCAAGGTGAGACGACCACCGGTTTCATCATCGCCACCACCCAACACCACCCCTATCAATCGGGCGTGATTCAAATTCGCGACCCCTCGCTCTCGTCTCAGGATTTCTTCACCGCGGTCCGCGCTCATATTCAGACTCCACGGAGAGACCCACGGAGAGACATCCGTGAAGATGAATCGAATAGATTGCCGCAGTGCGATTGTGGCAATTAAACTCCACCCGTGGAACGCACGAACAACTCCATTGTATTATATTATTTTATTATGTTTTATTTTTATTATTTTATTACTTCCCTTCTACGTGACTTTACCGAAAGAACCAAGAAGATGAATCCCTGCAGTCGCGAAAGCTTTAAATCGAAATTTAACTCCATTGTAGCCTGCGTTTCTTCCTCGGACGACGCCAATGATCTCCGTAAACCCCTCCCGCTCGTATCCTTTAACTTCCCAGCTTATTGCTCCCATCGCACCGCGCGTTAACAAATAAATAGCGAGCATGGTCAATCCACTGCTGGATGAAAACCCTCCTGACGCCGCCAGCCGCCGCCATCTCGCGCTCATGCGATGCGACAATTCGCCCCGGCTTCCTCGAGACGATCTCACGGATCCATCTCCAGGGTGGTGGTACCCCTCGTTCCGTCTCTCCGGAGATGCAGCGGCCCCCTCTGCGCATTGAGTCTCGACCCCCCCACCACGGCCATAGCCGCCGTCTCTTATCCATCCCTGCGCAAAGTGCGTGTGGGGAAATCGCATGCAGCGCGCTACTGTGTGGAGATGTATTTGTGTTACTTCCTGCTACGATTAAGGGACATTGCCCTAAGCGTATCCCATTATGGGGTTTTGTTTGTTTTGTTTATCCTTGAAGGCCACCGTGTTAGTGAAGAATGTGTTTGCCAGGGGGCGGGCGGAGGGGGGCTTTGCTCGAAACGTCGCCGATTATATTTCCTGTGCGGGCCACACAAATGTGTGGGGCTCGTACAACGCTGCCCACGCAGCATCTCGATCGATCGGTTTGTTTAACTTTTGAGGACAAAGGTTTTACGGTTTATTTTTTTTTAACAAATCCAACTTTGTAATGCTTTTCGCCGCGAGACGAATCCGCGGGCGAATTGATGAATTCGTGGGTTGCTGCTACTTCCTCGTGCGCCTCGCTGTTCGTTCGACCTTCGACAAAGTCGCATTCCTCCTCCTCCTCGAGCCTTCTCGCCTGAAGCGTCGTGGCCGTGTCTCCGCGTGCGTAGGGGTCCCATACCCTCGTGCGTAGGGGTCCCATACCCTCGTGCGTAGGGGTCCCATCCCCTCGTCCGACCGTAGGGGTCCCATGCCCCCCCCCTCTTTCTGTGCCTGCCGACTTGGGGCCGGAGTATGGCAACGCTGTGGCCCATCGATGCCTCTTAGATATTTCTCGTCGTATCCGAATTAAATTATCCGTTTTAGATGATTGTACATCTCCCCCCCCCCCCCCCCCAATCTCCTTTATTGTTTTCATCCGACTAACTTGAAACTTGGAATTATCTTCTTGGTTCTTTCGGTAAAGTCACGTAGAATGGAAATAATAAAAATGTTTTATTATGTTTTATTTTTATTATATTATTATTTACATTCTACGTGACTTTACCGAAAAAACCAAGAAGATGAATCCCTGCAGTCGCGAAAGCTTTAAATCGAAACTTCGAATTATGTTCAAATCTTTTTCGTATTTCGAGGACATCTCGTGATGCGAGGCTGTAGCTTCCACAATTGTCAGTTTTAGCACGTCCTTACCTCTTGCGACTTGTTTGTTAAGACGTTGACCACCAAACCTTCTCTGGGGGGGAGGAGGTTACCTTTTCTACGAGCCGAGAACATTGGGGGAGAAAAAAAACTTCTGAATCGAGCAAATGCCCTTTGGCTCTTGTTCCTCAAAAGGAAAACGATGCAGAGAAAACGCGGTCTTCCCTTCCCCAAAAACCTCGCAATATCGGTCGCGAAAGCCGATTCCGTGGTTAATCTGTCGCTTCGTGTGGGTTCTTTTGTTTGCTTAAAATCCGCTCCTTGCCTGGAGTCAAATTGCCAATTGTCTTTAAGGTGTCCATGAACACTGTGGAACGTAGCAGTGAACCACTGTGAACATGCCCCCCTTCAACTGGAAGAAGAGAAAACACAAAACTACTCCCAACGTTTCGGTCCGTCCGTCCACGTTGGATCTCGACTATTCGCCGTTTAGCTTCCCCGAACCGCGTTGCTTGTGCTGCTTAACGCGAGAGAATATTCGCCGTGTAACACGTGGTAGACCTTTGCGACTAATATAATCTTATGGAGACTATAATCCCTTAGCGGCTTGCATCGCGCTACAAACTTCTAAACAAAGACCCACCCCTCCCCGTGTTATAGCCTTTAACAGACTATTCTTCGTTCTTTCGGTAAAGTCAGGTAGATAGAAACAAATAATAAAATATTATTACAAACCATAAATTGAAAATAATAATAAAAACCCACGACGTTTCGATCGCAACACAAGCGGATTTTCATCAGGCGGAAATGCATTTTATTATTTTATTATTTTCTATCGACGCGACTTGACCGAAAGAACCAAGAATATGAATTCCTTGCGGTCACGAAATCCTTTCGCAGACTGTTGCGACAAGCGACGTTATCGAAGGTCGTTTCCGGCACACGGGGTGGCCAGCACCACGCCCGACCGCCTTTGTCTCCCTCGTGTCGATGTTTAACACACCTCACCAATGTACGAATGTGAGGCTGAGTCGACCTAGGGGAGGCCCAGGACCGGTTCTGGCCGTGAGCGGGAATCGAACTCGGGGCCGGGTTCGTAGCGAGAAACGCTGCACCACCGCTCCCCGCGTCTAAACAAAGACAAAGATCCCCCGTGTAGCCTTAACAGACTGTTGGGGCAAGTGCTGTTAGCGAGCAGCACATATGAAGGCCGGCAGCTGCACACGAGGTGGGGAACGGGGGTGGCCTTCACGCCCGACCGCCTTTGTCCCCCTCGTGTCGATGTTTAACACACCTCACCAGGTACGCATTTGAGGCTGAGTCGACCTAGGGGAGGCCCAGGACCGGTTCAGACACACACACGCGCGTGTCCTCATTGTTCCATTTACTCACCGAAATGGGTCGGCGTCGATTTAAAAAAAGCAATAAAAATCGAGCACTACGCTTGCCTTCGTGCGCGGATAACAGTTGTTAGTTCGCATCCGGCGTTATTATCGTACCCGTGGATGGACCCCACCTCGCCGCACGAATGTGTAATTTCCACCACGGGGTGGGGGGGGGGGCCCAAGGTTACCCCCCCCCCTCAAGGTTATTTTGACAAGGAAATGTTCGGGACGGGTGTTGCTTCATCTGGACCAGTCCCCTCCCCGCACTCATCTTTGTCAATAGTCTCGAACAAAAAGTCGAGTTGCCCATTGTATGTGCTTTCTATTTATAACTATCTAAAAGGTTACTCCTTTTATATACTATTTATAACTATCGAACGAGGTTACCCCCTTGTATTTCCTCTCTAATAAAGTTAATAAAGTGACCACTTTTATCTACGATCTAAAAGGTTACTCGAAAAATAACCCCTTTATATACTGTCTAAAAAGTTTACAACACATGTCGAGTAGTTTGTGTCGTCTGTCTAGTTTGTGTCGTCTGTCTGGTTTGTGTTGTCTAGTTTGTGTTGTCTGTCTAGTTTGTGTCGTCTGTAGTTTGTGTAGTTTGTGTCGTCTGTCTAGTTTGTGTCGTCTGTAGTTTGTGTAGTTTGTGTCGTCTGTCTAGTTTGTGTCGTCTGTCTAGTTTGTGTTGTTTGTGTTGTCTAGTTTGTGTTGTCTGTGTTGTGTTGTTTGTGTTGTCTGTGTTGTGTTGTGTAGTTTGTGTAGTTTGTGTTGTTTGTGTTGTGTTGTTTGTGTTTTTGTGTTGTGTTGTTTGTGTGTGTGTGTTGTCTAGTTTGTGTTGTTTGTTTGTGTTGTTTGTGTTGTTTGTTGTGTTGTTTGTGTTTTGTTGTTGTGTTGTTTGTGTTGTTTGTGTTGTCTAGTTTGTGTTGTTTGTGTTGTGTTGTTTGTGTTGTTTGTGTTTGTTGTTTGTGTTGTTTGTGTTGTCTAGTTTGTGTTGTTTTGTGTCTAGTTTGTGTTGTTGTGTTGTCTAGTTTGTGTTGTTTGTGTTGTCTAGTTTGTTTTTTGTGTTGTCTAGTTTGTGTTGTTGTGTTGTCTAGTTTGTGTTGTTTGTGTTGTCTAGTTTGTGTTGTTGTGTTGTCTAGTTTGTGTTGTTTGTTGTCTAGTTTGTGTTGTTTGTGTTGTCTAGTTTGTGTTGTTTGTGTTGTCTAGTTTGTGTTGTTTGTGTTGTCTAGTTTGTGTTGTTTGTGTTGTCTAGTTTGTGTTGTTTGTGTTGTCTAGTTTGTGTTGCCGCGGTTCTTCGTGCGGTTCAGTGGCTCATCAAAGCCCCCCCCACCTCCAACCCCTCCCCTCTCCTTTGGACAGAGACAGACAGACACACACACAGACAGACACACACACACACAGACACACACACACACAGACACACACACGCACAGACACACACACACAGACACACACGCAGACACAAAGACAAAGACCCCCCGTGTAGCCTTAACAGACTGTTGGGGCAAGTGCTGTTAGCGAGAACCTATTAAGGCCGGCACGGCACACGAGGGGGGTGGCTGGCCAACACCACGCCCGGCCGCCTTTGTCTCCCCAGTGGTGACGTTTATACACCGCACCAGTCGAGCGAATTCACAGACACACATGCAGACACGACTCTACTCGTAGACAGAGAGAGACACGGAAACACTCCGAGATTCGTGTCCGAGATTCTCTTGTTCCCCACAAGCCAGATGGAGTCTGCTCGCACGCACGTGCAGCGTGGTGGAATCGAACCCGGCCACCCGAGTTCGATACCTGTTCACGCGCAAAACCGGTGACGATTGTCTGAACCGGTTCTCGGCATGCCCTAGGTCGACTCGGCCTCAAATTAGCACCCGGTGCGATGTAGTAAACATCGCCACTGGGGAGACAAAGGCGGCCGGGCGTGGCGCTGGCCCTCTCCTCCCTCGTGTGCCGTGTCGGCCTTCATAGGTGCTTGCAAACAGCACTTGCCACAAAAGTATGTTAAGGCTATATGGGTGATCTTTGTATGTTTGTGCATACCCGTTCACCCGAGTTCGATTCCCACTCGAGCGCAAAACCGGTGACGATTATCTGAACCGTGTCCTGGGCATCCCCTAGTTCAACTCGGCCTCAAATGAGTAACTGGTGCGGTGTCTGAACATCGCCACCGGGGAGACAAAGGCGGCCGGGCGTTGTGCCGTCCGCCGTTCATAGGGTGCAGCTCGCTAACAGCGCTTGCTCCGACAGTCCGTCACAGGCTTGTGCGGGGTGGCATGGGGGAGAGGGTTGAGGAGCCCTGACAACGACCGTTCAAACACTGCGCTGGTGCAGGAGGGCAAACGGCTTCATGCGCTGCACAACTGCAAAGCGTGCGAATCATTGTCTCCATTAAACAAACATCCGAGTCCCACGCGCCAGTTCTGTGCCCACGATGGCTCCGCGCTGGTAGCGGCTCTCCCGCCGCACGCTTCGGTCCGTGCTGCCGCGTCTCCACGCCATCCCGCTGCCGAAAGCGTCAATTCGTCGGTTCCTGTCGAAGGTTCCCCACCGGCACGCCGAGCGAAACGTCGGACACCGTACTGCCACGAGGCACGGCAAGAACGCGCGGTCGGAGGGACGAACCAAACCATTTTGTTATCCAACCCGGGTAAAGCCCTCTGAGCTATGAGCTGTTGTTTGGAGGCCACACGCGATGATGATGATGATGATGGCTCATCGACAGTGGCCAATCTCATCACCACACGTGGAGAATTAATAGCAAGCGGTGAAATGAACGCGCGCCGATTCTAAATGCGGACGGGGCGCAAAAGCGGAGGGGAATCCGGAGAAAAATGTCACGAGGCCACCACAGGGAGGTGTCGTCACAGTCCGGATGGAAGCCAGGACCGTGGCGAGATGTTAACTACCTCGCCTGGTATGCAGGAGGTCGTGGGTTCGATCCCGACCCTTGACGCCTGCTGCTGCTGTATATTTGGAGTTTGCGTGTCTCTCTCTCTCATCATCATCACGGTGGCTAGGAGAGATGTTAACTACCTCGCCTGGTATGCAGGAGGTCGTGGGTTCGATCCCGACCCTTGACGCCTGCTGCTGTATATTTGGAGTTTGCGTGTTCTCTCTCCCCGTGGTCGCGTCGATTTTTCTCTGGGTCCTCCGGTTGCTCCCTCCACATGTAGAAACGTGCGTTTAGAGTATATTTGGCTGCGATTTCAATGTCCACGTGATAAGTCACTTCGTTGAGCTATCATTTGTGGGCCAGGTCGCTTCTGAAAAGGAACTGTATGGCTCAGTGGGGGGGCCTTACCTCGTAAAATAGATTTGTTAACCCGCATGTGCATTTTGTGCGTGTTTTGCGAGCGATAAAATGCCCTCTCGCCCGAGTGCCCTGGTCGCGCGGCAAACAAAGCCTTTCTGTCCGCGTGTTTTACGGCGGGCGTAAATTTTCGCCACTTGTTCGGGTTCGAGACGTGTGTGTAAAAAAATATAAAAACGTCCGGGTGACGCACGGGGAAACTGCAGACAAGCCGAACGAACGGCGGGACGGAAACCGAAAAAGTGCGCGAAGACAACGCGTGCTGTGGAATCGCCCCGAGAGACGCGAAAGGAAGCGAGGGTGGCTGTTGAGAGAAGTGAGGGGGGCAGGGGGGGGCAGGGGGGGGGGGGCAGCGGTGAATTTTTAAATTTGTTTTATTTTACTTTTATTAATTTAACATTTTTTACCTACGTGACTTTACCGAAAAAAAACCTAAGAGTATGAACCCCTGGTGCTAACCGTCACACCGGTAGCAGGGTCGTGCAATGTTCAGATTGGCGAACAAACAAATGCATTCCAGAGTAGAGGCACCGTGGCTGTGACCCGTGTCGAGCTCGAATGTTTGGAATTGGGAACGAAATTGATCGGGCCACCCCCATCTTGAACGTCACGGTGGCGAGATGTGAATACCTCGCCTGGTATGCAGCAGGTCGTGGGTTAGATCCCGACCCTGACCGCCTCTATTTAAGGAACACAAATCTGGCTGTCGCCTGATGAAGCTAGTTGTAATCACTGGCGAAACGTCGTACTCGGATTGTAAATGTTGTGGCTTGGCTCTCCAACACACCGGTGTGCTGTACTAGTATAATACACTATACACTACACTATACACTACACTATACACTAGTGCTGTACTAGTGACGAATTGGCCACGTTCTGTTTACGTGGCAACCCTTACTAGTTGGCTGTGTCGGGAGGTGGCGGGTTTTAACGACATTTATATATTTACGCTATCTAACCCAAAAAACCTCTTGTGGATGATATTGGTCACGAAAGCCTCCGTGTTAAACTGTATATTTGGAGTTTGCGTGTCTCTCTCTCCGTGGTCGTGTGCATTTTTTTCCGGGTCCTCCGGCTTCCTCCACCACATTTGAGAAATCGACGTCGCGCATTCAGAGTATTGGAACCTCCTTTGCCAGTAGCAAAATATGATAATTGATGTTTTACCTTTTTATCTGGCAACAAAACTGACACCTTTTTTTACAAAGAGTCAAGCTGTCTCGGGTGTGGACCAATCAATTTCAAGGACAGTGCATACATTATCAGAGTTGTGTTTTTTTGTTTGCATTCCAACCGCAGGTATTGTGGTCAATGCAAACATGACTCTTTGTAAAAAAAATTCCGTTTTGTTGCCAGATAAGAGGGTAAAAAAACCAATTGTCATTCGCATTCAGAGTATTCGCTGCTCTACATTCCACGTCGAGCTATCGTTTGTGATGGCCAAGTCGCTTCTGAATAAGAGCTGTACATCACTCAGTGGGGCGGTTGGGTTGGGGGCAGTGTGCCTCTACCTCTTAAAATAAAACAAATATATAGTTTAGTTCGGAGACGCCGAACGGAGTCGGGTTCCGTCATCCGTTGACGGTGAACAAAGCGCAGTGTTCATCTCTAACGCGACGCACACCGAGAGGGGCAGTGCATCCAGGCCGGCGGCAAACGTCGGCACTTGTGCTCGGCTCCTTGAACCGCATCGCCGCTGGCGGCGCGTTGCGCGACAGGAGAATGCCAGGCGATGGGCGACGGGCGGAACGGCTCGTCGCGGCGTGGGCGAAACGTGACGATTGAAATCAGCCCAGCGTCAAGGGAGGAGGAGGATGAGGAATATTGAAAAGCCCAAGCAAAATGTTGACAAATACTTCAACGTTCCAATGGTCCAACATTCCTCCTCCTCCGGGTTTGCTGATCAACCAAATCGGCTGGCACGTTTGCCCACGTCGTGACAACTACATTTGGTTGGCTACGACGTCTGTGGTCTCAGCCCGGGTCCTCAACGACCGCACGAATTCGGTTTCGTTTCTGCACTCCGGCTGAATTTCTGCTCTGGGAATGAGAAATATTGTTCTGTCGCGCGACGGACAATTGCGCTCACGTGGGGGAGAGGGGTGGGAGAGTGCTGCCCCCCCCCTCGCCCTAAGGTGTAGATGTCACTTGACGAAGAAGGGATATCGGAGGTAGCTCTGCGTTATCCGCTTCCACGTCTTTTCACACGAAGGGTGCCGCTGCCTCCGACGGAGCTGCGTTTGTTCGTCTCGCGCCACCGCCGCCGATGACACAAAGCGGGGGATGATGTTCGGGGTCAAGGGAGCGGCGCCGTTGACGCGCCCTGCCCTGGACGTCTGTGGAAGTAAAAAAAAGCTTCGTAGCTCATCGGATTCCTCCGGTGTGACGTCGTGGCGACGTCGCTCCAGCTTCCACGTCGCGTTTTGTTTCATCTCGGGGGTTACTTGAAGGACAAAACTACGACCATGCCGGGTTATCACTCCCAATTATTGACATCGCATGTTTAGAGTAAGGCTACATTTTTAAAATTCTCGACATTTCGCGATCGCTCGGCTCCACGCTGCCTCCCAGCTCATGGGAAGTTTCCATTTTTTTCAAGAATTATCCGTCTCCACCCCCCCCCCCCCACCACCGCCTCCCCCCCCCCCCCCCCTTGCGCAGGGCTCGATCGTGCGGCGCGTCTTCCTCTTCGGCGTGGTGCCCGACGTGCCGGGCGATCGCCGCCTGCGCCTCAACGCGCTGCTGCAGGAGGAGTCGCGCCTCTACAACGACGTGGTGCAGTGGAACTTCTTGGACACCTTCTACAACCTGACGCTCAAGCAGCTGCTCTTCCTCGACTGGATGGCCGAGCGCTGCCCGCTCACGCGCTTTATCTTCGACGGCGACGACGACATCTTCGTCAACAGCGACAACATGGTGGAGTACGTGACGACGAGCACGGCCGGCGGGGACCCCCCGGCGTCATCGTCGTCGTCCGAGACGCCGGGACACCATATGTTCGAGGGCTACGTCATCGCCAACGTGGGGCCCATCCGACACACCTGGAGCAAGTGAGTGCCACTGCGTAGCCTGGGTGCTTAGCGTAGTGTCAGGGTTCTTAGCGTGGTGTCGGGGTTCTTAGCGTGGTGTCAGGGTTCTTAGCGTGGTGTCGGGGTTCTTAGCGTGGTGTCGGGGTGCTTGGTCTTCTTGGTTCTTTCGGTAAAGTCACGTAGAAGGGAAGTAATAAAATAATAAAAATAAAACATAATAAAATAATTCTCACGACGTTTCGGCCACAACGCAAGCAGCCGTCCTTCCCTTTATTAATGATACCCCTATCCCCTCCCTTTGATGCTGCTAATCCTGCATAATGCACGGGCATAATATGACTTTGAAAACCCCCCCTCCCACCTCGTACGCATTTCACAAGTAGCACTAATCACATACCTGCATTTCCCATAAATATGCTAAATTCCTCTTAATATGCAAATTATTTTGTCAAGGCGCCCTTCCCCCCTTCCAACCCAGCTTAAATATACGCTCCAAGCGTGGTGGTGTTTCATTCAGACGGTGTCTCCCCGACAGACCTGGTCTTCACCTGAGGACGGCTGCTGGCGTTGTGGCCGAAACGTCGTGAGAATTATTTTATTATGTTTTATTTTTATTATTTTATTACTTCCATTCTACGTGACTTTATCGAAAGAACCAAGAAGATGAATCCCTGCAGTCACGAAAGCTTTAAATCGAAATTGGGTTCTTAGTGTTGTGTCGGGGTTCTTAGCGTGGTGTCGGGGTTCTTAGCGTTGTGTCGGGGTTCTTAGCGTGGTGTCGGGGTTCTTAGCGTGGTGTCGGGGTTCTTAGCTTGGTGTCGGGGTTCTTAGCGTGGTGTCGGGGTTCTTAGCATGGTGTCGGGGTTCTTAGCGTGGTGTCGGGGTTCTTAGCGTGGTGTCGGGGTTCTTAGCGTGGTGTCGGGGTTCTTAGCGTGGTGTCGGGGTTCTTAGCGTGGTGTCGGGGTTCTTAGCGTGGTGTCGGGGTTCTTAGCGTGGTGTCGGGGTTCTTAGCGTGGTTTCGGGTTCTTAGCGTGGTGTCGGGGTTCTTAGCGTGGTGTCGGGGTTCTTAGCGTGGTGTCGGGGTTCTTAGCGTGGTGTCGGGGTTCTTAGCGTGGTGTCGGGGTTCTTAGCGTGGTGTCGGGGTTCTTAGCGTGGTGTCGGGGTTCTTAGCGTGGTGTCGGGGTTCTTAGCGTGGTGTCGGGGTTCTTATCGTGGTGTCGGGGTTCTTAGCGTGGTTTCGGGTTCTTAGCGTGGTTTCGGGTTCTTAGCGTGGTGTCGGGGTTCTTAGCGTGGTGTCGGGGTTCTTAGCGTGGTGTCGGGGTTCTTAGCGCGTTGTCGGGGTTCTTAGCGCGGTGTCGGGGTTCTTAGCGCGGTGTCGGGGTTCTTAGGATGGCGTTGGGGTTATCCACGGTTAGAGGATCACAGATCGCTGTAAACTCCTCTCCCCGTGGGCGTTGAGGAGGTGCCGTACCCTAGCTCGGTCCATCAGGTGGACCAATCGCCGTCTGTTTCCATCTGTACGGGGATCGAGCGTTGCCCCCTTGCGCCGAGGCGTGGGCTTTCTCCGGGAGCTCCGGTTTCTTCCCGTGTGGATAATTTGGCGCGTTACGGCCGACCATCCACTGACAGAACACTGACACGTGCATATTTGTTCTTGTGTATCTGGTGCTCTGTGTGGAGGCCACGCGTGAAAAAGCATTCGCTAAATAAGCAGCAGCGAGAGACGCAACTGTCACAGTGCTGCACGGAACGCTGCCTCTGTGTCCACCCTGCTGCACACTGCTGCACCCTGCTGTACCCTGCTGCACCCTGTCCCACGCTGTCCCACCCTGCTGCACCCTGCTCCACGCTGCTGCACCCTGCTGCACCATGTCCCACCCTGTCCCACGCTGCTGCACCCTGCTGCAGCTGCTGCACCCTGCTGCACCCTGTCCCACGCTGCTGCACTCTGCTGCAGACTGCTGCACCCTGCTGCACCCTGTCCCACCCTGTCCCACGCTGCTTCACCCTGCTCCACCCTGCTGCTCCCTGCTGCACCCTGCTGCACTCTGTCCCACCCTGTCCCACGCTGCTGCACCCTGCTGCACGATGTTGCACCCTGCTGCACCCTGCTGCTCACTGCTCGCCCATAGGGCCCGGGCACCGCGTGCGAGACTCTCCCACGGCGGCAGTCGAACCGATCTATTTTATTCTCCGAGCTGGAGTAGAGCCAAACTTTCTAAGTTTTTTTTTTTTTTCGTGCGGCCTTCGTGTGACCATCAACTTGCCACACTACAAAATCCGGTTTGGTCATTCTCCCATTCTGAGAATCGATGCGAGCCTGTGCGGGTCACCACGTAAGTCATCGCCGACCTGCCTGGGACCATCAACCCGATGCGGCCTTAACCTGGATTGGAGCCCAGGAGCTCGGCGGCTCCTCCATCTCACCGTGCGCCGTCCGTGTGGCCCCTCCCCGCCCCCAGGTACTACGTGCCCGTGCAGGTGCAGCAGAGCGAGCGCTACCCTCCGTACGTGGGCGGCGGTGGGATCATCATGAGCGGCCACACGGCCCTGCAGATCCGCAAGGCCGCCCCCTCTGTCCCCTTGCTCCCCATCGATGACGTCTTCTTCGGCCAGGTGAGCGCGTGCGCGTCCGTGCGGCCGTCAGTGACTGGGCACCATCATTCCTGTGAGGATGATCCTCGTAATAATTCTAATAAGTCGGTTATTTATTCAGGAAAGCCGCACGGTTGTGGTAGGAATCTTTTCTCAGGAGGGGTCCTGCAGCTACGTTGGGTTTCTATTTGTCTCGGGACGTTTTCGGCCAATTCGTGACCAATCACTACGAGACCTCCTTTACCAGTGGCAAAATATAGTAATAGGTTTTTACCCTTTCAACTGGTTCAAAAACTGACACCTTTATACAAGGCATCATGTTTGCAATAACCACAGCACAAGCAGTCAAAATGCAAACAAAAATAAACAACTCTGATAATGATAATGATATATACTGTCCTTGAAGTTGATTGGTCCACACCCGAGACAGCTTTTCTTAGAGCCTAGTCTCCATTGGTGTTGGACCAGATGATGCCAAAAGGCGTACAACTCAAAAACAGCGCACTATCAGAGTATTGAGAGCTCGGGGTAAGCATTTACACTATGAGACATCTCCTTTACCAGTGGCAAAATATAGTAATAGGTTTTAACCCTTTCAACTGGTACAAAAACTGACACCTTTATACAAGGCATCATGTTTGCAATAACCACAACACAAGCAGTCAAAAATGCAAACGTAAAGAAAAACTTTGAAGTCCACTGAGGTATTCACTTATTGTTCAAAAACGACCTGGCCGCAAATGATAGCTCAACCAAGCGGCCCCACCATTAGGATATTCATAGCAGCAAGATCATCGAAATAGTCTCAACGCACGTTTATAAATGTGGTGGGAAAAACCGGAGGACCCGGAGAAAAAATCCACGTGACCACAGGGAAAACCACGCAAACTCCAAATATACAACAGGCATCGGGGTCGGGATCGAACCCACGACCTCCTGCGTACCAGGTGAGGTAGTTAACATCTCGCCACGGCGACGCAGCTTCATGTGGTCCTGGCTTCCATCCGGACCGTGACGGCACCTCCCTGTGGTGGTCACGTGGAATTTTTCACCGGATTCCCCCCCGCTTTTGCGCCCCCTCCACATTTAGAATCGACACGCGTTCATTCGACTGCTTGTTCTCCCCGTGGTCGCGTAGATAATTTTTTCCACGCGACCACGGAGAGTACACGCAAACTCCAAATATACAGCAGCAGGCGTCAGGGTCGGGATCGAACCCACGACCTCCTGCATACCAGACGAGGTAGTTAACATCTCCTAGCCACCGTGATGATGATGAGAGAGAGAGACACGCAAACTCCAAATATACAGCAGCAGGCGTCAGGGTCGGGATCAAACCCACGACCTCCTGCATACCAGGCGAGGTAGTTAACATCTCCCCGCCGTGCCTCGCGATGCCGCGACGCCCTCCTCATCCTGACGCGAACGGGAAGCGGACGACGGTAAGCCTGACGCGTCGCCAATGTCTCAACGTCTCAATGTCTCCCTCCCCCCCCCCTCCCCTCCTGCCGTCGTTGCTCAGTGCCTGGAGCTGTTGGGCCTGGGGCCTCGGCGCAACGCCGAGTTCCGCACGGCCGGCATTCACAACCCCAAGGCCGGCGCGGGCGACGACGGCCTGTCGTCCTTCCACCCGTGCTACTACCGCGAGGTGCTGCTCGTCCACAGCCTCGAGCCCTTCGAGGTGCAGCTCATGTGGGGGGCCCTCAAGCGGCCGTGGCTGCGGTGCGGCCGCCCGCCTGTCCCCATCCCGGGGCCCGTCGAAGCCGCCGTGGTCGTGGACAAGCAGAAGTGAAAGCCGCTGCCCACGCTGCTGCTCGGTGTTTTTGCGACCTCGTCGAATTGTTACCGTGGAGTCCGAAGTACTCTGCGGTGTTTTGACCCCTGGGTTTGAAATCCCAATGATGGCAATAGGACTCGTTTTACGTGGGTCGGTTGTTGTTTTTTGTCTTTCTTCGTTCAGTAGATTTTAATTTAATTAATCGCACGCACAACTTACGCCACGGCCCGAAGGGAACAGGAATGTGAAAACGGTCGACTCGCGACGGTGCGGAGGCACGATCGGCAGGGACGACCCGGATAGAACAACGCTCGCATGAGATCACGCGCACACGGCCGCGATCGCCCCCCACCCCCCCCCCACCCCACTAGCGGCCTCGTGCCCACCTGCAGGCCAGGTGCTGAATGACGTCGTTCTGCACACGGGAACAGCTGCTGCCTCTGTGGTGGCGGGGGGGGGTGGGGCGACCCCCTATTCAGATGTCCTTGAGGTGAGATGCAGGTCGGTCATCGCGCGGACAGCGCTCCAATCTGCGATCGTCCGTGATGTTCGCGAGGTCGTGGATTCGTATTTATTTGTTTACATTCGTGGGCCGCTGGCGAAGGCTCGTCGCGTGTCGTCGGGTTTCGCTGCATAGAGCAAAAGCTGCTCGATCTCAGGACAGGAGTGGGCGACGCGGCGATGGGCGAGAGGTGCAGGCGTGCGACGAGTAGCGAACGAATGTTTCCGATTCGGGATTGGGTTCAATCGATTCGAGAATTTCTCTCTCGCTCGCGCGCGCGCTCTGTGGCCGTCTCGTTTCTCCATCGCTGGCGCATCTCAATCGCATTTTGATGTTCTCGCCGCTTGGTGCAATTCACCGTGCAGCGGGCGCAGCGAGTCCCCGTTTAACGCGCGGTAGATGCGTTCATGAAAAGCGTCGCGTTGAGCGGGAAAAAGCATTTGTCAGCAAAAACTATTTCCCCATGAATATATTCGGTTTGGCGAGATGCGGTGTTACTCCTACACACATACACAACTTGGGGTACTACACCCCGCCGCATTGCTGCATCACTCCGCTCAGCCGAGCAGCTCAAGAAAGTAGTTGGTAGTCGACCGCTCGGGAAACCGCGTTGTACTGGGGATGCGCGTTCCGAATTATGCGAAAAGTATTCCCCAACGCAGGAGACCGTGTTATCGCGACAACGAGTTGTGTGAGCGCCGCTACGCGTTAAGCAAGGACCAGAGGTCGCAAACGAGTTTTGATTCCTTACCGGTACCCGGTCGCACCAGGGTCGCAAACGGCTACCCGTACCCGGCCGGGTACGGGTAGCCGGGTATCGGGTAGGGTACGGGTATCGGGTTCCCGGTTGCGACCTCTGGCAAGGACTTACCGCAGCCTGGCCACAATTTGGATAATTAATAAATATTCGATGTGCGCATTGCGAACGCAGGGAGACCATTTTAAAGCGTTGCACCTTGATTTGGTTTGTGCTGTAACGCGGATTTATTTATTCCATATTTGTATGGTGGGTGTTCCATTTACAGATCGCGTCATCTTCCTGGTACAATATTTAGTGCATTGGATATTTGTGCCATTCTTCAAGCGCAAGGCTAACAAGGACAAACGTGTTTCACCCCGCGTAGTCTGCAATGGTTTTGCCGTGTGTGTGTGTCAATCCCAGTCGAACGCTGAAATCTCCAGGTAATCTTTTCAAACGTGGACCTTGATGCCCGGGCACACACTGGCCCAATCTTGCGAGTTCCCACAGTAGTAACCGGGGCGGGCAAAATACAGAGTTTATCTATTTACAGATACCCCACTATAATAATTGGGGAAGAAATTCTCGACTTAGATATCAGATTCTGATTGAAAGCTTTCCGCGTGTCTCCCCGCGTCCGCAACCAATCTCGGTCAATTTACACAAGTACGGTGTTGGTGGGGTATCTATGAATGGATCACCCTTCATCCCTAAAACATCTGCCAAAAAACCCAAAAATGTGATTTTATTTATTTCTTATTTATTAGGTCGGCATGGGGAATTGCCACCACCCACAATATTGTCGTGGTTATATCGGCTTTAGTCAATGCTGCTGCTGCTGCAGTTGGGTTATCAGAATGCACAGTGAAAATCGCGCATTGGGTGCCACGGTGGCGAGATGTTAACTGCCTCGCCTGGTATGCAGGAGGTCGTGGGTTCGATCCCGATACCCCTGACGCCTGCTGCTGCTGCTGTATATTTGGAGCCTGCGTGTTTTCCCCGTGCTCGCGTGAATCATTTTCCGAGTCCTGGTTGCCCCTCCACATTTAGAAACACGCGTTTAGAGTAATTTGGCTGCTGTAAATTTCCACGTGGTAAGCCACTAAGTTGAGCTGTCATTTGTTGGCCAGGTCGCTTATGGAAAAGAGATATGCAGCTCGGTGGGTAGAATAAAAAGAGTAAGTTTTATAGCTTTAACGTTAGCTTGCTATTATTACCGACTGCCACTGTCGTTCCTGTACAGTCCCGCCGGGTGCAGCAATTCTCCGCAGGTAGAGCAAGTGGTGTCCGATCGAAAGCTCCCGACTTCTCACATCCTGGTTGGGGGTTGACTTCGGCCCATCGTCCCTCCTCGGGGTGGTTACAACGAGCACAGCATTTTGTGTCGAAGTCAAATGTGTTTTGTTCTCTGGATCGAATTGCCCCCGCCATAGGAATGTGGAATTCCCACCACCGGCGATACAGGACTGTAAACAGGAGATGAGCCCCCCCCCCCCCCCGAATGCTAATTTGAACAGGGAGCCACTTTAAAGCTTGCATGTCGAACCACTGTTATTGCCATGAAATGTATTTGCTGCATATGATGTAGCATTTCATGAAAATTTTAGCCCGATTTTTTTTCTTCTTCTAAATCCACTGCTTGGATATGTGCCTCTTCGCAACTTGCGGGTCGTGGGATTTGTTTGACCACGCCTCGCTCACCTCGTCGCTCGGTGCGGGTTGCTGGGTTATAACGCAACGCGCGAACCGCTGTGCCATCACTGCCGCCCCCTCCCCCCCCCAACACCGCAGTACGTGCTATGTGTGTGTGTGTGTGCGCGTGTACATCTCTACAGCCCGGGATTTCTGCTCTAAAGATTTGGCATCTGGCCGCGCGTACCAACTGCGCACGGTTGCGGCGGTGGGCGCCGCTGCTTTCGGGTGGCGATGTCCGACGTTTCGCCCGGGGAACTTCTCCAGCTCCGTCCCAGAATAAGCGGCGGGGCCCGGCTTGCAGGGCGAAGCGCACGACGTGGAAGCGCGTCGGCGAGTGTAGGCCAGAGGTCGCAAACGGGTTTTAATTCCTTACCCGTACCCGTACCCGGCCGCACCAGGGTCACAAACGGCTACCCGTACCCGGCCGGGTACGGGTAGCCGTTCCCTACCCGTACCCTACCCGAAATGAGTGACAAACGGCTACTCACCAGTGACTCACGGCCTACCCGTACCCGGCCGCACCAGGGTCGCAAACGGCTACCCGTACCCGTACCCGGCCGGGTATGGGTAGCCGGGTATCGGGTAGGGTACGGGTATCGGGTACCCGGTTGCGACCTCTGGCGTAAGCCGTGCCAGCCCCAGTTTGTCCACGCCACGTGTGATTGTGCTTCAGGTTCATTCTGTTTAGCCAGGCGGCAACTCGCGAGGTCGTGGCACACGGGTTCCTCCGAGTTCACAACTTTGTGCGTGAGCAGGATTGTTGGATCAGAGATAAATACCGCTCGACACGTATGGACAGTGTGTTTGCTTTTATAATAAGGTCTAAATGTAGGAGAGGGCTATTTGTTCAGTTACGTGATTAATGTGGTGCGCGCGTTCAAAAGGGCACAAGGGTAAGAGTGATTTATTGCGTCATGAAGGACACTCTTGTTTTTATGAATTTACGTGGTGAAATCGACGTGTGGATGGAGTTTGTGTTCAGCGATGATTCGCTCTTTACACATTTTGACAAAAATAAAAAGGTATTTTGGCGATAACATCTCGATTCTGGAATCGTTCTTATTGTTATTATTAAATCATTTATATTAAGTTCGCTTGCTTGCGTGCTTGCGTGCTTGCTTGCTTGCTTACGACCGTGCAAATCTTTCGGTCGTTTTTTTAACCCACTTCGCGTAATCCAATCGAGCTGACATTTTCCACACAGACTCGTTGTGCGTGACAATTAATGTTCGTGAATTTTTTTCTTCCAAAATTTTACACTTTTTAATTACCAATTGCTTAATGGTGCAATGCAATCATCTGACCCATAGGTGGCAGCCATCTCAAGCCAGAGGACGAGGGGACTCTAGCCGCCACGCATATAAAGGATTTACAGTGAAAAACTTTGTTTTTACGGGTTATACTTGTGTATTCATATATTTAATGGCTTGTGCAAAGAGCAGGAATTTGCATCACCATTGACTGGTCCTCAGTTACCAAACTCACGGGATAAATTATAACAATTATTCACGCATTCATTTCGTGTATATAAAACCAACTCGGATCAATGGTAACCGTTTGCGGGATGGGGCGTATGCCTCCCACACCTCATTGGTCATGGAGATTGTTTGACCATACTTCACCACACTGGCCGGTGTGTGTGTTTTGCTGACCTGAGGTCGGGTCACACAGCACTCGCTGTTGATGTTAGCTAAGGTTTATGGGTTCATTTTACAATGCGCCAATCATCGTGGCAATGTTAAGCTGTAATGGTTTTAGAACGGCAAATAACTTGCGCAAGATGTCCCAATTCAAAGCTCAAACATTTCTTCTTTGAATACTGCATCATTGAGACCTTAAACCAACAGCTTATGGCCAGTTATATCAATGGATGTTCTCGCTTGGCAATTTACACAACTTATCTCTCAACAGGCAGCAAAGAGGCTTAAAATTTGGGTTCTGTCGGAGTTCACTCGGAATTGCATTTGTCGATTATTTTGGGCTCGTCTTGCACAGTGATCATCGCGATGCAAACCCGGCGACCCCAGTTCGATTCCCCGTCAAGGCTTGCACAACAACAACAACTGTCATTCGCCATTAAGTGGCCGTGATGTCACCACGACGTTTGTGCCAGGCTAGGTGCACGTTGAGGCCACGTGAAGTGTCGAACGCCCGCTGGCAGGAGGTTACGGGGCAGATCTTGACACCGCTGGCGGGGGAGGCAGTGCCTCACCTGTTGTTCTCCAATGAAAATAGCTGTTACGAAAAGTAAAAAACTAAGAATAATCAAATAAAATAAATATAAAGTTTTCAAGCTAGATGTCATTTCTGTACGATTCCAATCATTTTTAAATCCTTTATATTAAGTTCGCTTGCGTGCTTGCTTGCTTGCTTAGGACCGTGCAAATCTTTCGGTCGTTTTTTAACCCACTTCCCGTGATCCAATCGAGCTGACATTTTCCACACAGACTCGTTGTGCCAGACAATTATTGTTCGTGAAAAAAAATTCCCAAAATGTTACACTTTTTAGGCAAAAAAAATTTATTTTACATATATTCAAATAGAACGCATTCATGGCTTTGGCTGAACGTCAGAGTGTAAGAGCCCAGAGCGTAACCCCTCCACAGGCCGTGGCGGAGTAGCGCAGTTGGTAGCGCCCTCGCTTCCCATGCCAAAGGTCGCGAGATCGATCCCCGCGTCCTCCACAGGCGAATATATTTTTAAATCCTTTATATTAAGTTCGCTTGCTTGCTTAGGACCGTGCAAATCTTTCGCTCGTTTTTTAACCCACTTCCCGTGATCCAATCGAGCTGACATTTTCCACACAGACTCGTTGTGTGTGACAATTAATTTTCGTGAAATTTTTTTTCCAAAATTTTACACTGTTTAGGGAAAACAAATTAAATATTTAATTACCAATTGCTTAATACTGGCAGACAATCATCTGACCCATAGATTGCAGCCATCTCAAGCCAGAGGACGAGAGAACTCTAGCCGCCACGCATATAAAGGATTTAGAGTGAAAAACTTTGTTTTTACGGGTTTACTTGTTATAGTCAAAATCGCCAAATTTGCGGAGCTCCGCTGCAAATACAGGAAGAGACGAGAGGTGAGGCAGCGACGAGCTCAGCCTCCCCTCTGATTGCGCAACCCCTCAGTAACTGGATGGAGCGCGGGCAATAAGCGCGTGCCTGTTACTATCTCAGTATATCACCAATGTAATGTTTGTAGACCCCTTCATTTCATGTCCTCGCCTTCCATACTCCAGGTAACTTATTTCACGTATGTGTATAAAGATATTTAGACTCGCTGGTCTCGTCATGGAACTGCCATGAAAAAGCACCAGGGGAGGCAGCGGTCACATCTGCCTCACTGAGGAGGACGTGTCTAACACGCCCCCTCAGTGAGGACACGCCCCCCTCAGTGTGTGAATCTGGCTCTGACACTAGCCAGTGCCTCCCCAGCCATTGACCTCAAAGCACGTCACTGGGCAGACCCAGGTGCCATGGGCCAACTGACTGATATGACTGGCTGATGCACCACCTGTGCCCCCTACTGTGCCAACATGCTATGATTTAGCCACCCGGCGCTCCGCTCGTTGTTGTGAGCGTCGCTCCTCCGCCCTCCGTTGTTGTTGGAGGGCGACTGCCTCCAACTGCCCAGTAGCGTCCTTCACGAGCCTCCTCCACAGAGGCCGATCTTGACACCGCTGGTACCAGTCATCGGCAAGTCCACTCAGCTCCACATCCTCCTGTACCACATCACTCCATCTTTTCTCTAGCCCGTGCCGCGCCCGTTTAGCTCCTTTGATCCGGCCAAACAAAAGCTGTTTAGGCATGCGGTGGCTGGGCATGCGGGCTACATGACCCAGCCAACGCAGCCTTGCCTGCCGGAGGAGCTCACCGATGGGGCTTTGTCCAGATCTTTCAAGGATTTGTGAGCTCCTCACACAATCCAGCCTGGTTAAACCCAGGATGGATCGTAGGCAGGCCAGCCTAAATGTTTCTAACCGGCGAAGATGTTCCATTAGGGGGGGTCCACGTTTCGCAAGGGGCCATCCATTTAGTAGGTACGCAAAAATCTGTCAAAACTTGACCCCTCCCTGTATGCACAGCGTACTTTTTACACCCCCCGAATCCTAAAGAACGGCTGATATTTAATCCACACAGAAACGATCAAGGATTAATAATATTAACGTGTAAGAATAGGTTTTTACCCTTTTCTAGCAAACAAAACGGAAACCTTTTGACAAGCAATGATGTCTGCATTAACCACAATACTTGTGGTCAGAATGCAAACAAAAAACATCCTCTGATAATATATGACTGAACCCAGTCGAACAGGTTACGTATTCTAGGAATTTCGTCAACGCGCAATGTCAGGCTGAAGCACAGCAGCGTCAGTTGCAGTCTGCTGGGCCACCGTTTAAATATCCACAGCGTCGCTGACGTGATCATCATCATCCAGCATTTGATAATTCTCACTGTCAGTTGACTCAGTAGTGTCAATGCGCTGGTGTCGTTTTACTCTTGAACCAGCGGCAGTCTGCAGTGAGGCCAAATTGAAAGATGTGTAATCCATGGGGCAGGCCACCACACTATGCCAGACTCACTGCTGAGCTGCGTGATAGCGAGCAGTCAGTGGCACACAGAGTGACACGTTTCCCACAGTCCCACTTCTCCCGGCAGTACTTGTTGTCTGGCAGCTGAAGAAACTGAACTGTGGCTCATTTGAAGGCCAATGTAGACAAATTATTATCGAGGCTTCACCCCCCCCCCTCCGTTTCCTATGCGTACATTGTCAGTAGACCCCCCATACGCAAGCGTACGCATTTGGGTTAACCTGCCTCCCCCCTCCATGCATAAATACCAAATGGATAGCCCCCAAGCGTAGAGAAGGGAGGGAATGACCGTGGCTGAGAAGACCTAAAGCTTTGTGCGGAGTGACAGACCAGGTAGCTTCCACACAGCATTACGCAACCGATGAAAAGATAATGCCACTCGACTGATTCAGAGTGAGACCTCTGCTGTTAAACCGGAGCCGGTCATGAGCACACTGCCCAGGTATGGGAAACTCTCCACTCTGTCCGCAACTACCCTATCACCATTTGGGAGTTGTGGGGGTGGAGTGTCCAATGGTACAAAATACCCAGACAGGTGCTTAGTTTTGGTGGGGCTGATGGTAAGGTCCCACCTCTTATTGGCAAGCTCCAAGTTCAGCAGCAGCGCCTCCAACTCCTCCTCTGAGTGAGGAGCAATTACCAGATCATCGGCATACATAACATGGTTGAGAAATAAGAAGCCATCCCTTGACCGCACCCGGGCATCGATCAGCCTCCCATTGTATCCGTACCAGATGGAAATTACTCCAGTACAGTTACTGAAGGCTTCGCGAACTACGTGGTCGAAATGGATGTTAAATAATGTGGGAGCCAGAGGACATCCCTGTCGCACCCCAAGGTGTACAGGGAATGGCTCCGACTCCCGGCCACGTAGTTTTACCCGGGAACTCTCACCATCATGAAGGTCCTTAATGATCATGAGCAGAGGGTCAGGGACTCCGAAAGCACAATGAACAACCCAGAGCCCATGCCTACTGATGGTATCATAGGCCTTGCCCAGGTCAATAAAGCAGAGATGTAGGTCTTGTTGGACTTCCCTACACTTGTGCTGTAGCAGACGGACAGAAAATATGGCATCTGTGCAAGACTGCCCTTTTCTGAAACCACATTGGGGCTCCGCAAGCCTCTCCTCAGCGTGCCTAGCAAGGCGATGTTGAATAATCCTTGCCAGGACCTTTCCCAGCACACTGAGGAGTGGGATGCCCCTGTAGTTGTTAAAGTCTGTGCGGTCCCCCTTCTAAAGAGGGGGGCCACCAGGGAATCCTTCCAATCCTGCGGAACCCGTACAATGGTCCAGACTTATTATGATGTCATGTAGGGCAGTCTGTCCACAAACGCTACCCTCCCTCAGCATTTCGCTTGGGAGATCATCTCTGCCTGGTGCCTTTCCTGGTCGCAGACTCCGGATCGCCTTCAGTACTTCCTCAACAGATAGCACCTCAACCAGCCACTCACAGGGGGTGACTTCTTCTTCCCATATTTGAGGCACCGCAGCCTCAGCAGGGTCATCCCCACTTTGTACCATGTTGTTTTCCAGGCTGAGGGATTTCCCCTCCCCCAGGACCTCACAAAAATGCTCAGCAAATCTGCAAACCTATTCCTGGGGGTCGGAGATTGGATCACCGTTCTTTCCCCTAATGATGCTAATAGGTGTGGCGCTGCAGGTTACTTTTTTGATGGAGTTAAAGAGCGATTTGTGATCGCGGGCCATTGAGGCAGACTCCATCTCCTCAGCAACCCGCGATCATCACCCATCCTTGCAGTGGCTCACGGCTCTCCGAACCTCCGAGCGAAGGCTGCTGTAATCCTCCTCTTTCTCCGACGTGGGATGCTGTAGCCAGTGAGAGTGGGCCTGTCGCTTTTTCGCAGGCAGCCTGAACACCTCCTCTGTCAGCCAGGGTCTCTGGGGAGGTCTGGACCATGTACCCAAAGCAGCCATTGCAGCTGCATGAGCCACAGTCCTAAACCTCGCCCATTACCCCTCGACATCAGGAGTGGGGGACAACACCAACCCCAGCCGCAAGCGATGATGAAATTCTCACTTGCAACTTTCATCAGCTAGCTGAGACCATGCCACTATAGGTTTGAATGGGGTCCTGGATGTACACTCACCATCGAAGGGTAAGAATGGCAGGCGCATCTTACAGATGACTAGTCGATGGTCAGAGGGCAGATCAGCTCCACGGTAGGTCCTGGTGTCAAGTACATGTGCCAGCATCCGCTGTTCCGTCACTATGTAGTCCAGCAGATGTTCTTGCTTGGACCCAGCATGCATCCATGATGTTGTGTGGATGCGCCGATGCCGGAACAGAATGTTGGTAATTACAAGCCCATGGGGTGCACAAAAATCTAGCAGCCTCCTGCCGTTGTTATTGAGCTGACCTGGCCCATGCCTTCTAATCACTCCAGACCAGGTGCCAGGATCACGACCAACTCGGGCATTGAAGTCACCCAACAAGATGACTCTATCCCGAGGGGCCACTTTAGCTAGCACCTGTGACAGGAGGTCATAGCAGGCATCTGATTCATCGGCCTTGCCTGCATTCATCCATGGATGTTCGTCTTCGGTGGGGGCATAAGTAACCACAATCACCACTCCTCGTCTCTGGTTGATGGGAAGGTGAGCCCAAAGTAGCCTGGGACTTACAGCTTCCCACACCTCACCGCCACGCTCCCACACCCCCTTCATTCTTTTGTTCAGAGGAAAAACCACTCCCTGTTGTTTGGCAGTCTCCTGCCCCGAGTAGAGCACTGTCCACCCCTCATGGTGGCAGGAGCCAGAGCCGGTCCACCGGACCTCCTGAATACCACAGAGATCCAGGCGGTACTGGTCCAGCTCCCGACAGAGGAGTGGCAGCCTCTCTTCCACAGTGAGCATTCGAACATTCCACGTGGCCACATGTAGTGTTTTTTGTTGTTTCTGGAGGAGCCCCGAGGGTAAGGATTCAGTCTCCTGGCTCCGCCAAATTGGGTTTGGCCAGGAGACGTCATAGACGCTTGTCCCGCAGGGCCTCTGGCACAAGCTTATTAATAAAAAAAATTAAACGTGGTTTGGTGGTAATTAATTGAAGGTGGAGGGGTTACCCAGCCCCTCGCACGGGTCCAGAGCCCCCATTTGACCGCTGTGGTGGTTACAAACGCCATGAGTGGAATGGCCCATCTAAACTGGCTCATCCCCCACGGCACTGCCCACCACAGCGTCGCCGTCCGATACCAACGGGGAGGTCGGGTGTTGTTTTTGCCGGACTTACACTCACACCGAGACTCACACACATCTCTATATTACCATACAGAATTCATACACTCACACCGAGACCCATAAACTCACACACATCTATAGATTATCATACGGAACCATACACTGAGACGCATAGACTCACACACATCTATAGATTATCTTACAGAACCGTACACTGGCACCGAGACCCATAGACTCACACACATTTATCGATTATCATACAGAACCGTACACTGAGACCCATAGACTCACACACAACTATAGATTATCATACAGAACCGTACACTGGCACTGAGACCCATAGATTCACAACACATCTATATAATTTCATACAGAACAAAACACTGAGACCCATAGACTCACACACATCTATCGATTATCATACAGACCCGTACACTCGCACTGAGACCCATAGACTCACACACATCTATAGATTATCATAGAGAACCCGTACATTTTTCGATTTAAAGCTTTCGTGACTGCAGGGATTAATCTTCTTGGTTCTTTCGGTAAAGTCACGTAGAAGGGAAGTAATAAAATAATAAAAATAAAACATAATAAAAATAAAACATAATTATTATGTTTTATTTTTATTATTTTATTACTTCCCTTCTACGTGACTTTACCGAAAGAACCAAGAAGAAGAACCCGTACACTGGCACTGAGACCTATAGACTCACACAGGAGCTATATGAAGTCGCCAAAATCACAACATCAGCCCTGCTGGACAACTGATTCCCACAGTCTAAATAAATGATTCTGATTCTGCAGACGACAATGCACGAGCGTGGATTTGTGGCATGCGCCAATGGGGTGCGGGCTCCCTCTACAGAACATCAGCGCCGGTGCAGCTACCACGACAACTTGCCACGTGTCCACACCCACCACAACCTGCCACGTTACCACACCCACCACCACCACAACCTGCCACGTGACCACACCCACCACCACCACAACCTGCCACGTGACCACACCCACCACCACCACAACCTGCCACGTGTCCACACCCACCACCACCACAACCTGCCACGTGACCACACCCACCACCACCACAACCTGCCACGTGTCCACACCCACCACCACCACAACCTGCCACGTGACCACACCCAGCACCACCACAACCTGCCACGTGACCACACCCACCACCACCACAACCTGTCACGTGACCACACCCACCACCACAACCTGCCACGTGACCACACCCACCACCACCACAACCTGTCACGTGACCACACCCACCACCACCACAACCTGCCACGTGACCACACCCACCAGCACCACCACAACCTGCCACGTGACCACACCCACCAGCACCACCACAACCTGCCACGTGACCACACCCACCACCACAACCTGCCACGTGACCACACCCACCACCACCACAACCTGCCACGTGGACAGCCCTTGGTGCAGATCCACTGCTGGATGAGAGGCCTCCGCATGACCGAAATGTTGTGGGCAGCAGAGGTACACCCCGTGGCACGGCTGCACTCCGCTGCCTTGTCAATGCATTGCCCACCCTTCACCAGCCCGCAATGACCAGCGCAGTGACGTGTATGGTCAAGCCCCCCCTGAGACCTAAGGCAAATAATTAATTGGGGGATACTGTGGATATCGACAGCGAAGATATCTGTGCACTCGAGATATTCATTGAAATGTGTTGATAGTTTAAGCAATGAATAATATTCTCGCGTAATCGTTTGTTATTGCAATGGTTGTTCTATCGTATTTTGCCAATAATAAAAGCAATAATGCAATAGAAAAGCATCATTAAAATGAGCAATATTCATATTGTATGAATAACAAGTGATTTATAATACAGTACTTTACAAACATTAAATGTACGGTATATATGAACTACAGTACTATATACTGTTATTAGAAGCGACTTTGTTGAGCTATCATTTGTGGCCAGGTCGCCTTTGAACACCAATAAGATCATACCTAAGTGGGCTTTACATTTCGATTTAAAGCTTTCGTGACTGCAGGGATTCATACTGGTAGGAACCACCTGGTTCCACCAGCCCACAAGGGATTATTGTGTCCGTCCGTCCGTCGTGAATCCAAAAATGGGAGGGGTCGGGCTGGGTGGAGAGGGTGGGGAAGGTGGGGAGGGGCTGGGTGGGGGGTGGGAGGGGTGGGGCTGGGTGGGGAGGGGCTGGTCACCCCGTGGTGCCCTTATAAAACTCAACGTTTGACCTACTCACGCCGGCTTGTACCCGCCCTCACAGTCGGCCATATTTGCGGAATACACCACGCCGCCGTTGACCCTGGCCATTGACCGAGCAACCCAACGTTCCTACCAGCTCCCTCCGCAGGAATGTGTTATTCTTGGTTCTTTCGGTAAAGTCAAGTAGAAGGGAAATAATAAAAGAATAAAAATAAAACAATACAATTCTCACGTTTCGATTGCAACACAAGCAATCATCATCAAATTGCAATCGAAACGTCGTGAGAATTTAATAGTTTTATTTTTATTATTTTATTATTTCCCTTCTACGTGATGACTTTACCGAAAGAACCAAAAATATGAATCGCTGCAGTCACGAAAGCTTTAAATCAAAATTTATTTAATAGGTTTATATTTTTATTATTTTCGAAATTTATTCTTGCTATTATGAACATAGCTCCTCCCCCCCCACCTGGGGTCACGTGATCAAACCAGTAAGCCGGCCTCCCATTGGCCGCTACGGATTTTAAACTGACCAATGGGGGAGCTGCGCCTTTCCAACGCCCGTTGCCGTTGGCGCCATTTTTTCAGCTCGGTCGGCGTTCTCCTCATGAGGGCCTCGACCGACAAAGTTTATCAAAATTACAAAATTAATCGCTTAAACTTCTGTGCTCGGATTTTATGAAGGAAAGGGAGCCTCGCCGGAACGTCGCTCCTGTGCCGGCTTTGCCTAGACGACAATGGTGAGTGAGCGAGCGAGTCGCGGGGTGGTGAGTGTGAGCGATGTTACCCCCGCGAGCTTAATCCGTGTTCGTTGTTTAAAAGTCTTAACACATTCTACAAAAAAATACTTTCGTGCGCGACTCGCTAACGCACACTGTGCACACTCGATAACGCTATCAACCTTTTGGAGCTTACCGCTGTTGCACTAAGAAGTCTCACGGTTCTGCGTGTACCAAAAAATACATCGGCCACTCATCGCAGTGACCTCAAGGTGCACCTAGCCTGGCACGAGCGTCGTGGTGGCGTCACCGCCACTTAGTGGCGAGTTGTTGTTGCGCTAGTTCCACAGCCAACATCGGTGGGGTTCTCGCTCTCCCCGCCTTCACTAATCCAGCAGTGGATTGAGCACGGGTTGATGATTATAATGGTCATAGACGCTGTGGCCGTGACCCTGCCATAGCAATGTGGAATGTCCGCCGCTGCTTCGGGGATTGGTCCAAATTTGCTACGTTTCACAAGGGGATCGTAATAGCGGTAACCTGTATAGAGTCCCCGAGTTACGACATCAATCCCCGAGTTACCGAAGGCAGTCCCCGAGTTACGCTGATAGTCCCCGAGTTACGCGGTTAGTCCCCGAGTTACGGTAACAGTCCGCTAGTTACGCCGTTAGTCCCCGAGTTACGCTGGTAATCCCCGAGTTACGCTGGTAGTCCCCGAGTTACGCTGGTAGTCCCCGAGTTACGCTGGTAATCCCCGAGTTACGATGGCCCTACTTACGATATTTAGATCTTACGATGGCGATAGCGATACGACAAAATTGCCATCAACAACCTAACATCGTTCAAATATGCAGACGACGGACATATTCTTGTTGAGCACAGTACAATATGATATGATACGATACGTTCAATGCATGTTAAAAGTTTTTTTTATAGCAGATAGGATTGTTTCCTGAAAAAACTTTTTTTTATTAAATTGCAGTTCATATAGGTAGGCTAAGAATTTACCTTGTTTTTTTACTTAACATTTTACTGTGCAATACAGTATTGTAATTAATAAATATATACAGTATATAGTTTATACAGTACGGTGCTGTAAATTGCTCTGTTTTGCTAAATTATCACCATTCTTTAAGACTCCTGGAGGGTAGGCGATCTTCGACTTACGATGGGGTCGTCGTAACGCATCTCCATCGTAAGACGAGGACTACCTGTATATTGTACACAACAGACATCGGTCCCCACTTCAAAAACTTGGCAGGACCCTCTAACCTAAAGAGTCACGAGCCTCAGTTAACATTTCCTGGGTAAAAAGTGCAAATATAATATAAAGATTGCAAATATGAATTTGCTTTCCAGCACACCAGTGTGCTGTACCAGTAACACATTGGCATGTTCTGTTTACGTAACAAACCTTACTAATTGGCCGTGTCGGGTGGTGGGAGGTTTAACGACACATGGACGCGTTCTAACCCAAAACACATACATTATGTATAATATAAGATGGTGGCAATGTATGCTGAATTATAATGTTCACTGTTTTGGTTCAATGGGGACAATCTGGTTCCGTATTATGATTGTCCTGTCCCACTCGTCTGGCTTGGGATTTTAAAGAGGGCTAACACCGGTCACACCATTGAATGCAAGATTCAAAATATTCACCACAGGTGGACTTCGGCATTCAGGAACCGTAGGGGGAGGGATGTTGTTATCCAGCAGTGAATAGGCCATGGTTACTGATGATTAGAGAGGTAAATGACATAAACACTAAAATAGCAGATAGGCATTGTTTTGCAATGTATCATTTACCATTTCTGTTTGGTCGTAAATTACGTACGCGACGAATATAAATGTGTGTAATGTCACGTACAACGATTATAGTAGAACTCCAATTAATCCACGTTGATGTGGGTGGGAGCATATCGTGGATCGGATCCTGTAATCCACGACGCACCGCTAGGGGTTGGATAGAATAAAACGGTGAAAGATGTGCATTAATAGCCGAAAACAAAAAATACAGGGAAATATACGGATTACAGAGCGTGACACGAGACTTAATTCCACGGAGGTGGACACCCGCGCAATGAATGAGGCTGTCCACATAATCGGACGCAAATTTCCGCACTTCTCCCTGAGAAGAGGAGACAATTGGAGCTGCCGCAGAAGCATGGAAATTGGCGCCCACATCCCAGATGGAGCGAGGGTGAAGATGTAATACATAGCAATGGCAAAAGCGCACCGTCAATGCCTGCAAAGTAAAATGAAATGTTACCTCCGCGTTTCACTGCAGCGCTGCGTTAGCCCCACATCTACGGTTTCCAGGTCATGAGCGTTTTAAATCCACCGCGGATTACCGGAGCAGTCGGACTTCTGTTCTTATTTTAGTCGCTTGTGCATTTGACATTCATTTCCAGAGTCGTCCACAAAGTATGCAGAGGAGCCTATGCCCGGACATTCGTTTTGGAAGGTGAGTGGACATGGAGTGGAAGGGATTTTCGGCTCGAATGAACATTGAGGTTGTGTGCGTACCTCCAGTTTACAGCCCTATCGAGCCAGTGCAAAGTCCAGATGAATCCATCCATAGGGTAACCACTTTTGAATTGGCCACAAACCAATGCGTATAATATCGACCCCAGAGGGATGATGGGTTGATTCAACCTCCCCAACCTGCCCGGACATCCTGTCTGAATTGTTGTTGTAGCTCTATTCACATTTGAAATTGTGTTTGTCTCCAACTTGTATTCCAATTGTGCTGTCAGTATCAGTTCATGATACGGATGATTTTTACTTCCAATTTACAGTGAGAAGAGCAGAAAATTACGTTACAAAACTTAAGAGAGGCACGGCTCAAATGTACTTTCATTTGTTGAATTTCGGAAAAAGAATCTTTTATTATGTTTTTTTTATGTTAGCATTGGAATGTATCCAAATGAAGTGAAATGAAGACAATGTGATGTTTTTTTGTGCATAACGAGCTGACACCATCCACATGAACCTGGTTTAATTTTGGGCAACTGCAACTCAGATTTGAGGCCAGAATCTCAGTGTGGTATTTAACCCCCTTGTGTTTCATCACATTTTTAACACCTTGTGTCCCTTCTAAAAAATTTCCACAGGCGGACAGGGAGACAACTTAATATAAATGTTTGGGATGGTGCTGCAAACATCAACGACTACTTTGCTGATTTACGTGAGTCAACGTTTACTAATAATTGTTATAAATTTGTAAGCATTGCTATCCTGACTTTGTAATAAGCTCGTTTGTGTTATTGTTGTTTTTGTTCAGTGGCTTCTACAATATTTGTAACATCCTGTTATTCTGTGTAAAGAACAATGAACATACGCCGTTTGCCTGGTCTGACGTCGTAAGTAAAGCTTGCGTGTATTATATGTATGTTGAACTTCTGTCGCACCATACATAGCAAGCCGCGGTAATCGGAGATGCCGGCTACAGGGGTGCATTTCTGATGCTGCCACGTTTTTGCTCACAACCTCTTGTTGCCTTTGCAGCTGAGGACAGCGGTGACGAGATTTCCTTCATCCCAGAAATCGGGTCCGAAAACAGGAGCAATGTTCACAAAAGCCCGGCTCCGCATGGCGACTTGCGCAAAAGCCTACACCGATATGACCCACGAAGAAGCCACGTGGCGGTTGACGTGCACAGAAGCCAAGCGCCGGCTGATGCTTGCGAAAGTCAGATGCTAGCTAACGCACGTAGAAGTCTGGGACTGGCTGACTCTGTGAAAAGGCCGTCAACGAACAATGTTCATAGGACCTTTGTTCAAAGAGAGGAATCCTTTGGCCAGTCACTGAAGCAGGTAATGCTTTGTTCTTTATTTCAATTTCCCGTTTGTTACGATTGAAACTTTTGAAGCGTACTGCCGTAGTTCGATAACAGCGTTGCTTCTTTACAGCAGAAGGAGGAACATTTGAAGGAGCAGGCTTTTGTGGACCGGCTGAAATTGGACGAAATAGAGACTTTGGATGAAGGTAAGCTCAAGGAGTGTATAGGGTTGTCTGACTGGAGAACATTAGTTTTGTACTTTTTAAACTGCCTGATAACCATGTTTGTGGGTACTTAAAACTATGCCAGCCAGAAATTCAGGCATGAAGCCAGCTAGCAATTTAAAAAAAATATATAATATTGTACGATGATATGATATCCATCAATCAAAGGGCCTTTTGGATGAACGTAATTTGCTTAGCTCATCAATTGCTGAACTATTTCCATCTTTTCATGTGCTAGGATTGCATGATGTGTATTGTGCTGAATGTTCCGCAGTTTATGGAGGGATTTTGCCAATAAATGACTTAGAAGTTTAAACACGTCATACAATCCTAGCGCATGAAAAAATGGAAATAGTTAAAAAGTTGATGAGTCAAGCAAGAGACGTTGATCCAAAAGGCCCTTTGATTGATGGATATCAAAATAATCGTACATTATTCTTTTTTTCAATTGCTTGTTGGCATCATGCCTGGATTCCTGTCTGGCTGGGTGGAACCCACAGCGATGAGCCGAGTTTGTGCGTCGCGATGACAATATGCCCACCCTCCACCCCGGCCATACTACATATTATTAGACCAGGGGTCGGCAACCAAAATAACAAGAAGAGCCATTTCTTTCCAATTCGGTACAAAATTCAGTATTTCAAGAGCCGCAATGCATCTGAGTACATACTGTACATACGTACATATCGTCAAGAAGCAGCCCGTAAAGAGCCGCATGCGGCTCCGGAGCCGTAGGTTGCCGACCCCTGTATTAGACAAACGTTTAGCTGGAGGAAGGGACAGACGGTCACGTGCAAAGGAAGAAATTGAAAATTGCGTAGGATTTTTGTGATTGAGCTGTGTACAGCTCTGCATTGTGTCTTGAGGTTTTTACCGGTGTGTTTGACACGATGTCCAATGTTTTGCTGCTGGGAGCTTATTTATAAAGAGTTGTGCACGTGGTACAACCTGAACACACATCACAACTATGAAAACGGACCCTTTGTTTAGATGTTATTTTACGCATTCTGTGGTAATCATTTGTGAATTGTATTGAAGGTTATGCTGCTCTTAATCAGTGCTGATTTGCGTTTTATCTTGGTGATGACGTAGAACATGATGCAGTTCCAACCAGGCACAGCGCTGTTCCGGACAAGATTGTTTCCACCTGCAAGTTGTTGTCAAAGGTTTTGAATAAGGTCACTCCCCGTGTCACCAACGAGCTGGACAGAGGACAGAATCCCACTGGTTCGGTGTCACGAGTCTATCAAATGCCGAGTCCCCGCTCCGTGCTCAAGGGCGTTGTTTCCAAAAAGAGGCAAGCAACTCCTTTCATCTTTTAAAATATATTTTTTGTTGTGGAAAGCACAGAACTTTTAAGCCTGAATCTGTAAATATGCTATTTGATGCGTTCATTGTGACTGCAGTCAGTAACACCTGAGGAGACGCTGCTTTAGCCACGTCACCTATATGCGTTTCTACTTGTTTAGTGTGCATGACGTCAATGACACTGCTCTGTTACTGCAGTGGAAACAAAGGACAACCTGGTGCCTCCTGAGGCCTCTCCAGGTTGGCTTGGCATGGCCTCTGCACGGCTCGGGTTGCACAGTGGAAAATAGGTGTTTGTAGTTTATGGATCTGTATGAATGACTGCAGGATTGTATTGTCCCCAGGTTGATGTTCGACGATGTTGAAGGCTCGGAAAAACTCTCTGTGGCAGCTCCACCTCATGGTGTAAACCCTCCGAAAACAACACCATTGAAGGCCACAGTCTCAAGGTACTGCATGATGCCATCTGTGTGGACCTTTTGTTATCCCCTCATGCTTGGGTTTTCTTTTAAGTATTTCAGTTTTCTCCCACACACACAACAGTGCTTTGTAATGGAATTAGCAATATATATCAATGTCACACCCTCCTGAAAAAGTGAGATACAGCAAGACTTTGCTGGATTAATTCATTATAAAAAATGTATTCGAGGAATCCCCATGTTGATCTCGGCATTGTTTCTCAACAGTTGCTTATTCTATTTGTGAATTAACCCAATGCTGATAAGTCGGTAAAGAAGGCAGAGAAAAAAAACATGATTTTGCCCTCTTGGCAAAAGGCAAAGCTTTCAATGAACAAATGTGTCAATCGGATTGCATGTATTTGATGTACAATGACTTAAGGTTCGTCTCCTTCCATTGTCTGCTCGGGGCGAGCAGCGTGGCGCCAAGGCCAAACCTCTCTACGAGCAAGTACCTTGCCATTCTTGAGGCGGACGATGAGTTCTGCGACGACTTTGAGGTCATGGATGATGACATGAGCTCAGAAGGGTGGCTCTCCCTGCCGCGCTCCAAGAGCAAGAATAATGCCAAGGAGGTCTGGCCTGCCAAGCAAAACAATGTCCGAAACCGAGAGGTAACGAGAAACAAAAGTGTGAACGCGGACACGCGTGCTGCTGCTACTGGCCCATCGGCCCTTGCTGTTACCGCCACAGGCTCGCAGGCGAATGCAAGGATTGCCACACCCAGCGGCGAAGGTAAGAAGGCATACAAGAAAGACTCCGTAGCTCCTGCCTCGAATGTTACGACAAAATCGTTATCCAAATCGCAGGCTGTGGAAGTGGAGGAAACCGAGTCTACTCGTCACCTCGGGAGCAGCAGGTTGGTGAAATCGAGGCCGAGCACTTTTCAGCCGCCACAGATAGCGAGCGTGGCTGATAAGACCACAGAACGTGCGTCAAGTTCCTTAAAGGTGCAGCGCACTAGCGCCTCTTACCATGCAGCGGATAAAAGCAACCCAAAGAGCACGAACAAGAGGCGAGCAGACTTTGAGGACGATGAAAAGTCCGGAGAGGAGGAGTTGCAGGAAGAGGAGCAGGAGAGCGACAGTGCCGAGTCATCGTCACTGTCCGAGGTAAAGGGCGGTCGCCCAGTCCAAGCCAGCCGACGTTTTGTGGAAGACGATGAATCCACGGATTCTCAGGCGGAAGGTGAGCACGTGGATTTGTGTTTTGGGTAATGGGTACAGTAAACTCCTCAATAATCCAGCCTGATGTGTAAATGAGACTATAAAACCGTATGTTTGCTGGGGTGGTGGCATGGCACTGAAGTAATGCGCTTGCTGCTTATTGCAGAGATTGGGGCGTTTCCAGCCCGGCAACCACCCTCGTTTTTACTGCGGGTGTATTCATCGCAAAATATTAAGTGCCGCCTGCTTCACAGTTGATGTTAATGATCTCCTCCACCCTCCCTAGCTTTGCCCCCCCCCCCCTCATCTATATAATCCCTTGTTACCAGCAGCTCTTATGCCTATTTCAGCAACTGCTTTTTGCTGTGGTTATTCCACCTGATGATGGACGCTTGTGTTGTGTCTGAAACGTCTTGATTTAATTTATTTTATTTTCTTTACCTACGTGACTTTACCGAAAGAAACAAAGAGTAGACTATTGCCTAGTTGCTGGTTCGGTGCTGCATCACCTTGTACTCACGGGAACAGCTGCTACAAGGGGGGTACCTTTTCAAATGTTTGACATCCGATCTGATGGAAGTTGCTTATCGCGTGTAAAAGTGCTATGTGGCGCCGTGGTGAAAAGGCCGCTTTAAAAAATTATTAGTTTGCCTATGTAGAACGTGCAACGTCTGTGAGTCTCCGAGATATGGGATACATTCTTGACAATATGGATTTGGTCGGATTAGCATTTCCTTACACAGAATCAGTTTGTTACCTGGCAACTCAAACAAAAAACCCTGAAATTTTCCATATATATTAATCTTGTTGGGTCAATTACTTGTAATGTTTTTGCTTTAGATGACCGTGGGGGCAACATCACCGGCAAGACATTGCCTTCAAAGAATAAAATTTATCAGAAGGAAGCGATGAGACCGACACAGGCTATATCAAAACCAAAGCAGAAACAATCCAAGACGACGCTCGGCCGTCGCGTATCCAAGCCACCAGGTAATTGGTGGATTGTGACGGATATCGACCCCTCCACCGTTCCCAATTATGATCGCAGTGGCAGGCAGGCGGCGGTCTCCACCCCCCAGCAGCCTCCGTCCCACTCGCAAAAGAAATCTACGTCGTCCTGCCCACCGCATTCACCGCCATCGCCCTCTCCATCATCACGGTCTGCATCACCGTCCCCTCCGGAAAAAGTTGCCAAGTCTGAGAAACCGAATCACTCGGCCAAGAAGCAGAAGAGGGAAAGCCGTGGCCGAGAGGAGGCCCCGATCCCAGTTTACACGCCAAAGTCCATTCTCAAGCAGGGCAACCATCACGTGCGAAAGAGACAGCGGGAAACGGTGAACTTTGTCTCGAGCCAGAAGAAGTGGGACGAGCACATGCAAGGAAACCAGGAGATGGGTGGCAATGAGGGGGGCAGCACATTGACCTCGCAGTCGCCGACGCCACCCCCTCGCAAGTCCACCTTTGGCACAAGGCTGCCCATGCTCGCCCAGAAAGGCCATCGCTCAGCCTTCTCCACCTTCAGTGAAGTCTACATGGATACCCCAAACTCGGCGTCAAAGAAGGACCGCTCGCAGCAGCAGCAGCAAAGCCGGTGAGGTTTAGCATGGATGGTCACGTTGGAGGATATAAGATAACAAACAAGGGTCTATGTGTGCTCTATAGTATAGCTCATGTGTTTTGGGTTGTACCATGTCTTGTTTGGCTGGAAGCCTCGGCTTCAAACGTGGAGCAAAACGTCAGACATCATACCGAACAATACGCGGTACAACCCAAAAACAAATAAACAAGGGTCTAATTTGTGCAAAAGTAATATTTTATTCATAATCAACGTTTTTGGGTTTAGATCGCGTTTATTTATAAATGTGTCGTAACCCTCCACCACCCGACACGGCCAATCAGTAATAATGTGTCACGTTGACAAAGACAAATAGTTCACTGCTTTAGCCCACCGGTGTGTTGAAGCCACTCAAATTGTATATGTTGTGGCTTCAACACACTGGTGGGCTAAAGCAGTGAACTATTTGTCTTTGTCAACGTGACACATTTTTACTGATTGGCCGTGTCGGGTGGTGGAGGGTTACGACACATAAATAAACGCGATCTAAACCCAAAAACGTTGATTATGAGTAATATTTTAGTCCATATCAATCTTTTAAAAGGAATATTGTTTGTAAATAAAAACAATTTGAGGAACAGAAAAACAATGTAATAATCTGTGCTTGCTTATGGCAGCTAGAAGTTACGGGAATTAACAACACGTGCAACAAGAGATATGCAAAACATCAACAGGGGCGTTGATGGGGACGGGAGTCGGGGAAGAATAAGTGACAATCAGCAACACTTATCACATAGCCAATACATGTCATTAAATCCAAGGAAGGAGCAACAATATAACAGTGGAGCATTACCTACCTGCAGTCGTACAACTCTACTTCAGCGTAAATTCGTAGAAAAGGTTAGAGGTTCTGCTGAATAATAAAATGTGTGATTTACATCTTAATGGACTCACACACATGTTTTGTGAGTAGCCGCCACGTTGGACTTGTTCAGTAATAAATGAACCGATCTGCCTAACGAGTTTTGTCTCCATTTGCGTGTGGGTAGGGTCTTAACGCCATGCTCCAGGCTCAAGCTTCCCTCCGGCGTGAGCGTGCCGGGCTCGGCACGCCAAAAGAGCTCTCTCCAGCACACGCCCGCAAGCCACAGCAAGTGGCAGCAACAGTCTGAGCCGATGGTGACGGACACGGATTCGTCCCTGCAGCAAAGGTGTGCGGAGCCAGATCATCTACCTGCTCACTAAGAGGCTCTCTTAAGTCTTGCGTCCGAATTGGCGGCTCATGTTCATTGGTGAGGTTAAAGAGTATTTTCTTGCTCAAATGCGCATTCGGTCAGTACGCATATCCTATTTTGCAGCCTTGTAGAACCAGGGGTGGAAATACCAAATATTGGTGGGGGAGCCAGTCTCTCAATGGGGCAACCACTGATTCACTTATCCACAAAGTGGTCCCTAATTTATTGACCCTGGTGGGCTGATGGGCTAACTCGGACCTCCAGCCAGGATTTGAACTCTCAGTCGCTCGCCCTGCCTCTGAGCCGCCTGGCTAGACATAGGATAGTAGTGTTTCATTTGTAAACTTTTTTTTTTTACAAGGTTGCTCGGCAAATGCCCAACCTTTAAAAATATCAAGAGGCCAGCCGAAAACGGAATTAGTTGTTGCATGGTCGCAATAAAAAAAGTGTCCCATTTCTATTCAAGTTGTGTTATAAGCATTATTCCCTAATATTAAGATATTTATTTTAAGTTGATATTGATGATTAAGGAGATACTTGTGACGCTGACACTATTAGTAATGATTTTCGTGATGATGATGATGAGATCATGACCTGTCCTTGATAGGATCTCCTTATTCCTCTGCTTTGGTGACTTTAGGTTAGGTTTTAGTAATTGCTTTTAGGCATGTCACTATGCAATCTCACCATCCCCTCCTTCCTCCACAAGTTGATGGATTTTTTTTAATTGACTCGCGATTACACTCAAAATAGTTTTTTTCTCTTTTTCATTGTCTCTGTAATTTGTCCTTCCTCGTTTAAGTAGCCCAGCGGAAACATTTAAAAATGAATTAACTAACATACCTTAGTAATGGTTAGTGCATTTGTAATAAAGGACTCCTTCACAAGATGTCGCTTTCCGTTGGTCCTTTATTGGGTTCTTTCCTCGCACCCGCTGGTCCTCGCTCCGACCCTCGCCGTGCGCCCCGCGCACGCTCCGTGTGGCTCTCGCCACGCCGTCTCCTCCGGCCCCTCCGTGTGCTCTCTCCTCACCCGCCCGGGCCACGCTGCTAGCTCTCTCTATCTCCGTGCGGTCCCGCACGCTCCGCTGCCTGCGCCTGCTGGACCCCAGTGCGCCTATCAGCCCCGACCACGTGGCAATGGCGCCACTTCTCCCTCCACCGCCAGCGTGGCTCCCTCCGTCGTTCACTCTCTTCTCTTCCCCTCGCTCCTCCTCTGTCTCTCTCCTTATATGCCCCTCTCTCACTTGACCCAAACTCCACCTTCTCTTACTGCCCCTGTCTCCGCCCCCACTCACCCTGACGACCAGGCTCCGCCTCTCCAATACACCGGCCCGTGTGAGTGGTGCGGAGGCAGCGCCCACCCTGTCCTTGCTCGCATTACACATTTTACGAATGTGGGGGAAAGGTTAGAAATCGGTGCAAATTATTTAAAACTACAAAAAAAAACTAAGCAAAATGTAAGGAGGCAGAGATACAAAACTGAAGAGTCGTAAAAAATATTGTGTTAACCGGAAATAAAATGTACAGCTCAATGGTCGTATTGTGGGATTAAGACACTGATTTAATACTTTGTTTGTTGTGTTTTGTATCTAGCAGAAATGATTCTGCTGAAGGACACCTCTCCCAAAACAAGCTACCCCAGAGTTCCGTCCAGGAATCTGTGAAAAAGGCACTGCATCGACAACGGACAAGCGGAGTATTGTTTAAGGACAGGCCTGAGGCCACACAGGGTGGCAGCAAGGGAAGGAAAACTCAAAGGCCATCGCCTTCGCCTGAGGTCTACGGTGAATCCTACGACAATAGCGCTGATAACGATGATGATCCCGATTATCAAGAGCCTAACACCGTCACGACCGACAGCACAGTGGGAACCACACTGTCTGAGAACGCATCAATAGAGGAGCCGTAAGTGGTCTACAATGTTTTTGTGTTGTTAAAAAAAGTAAATGTTCTGCCTCCCCAATCAAATTGAAGATTCACTTATTTTTCAATGTTACGTTTCCCCCCCCCCCCACTGTTATCCTGATTTACATTATCAATGTCATGAGATGGAGCATCCATACTCTTAGGTTTTTTCGTGAAAAGTCACGTAGGTAAAAATAAAAATAAAAGAATAGAAATAAAATTATAAATCACAAAAATATAGAACGCTTCACGAATTTGGATGACACGCAAATTCGTGAAGCGTTTTATATTTTTGTGATCTATAATTTTATTTCTATAATTTTACTTTTATTATTTAATTTTACCTACGTGACTTTACCGAAAAAAACCTAAGAGTATGAATCCTTGCAGTCACGAAAGCTTCAAATCTAGAACGGAGCATCCATTCGGACCTCTCGCAGCACTGCAACCCTTTCTCTTAGAGAACGGCCCACAGAAACAGATCCCGTAACAACCTGGGGAGATCCCTTCAATTGAAGTCTGTTCCACACATTGAAAGGAGCAGCACTTTCGCATCTGCTCTCATCACTGGTTGCTGAACCGAGAGCATCAACTCACAGGTGTCTGGATTTGTCTCTGCACTGCCTGACCACCTCAAGATCGATAATTATTCTGAGTGTTTTGTGACCATTAGCTTTTACCGTAAATTAGCAATAGTCAAGTTCATAGGGTCGGGTCTTTTGCACTCTTGTGTACAAACTTACAACTTGACTTAAAGCTTTCGCGACTGCAGGAATTCTTATTCTTTGGGTCTTTGGGTAAAGTCACGTAGATGGTTCTAAGAAAATAACAAGAAACCAAGACGTTTCGATCACAACACAAGCGATGGTCATCGGGAGGAAAGAGGATGGCGATCGCTTGTGTTGTGATCGAAACGCCAGAGTTTTTTGTTATTTTCATTGAACCATCTCCGTGACTTTATCGAAAGGCCCAAAGAATATACAAACTTGCATTTTAACCTTCAGCGTAAAAACAGATTTGACAAATAAACATATACAAATTTGCCCTTTGTTTCCCAGAAGAATGGTTGTCATAAGTTGTTTCTCGAAACATATTTTTGTATTCACTTGTCTTGTAATATTTCTCTCCTTCTATTAGCCTAAACATAACATTTGCCTCCTATAATTTACATAAATTGTCTACAATCGATGTCTGCGTACACGATTAGATGCATACATAGTGAACCTAAACATCAATCTTGAAAAAGTAGTGAAGTATCTACTGGCAAGTTCTTCTGCGTGTATTTTGCGTGCGTGTCAGGTCGGAAGTGGATGGCACACCGTTGGAGAATCACAGTGTCTATGGCAACAAGCCATCGTCCAAGCATCACGGCACCCATTGTAAGTTACTATAGAGTCGAGCTTGGGTATCCAATTATTTAAATAATTGATTGTCGGTTCGATTCCTTGACGAATCAGATTACACACAGTCGAGGAAGAAACGTAGCGCCACTGAATGCGAGGGGTGATGGGCGGATGCTTGGTGACTTCGTCATCGGCTGCGTTGCGTGGTACGTAGAGGAGGTATCCTGCACCCGGGAGTCTACACCAAATAGCTCTCGTCCCTTACAGTTTGTCCATTTTCTCACGGCGCTTTCACAGACTCTGAGGAGAGCATGCAGGATGACTCTATGGAGGGAGTCCAGTGCCCGAAAAAGCAGCAGCAGCACCACAAGAAGATCAGTGAGTGACGGCAATTTAGTATTTTTTCCCCAATTTTACAATCCAGGGAGTCGGAAATTCCATCTCCCAGTGAAGCCGGCAAAAGAATGGACATATATGAGACCCCCTTTCCCTCTTCAGTTTACGTTCAAGTACAATCGTGCTATGAATCTATTAAGATGTTTCTTTAACTTAACTTTCCTCTGGTGTTAACAGCAATGTCCTAGCCAACATTTATTACAGGAAGTTTATTTTATATTTGTCCACCGTATTAGTTATTTCTCTTGTCATTTTGATGACCCAGGCCACTCTTGTAAATGAGACTATCCTTGTCCCTTTCTTTCACCTGGTTAAGCAATAGACTTGAAACTTGTTCACCCTGGACAGTGTTGGCGGGGTCACGTGTGGCGATGTAAATTCTTGTTTCTCCCCAGCTCTTGCCGCTTGAAAGCGTAGGCCAAATTATACTCTAGAGCAGGCATGTCAAAAGTCCGGCCCGCGGGCAGATTTCATACGGCACGCAGCTTCGGTCTTATGATGTGTTATTTATGGCTCGCCAGCTCTGTCAGAATAAATACATCATAAAACTCATGGAAATTTAAGGTATTCTATACAGTTTGTTCAATGTTATCTGACTGAATGAAAGGCAGAATTGCGTTTTTAGAATTGTTGTCGTCTGCCTGAGTGGCTTATATTTGGTTACGTTGTCATTTGAAAAAGAAAGGTAATTGTGACAATGAAATAGTTTTATAGCAGTGTGTATTTCCACGTAACTTTTGTGGTTAAAAAAATGTCAAAAGGAACTATTGGCCCCCGGGCATCTTCACTTTATCAAATGTGGCCCTCTTTGCAAAAAGTTTGGACACCCCTGCTCTAGAGCAGCGGTCGGGAACCTATGGCTCGCGAGCCATATGTGGCTCTTCCGGTGACGGCATATGGCTCCCAGGCAATTTTTAGTTGAAAATAATAATAAAATCAGTTTGGAACTTGTGATATTGCTTAATAATACTGTGTCATTTTAAAATAAACAGAAATTAGTTTTGAAGATAAAATTTCTCGGGTCACGGGTCCCGTGACCAGAAGTCGCATTAATATACGTAAAAAATACTATATGGCTGTCAATGAAATATATTTAGAAATATTTGGCTTTTATGGCTCTCCCAGTCAAAAAGATTCCCGACCCCTGTTCGAGAGTGTGGGGGTTCTTTGTAGAGCTCTATTGTGAGGGCCCTTCCTTCAGCAGCCGTGGCGCGCGAGTGAAAAAGTAATGTCAGGGCTGCACCTTTTTCCTGTTACCTTATAACAGGGGTCGGGAACCTTTTTGACTGGGAGAGCCATAAAAGCCAAATATTTCTAAATATATTTCATTGAGAGCCATATAGTATTTTTAACGTATAAAATAAATTAAATATGTCCTACTTTTAATGCGACTTCTGGTCACGGGACCCGTGACCCGAGAAATTTTATCTTCAAAACTAATTTCTGTTTACTTTAAAATGACACAGTATTATTAAGCAATATCACAAGTACTTTAAAATCAGTTCCAAACAGATTTTTATTTATTTATTATTATTATTTTCAACTCAAAATTGTCTGGGAGCCATATGCCGTCACCGGAAGAGCCATATATGGCTCACGAGCCATAGGTTCCCGACCGCTGCCTTAAAACCACACGAGCTTGCCGCTGCTGAACTCGCCGTTTGTCCGCTTTCAGGGCTGCCGACAAACACTCCGGGCATGCGGCGGTCGGAGCGCACACGCGTACCCGCACTGAAATTCTGGGCTGGAGAGCGCATCAAGTACAAGCTCCGGCGATCAGGTGTGTGTATGTGTGCGTCTCTCTCGATCCGTACTGTAGGTCATTATTGGCAGGTGTGTGTCTTAATGCTGAGGTCTTTACATTCATTCTCTGGTCTGAAGTGGAATGGGTGACTCGAAGGTCCAGATTTCAGCCACTTGTAATTTAAATTGGAACCTCAAGGTTGGTAAGTTGAAGCTCTCAGCCTGGCCACCAATGGCTGCACAAGAAGCCCTGTACATTAACTTTAGTTCCACGCTTAATTTGGTGAAATTCCAGCCCTTGAGAAATAAAATATCGTCGTGACTGTCACGCGACAAACTATACTTTCTGGAGTCGAGTGGACTGGAAAGTGCTGCGTCCGTACCAAGTGGACCAGAGTTTGCTTGTAGGGATCTCGGAGGTAGCTCTGTGGTAGTTGCTTCCGAGGTCTGTTTTCGAACACAACTGGTAGCAATACAATTGTGAGTGCCAAATAAATTATTTCAGTTTCATTTATTTGGTATAGCCCTGTGAGCCAAATGAATTATATTTCACATATCACGACATAGACGGCACAGTCGGAATAACACTGTCGGAAAATTTAAAAGTATATATTGTATCGGGTACAGGTCTTCACCAATGCTGTGGTGTCCTTACCATTGTCACTGTCTCCAGCGTTGGGTCTTTTTCTGCGTATTTCGCTACTGACGGCGTGGTATATAATTCTAAGTTTATCTTGCTTAGCCAGGTGACAACTCAAGACACCACGATTAGTCTTGCAAACGTGACCTGGGGAATTTAGGCTGCCAATAGGGGGGCGATGATTGCTATTTATAGTAACCGGGGCGGCTGCTGGATTCGAACCAGTGAGCCTGCAACTAGCGGTAAACACGCTACCGCAAGGCAATGTCGCTGTCCATGTAATGGTGACCACCGCCAACATTTGTATAAGTTGTCAAAATGCTATTTGCGAAACACGTTGGTGTGGTGATTTTGTGTGCGAATGTATGTCGCAGGTGGGTTTCTAGTATCAGGAATCATCTCTCCAGAGCAGGTGAACCCCCAACAGGCCCAGAGGAAGAATATGAAAACCAACATTCGTAGACCGAAGAACCCACGGGTCACGCCATTCTCCGTTTCCAGCGACCACAACGCCAACCTACCAGGTATCTTTGCCGATGAGCTTTTCAGAGTACTGCGTAAAATAGCCAAACTGCCACTAACTACTGTGCTGGTAGTGGAAATGGTCCGTCTGCTACTGTTGCTGAAGGTGATGCTGCTGGTGTTCTTGCTTTGGTAGTGCAAATAGTGTCGGTGCTGATGATAATGATGGTGGGAGTGCTGGCGATGGTGGTGATTGGTGCTGCAGATGGTGGTGGTGGCGAGTTTCTGTTCGCTGTGACGTCGGTTCAGTTGAGTAACCGCATATCTCGTCTCCTGGGTCAGTGAATCTGTCGATCCAAACGGAAGACATACCGGAGGAGATGGACCTCGCGGACTTTAATGAAGGCACACCTGTGCAGGGTCTCAACGAGAACGAAGAGTTCGTCATGGGTGAGTGGTCCAGCCCTTGGCGGACAGTAACTGTGGCGGAGAAGAGTTGGATGGGAGAGGAGAGGCAGGAGAGTGCATGGATGGGATAGCGAGTGGAGGGGAGTAGTGTGAGATGGGAAGCGAGAGTCATGTAGGGGGAGAGAGATGAGTGGAAAAGGTAGTGGAGTGAGCTGCAGGGAGGGAAATGTGGATTGATTGTGGTTTTGAGTTTTTCATTTTTTTAGAAGGTAAATCATCGAAACACATGAAGTCCATAAGTGCAATTACTTTGTTTCATCAAACCTAAGTATTTATTAACATGATAGCCTTTTGATTTAAAGCTTTCGTGACTGCAGGGATTCATATTCTTGGTTCTTTCGGTAAAGTCACGTAGAAGGGAAACAATAAAATATTATTTTAAGAATATGATAGCCTTTTTAATGATTGAGAACCAAAGGGGGGTACAAGGCTGCAGTAAAAGTTAAGAACCACTGCTTTAGCATAAAGTTGTTGTTGCTTTTAGGGACTTGCCCTATAGAAAATCCAAAACTTCGGAGACCCCAAACCACTGTCAAAAGGACTTCGCTTGGGACCCCCAACTGCATCCCACACTGACAAACTCCCAATGGCAAACTGCATGGGGCGGCCTGCTGTACCAAAAAGAAATGTGCGTTACTTGGAATGTGGATAGCGTTATTAAAGAATGAGAAATTAGGATAATGCAAAAATGCAAATGTTATGGGGGGGAAAAGAAGAGGTTATTACCAGTGGAATGGTGTCATGGTTACTACCCTGGGATTGCTATGCTGCGGTTGCCGATTCCGTCTCCTGTTGTGGAAGTTGAAACAATGGGAAAGTTTATTAAATGTTCCACCTCTGTCCATCCGGTAGTATAAATAGCTACACCACAGTCGAAATGGTTGGTCACGTGGTGGTCGGGTCAAGCGAGTACGCCCACCCTTTCTTATTACAAGGCCTCTGGCCACTGTGAAAGAGGTCACCATTCTTTATTGTAGAGGGGCTCCCTATAGCTTCCTCAAGTGAAAGCCTTTCCCCAAGCAGTGACATGAGCTTTCATTCTGGCATGCCGCCCTGGGTAATACTGTGGGGGGGTGTATCGACCATAAAAATACGTGGCGTCCGCTTAGCCTGGCGGTGGCGACGGGTGCTTGTAATCGAGCACTGTAGAGACCGAGGGTTGGTGGCTTACGTGAACGTTGCGAAACTCCCTTCCCTTGGGCGTCGAGATGCCCCCATGCCCTGGCTCGCCGGGAGAAGGCAACGCAACGCAACAAATGTGGACTAAAATTGTCTGTCCTGTCTGCGGGGGATTTCTCCTCTGGGTGCTCCGGTTTTTTTTCTTCCCCCCACACGCGTATAAACACTCATTCACTGGGTGAAAAAACATCCTTACATAAAAACATAAAAATTACTCCTTTCGCTGAATGTGGCTTCCTAGGTCAATCATGAATTATTATTCAGAGTGGACGTTCAAGATCCCCTTGTAACATTCGACAACGTCGTGTGCCGGGCATCGTGGTCTAAATTTGCCAAATCTGAAATATGGCGTAGCACGTAGCAATCATCGGTCCCCTTACTGGCAGACTGCTCGTTCCTTTGATCTCTTACCACATTCGGGGGATGTCCGTTGTGCGCGAAGACTGCGTGCGTACGCAGGACATGTGCGCGTACCTGGGACCCCACCGGCAAGCCCTGCAGCCCACGGACGCGTTGGGTGTGTGGAAGGCACTGAGTCAACCCACGTTCGCCTGCGGCTACTTCATCCTGCGACCACAGCAAGAGAAGGGGCTGCAGTACGTCAACATGGACACCATGGTGAGCATTGGCATGGCGACTCCCCCCCCTGTCGTCGCGCTCTGCTGCTCCTCCCATGTGCCTGTCCCCTCATCGCACTCCTCTCCAGGGGCCACTCTCCTACCTCTCCTGAAATGGTGCCGTGGTGTTAACAACCTTGCCTGGTATACAGGAGGCCATGGGTTCCATCCCCCAACCCTTGACGCCTGTTGTATATTTGAAGTTAGCATGTTCTCCCCGTGGTCACGTGGATTTTTTTTTCCGGGTCCTCCGGTTTTTCCCACCACATTTAGAATGGACATGCGTTTAAAAGATTTGGTTGCTATAAATGTCCATATGATAAGCCACTACATTTTTAGCTATCAATTGTGGCCAGGTTGCTACTGAAAGAGCTACATCGCTCAGTGGACCTTACCTAGTAAAATAAAAAAAGTTTATTACAGCGTAACTATGCAAGGGTTTTAGTTATGAAAATGTAAACAATGGATTTCTACATTGTGCGATGTATAAATGCTTTTCTCACAATGCAACACGAGAAAGAATATTAACGACTCTTGCACCTTAACGGAAATGAATTGCGTGCAATGTTTTCCTCTGCAGCTGTTCAACGTCATACAGGGAAAAGTTGCCATTACCATTCACAACTCCAACTACATCCTGCAGACTGGAGACATGTTTGTTGTACCGCCCGGTAAGAGTCACTTCACTCAAATAGATTCGACAGTTTTACAGCAGGAGTGCAGAAGCCATGGTCCAGAAACCACCGAGTTTTTGAAAACGAATTTCTTTCAAAACTGCTTTATGTATTGAGTTTGTTGTCCTTCCTTCCCGCCCCGCACACCTGATTTAGCACTACCCACTGTCATCATTCGCTGGCAGCATTTCAGATATGAACCAGACCTGTAGCCGCCCCACCGGCTCAGCAACCTCGACATGAACATAGATATTGCCGATAAACTCCACACTGTACGAAAGTGGAATATGTATGTTTAAACTCGTGACGTTTGTGCCCCCGTGTCTAATGCCCGCGCTGTCCTCTTGTGGCTACCGGTCCCCCCCCCCTCTTCCGCAGGTAACGTCTACAACGTTCGCAATCTACGTTACGACCAAGCCTCATTGTTTTTCACACAAATCAAGGGAAGTCAGCAGAAAGGCGTCGCTGTGTCATCACAACCTCCTGGCAAGGGGCAACAACACCGTCACCACCACGCGTCTCCCCACAAATAGACTGACTAATCGAAGTAATTTGTCATTAATTGTGATCAGGATCGATTGTCAATTTCACAAGTCAAAAGCATCAACGATGAAACTGTTTGAAACATGCCAACGTTCACACCGCCGTGCCGTGTTCTGTTTATTGTTAGGTGTTTTGCTTTTTAAAGGATGTTTATTTGTGCTTATCAATAAAGATACATTTTAATAAAGCTAGTAAAAAATGCGCTTAGTTTTAACTCGACATGATTTAAAGCCCAAGGTGTCAAAGTGTGCCACATTTTTTATGCGTATTTCACATTTTTCAATTTGGATGCACACAGTATTTAATAAGCATTTGGAAATGTTGTGAAATCGTTTTTGAATTGTAACGACTAAGCGAGGCTGTAAATAAAGCTAGCCGTGTGTGTGTACTTGTGCATGCATCACAACTTTGCCTGTCAATTTGGCTTTTAGAACATTGCACGTGTGTAATTTTTTCTGGTCCTCTCTTTTAATGCAAATGGAATTTGTTTTCCATTTGTTGCTGCGTAGAATGAGTGTGGAGCGGTGTTGTAGCGGTTAGCGCGCGCTGCGCTACGAACCCGGCGACCCGGCCAACACCAGGTGACGATTATCTGAACCGGTCCTAGGCCTCCCCTTTGTCGACTCAGCCTCAAATGAGTGCCTGGTGCGGTGTGTAAACGTCGCCACTGGGGAGACGAAGGCGACTGTGTGGTGTTGGTGAACCCACCCCCACGTGTGCCATCCCAGCCTTCATCGATGCTCGCTAAGACACTTGCCCCAACAGTCTGTAAAGGCTCTGAACCTTATGGCGGTACCCCCCGGGGTACCATAGCACCTCGGCTCTCGCATAATGTCCGTGATGCCGTAATTTTTAGTCTGTTGGTCGGTGATGTGGCAATCGACCCATCTTAACGAGCTGTACACGTTGCACTACGGTGCACACGAGCGTTCAGGGTTTCGGCGCAATCGTCCACGCTGCGTTTCGACATTGCGGAGTAGCACCGATGTCGGATCGATTGGTACCCCAGTCGCGGAGTTGAGTACACCCCTAGAAAAAAAGTCCCAGAAATCAAATATTTTATTGCCTCGGCCATTTTGTATTATTTGGTACCCGGGGTACCGCCATAAGGTTCACATGGGGGATTGTTGTTTAAACATCTGCATAGAGCAAACCATCATATGTAAAATAAGTATCACAAACGCTGCACCACTTAATCTGCAAATGCTAGTTTCACAAGTGATAATCCACTTTTGCAGCTGCACGTTTGAGCCATGCAAGCATGACATGGCTAATTTTTCCATTGGCAATTTACCAAGATTGGGCAAAACCCAAAGTGTGATCTGCTGGCCTCTCAACACATCCGAGTGGCTTGGGTTCAAGCCACGCTTGGAGAGACTCGTGACGCGTGTAACGCGTCTGATGTCGCTCTGTACAACTCTTAACGCAGCCTCATCCACACGTGACGTGACAAATTGCGTGTGATCGTGGCATGGCTCTGCTTGGGCAGTGTAAAAGCAACGAGCGCTCTCTGACCCACGCTGCTGGCCTGCCTCTGCAGTGCGGAGATGTGCAAGTAGACGTATTTGTATGATGGACTGAGTTAAAATGAGCATAATTACGTAATATAACACTTTCAAAAGTGGGGATTGTTGATTGTGCAGACGTGGGTGAGGAGAGACTTGCAGGGCTGGGCCGGGTGGCCTATCGAGAAAAACTGTCCATAAAATAGGTTGGCTGTTTTGAATGAGTTCTTTGTAAATATTGGATAAACGTGTATGTCTATAGATTCCATTACACCCATATGGTTAGTATTCTTCGTTTTAAAGATGCAGTTGTGATTTTGGAAGCTCCGCTGTTTCCTCGGTGCTCGGGATGTGTTTCCGATTTTTTTAGACGAATACAAATCGGACTCTGATCATCAATGTTTGGACGGTCCAACAATTGTTGTTTTGGATTGATATGTCGCATGAAATGGCATCATTTTCGTTGCTCTTCTTGCTGGCAGAGTGAGTGGCGGTGGAAGCGACGTCACTATTGTTAGCACGAAAAGATACCTTGGTGATTGTGTTTATGATGTATAGGAGCCGAAAACATGCCTCCGTGGAGGAGTTTTGTATTTACTTCGGACGCAAAAAGCATATTTTTGTATTTAGCGAACCTGTCGTATTTTGAAATAAAAGGGTGTATACAATGCCTTTTTGATTGCAGCTTCTGACCGTTTGTGTTTTTCATTAACGCGATGTCGTCGTGTTTCGTCTTGGCAGCAATTTTTTAAGATTGCTCATTCCGCTCTGCTGACACCGTCGTCTGAGACTTTTTTGGCAATGCTTCGTACGTATTTTTATCGAAAAATTCACGTGAATTGATGCAACATTACAATGAAATTTTAAACATCTATAAAGTATTGACATTTTTTAAACAAGTGCAAGCATCATTGGAACCTCACTTTCCAGTAAAAATATGATAATTGTTTTTTTACCCTTCTATCTGGCAACAAAACTGACACCTTTTTTACAAGGAGTCATGTTTACATAGACCACAATACCTGCAGTCATAATGCAAACAAAAAACACAACTCTGATAATGTGCACTGTCCTTGAAGTTGATCGGTCAATCAAAAAACAACTGATAATGTGCACTGTCCTTGAAGTTGATTGACCAATTAACTTCATTATCAACTTCAAGGACAGTGCACATTATCAGTTATGTTTTTTTTCATTATGGCTGCAGGTAAAAAACCAATTATCAAGTGCAAGCATTTACATTTAATGCAATATACAGCAAATGTATTTAATTCGTTTGACTCGCTGCCCCCACCCCATCATGTACTGCGAAGTACAAAAACTTGACGGGAAAGCGACGAACTGCCGTCGGTGTGCAAGTGACCTGAAGCGAATCCCTGAATGGGTAACTCATTCCCCACGACTTTGCTTCAAATAGAATTCTGTCAAGTGCAGAGATGGGTACCAACTGGGTGCCTTTATTTTAGATTTGAGAACAGGATTCAAACTTGGGCAACAATTTGAACCTGATGGCAGGATCCCATAAGCCCCCGGCTCTCGCACAAACTGCGTTGCGACGTTCATTTGTACAGCAGCGGTAATGATCCGAAGTTCGCGAAAGGCTTTGGCATTCAAAAATAAATAAAACAAGTCACGCTTCTTCGATGCCTCCTTGAGTAACGCAGCCATTGCTTTGATTCTTTCCTGAGAAAATCGGCAAACCCCAAATTGTTGAATGTGGCTAATCATTGGCTTGACCGTGGTGAAATACCACCACCACTTCGTGAGCGCTTGGCAGAACATCGCTCCCTCTGACCATAGTCGTTGCGTGGCTGTAGGGATTTGTAACACGTTGGGGTGTTTGTGAATTCTACCACGTGTCTTGGCATTTCAATCCACGCGCGGGGAGATTCTTTCAGGAGCTAAATTTAACTTCTGAACGTTGAACATCGCGGCGAGCAAACACGTGGTGCACAACTTAAAAAACATCTTGGTTTTTTCGGTAAAGTCACGTAGAAGGGAAGTAATAAAATAATAAAACGTTATATATAAGCTCCTAGCTTGGCAGTCTCATTCTTCACCTGAAGACGGCTGCTTGCGTTGTAGCCGAAACGTCGTGAGAATTATTTTATGTTTTATTTTTATTATTTTATTACTTCCCTTCTACGTGACTTTACCGAAAAAACCAAGAAGCTGAATCCCTGCAGTCACGAAAGCTTTAAATCGAAATTTAACTTAAAAACAGCACAACCGTGAAAGAAAATGTTAAGATAACGGGAGGGCGGACTTAAATCTTGCCACACGATGTCCTTACCCCGCACCTCCGATTGGCGAACGTGCGGTGTGAAAGAAGTTCAACGCGATTTAAAGCTTTCGTGACTGCAGGGATTCATATTCTTGGTTCTTTCGGTAAAGTCACGTAGAAGGGAAATAATTAAAGCGATCGCCATCCTCTTTCCCTCCCGATGACGATCGCTTGTGTTGTGATCGAAACGTCTTGGTTTTTTGTTATTTTCTTTGAACCATCTACGTGACTTTACCGAAAGAACCAAGAATGTAAGGTCAACGTGCATACACTGCGTGGCAATGGGGCAGGCAGGGGGGTGGTGGTTCTGGTTTGCGGTTTGTTACAGCACTTTGCCAAAATTCATGCCTGGGCTACCAGGCTGCATTCCCGGTATACCAAACATTGATTCGGGAATCGAACTTGGGTGACCTGGTTCGTAGGCGCAGCACGCTAACCGCTACACCAGGGGTCGGGAACCTTTTTGACTGGGAGAGCCATAAAAGCCAAATATTTCTAAATATATTTCATTGAGAGCCATATAGTATTTTTAACGTATAATAAATTAAATATGTCTTACTTTTAATGCGACTTCTGGTGCTGCATGGTTTTGCTGATGGCCTTGTAGTCTGGTTCGTACGTGGTGAGGTTGAGCTTCATGCAGGCGTGACCCGTGAAATTTATCTTCAAAACTAATTTCTGTTTACTTTTAAATGACACAGTATTATTAAGCAATATCACAAGTATTTTAAAATCTGTTCCAAACTGATTTTTTTTTATTTTTTTCAACTCAAAATTGTCTGGGAGCCATATGCCGTCACCGGAAGAGCCATATATTGCTCGCGAGCCATAGGTTCCCGACCGCTGCGCTACACCATAACTAGAAATAAAAAGATCCCCCGTATAGCCTGAACAGACTGTCGGGGCAAGTGCTGTAAGCGAGCACCGAATAAGGCCGGTACGGCACACGAGGGGGTGTGTGGTCAGCACCACGCCCGGCCGCCTTTGTCTCCCCAGTGGCGATGTTTACACACTGCACCAGCTACTCATTTGAGGCTGTGTCGACCTTGGGGAGGCCCAGAACCGGTTTAGATAATCGTCATTGGTGTTGGCCGTGAGTGGGAATCGAACTTGGGTCACCATACACCACCACTACCAACAGTATCCCACCACGAAGGGGCCGTCCATAAATGACGTCACGCACCTAGGGGGGGGGGGTCAGACATTTGTGACGATGTGTGACGAGGGGGGGGGGGGTGAGAAATGTGACGTCACATCAAAATACGCAACTTTAAATAAATATAGACAACACGTTCTACTTAATTAAATAGACTTTTTAATAAATGTTTTCTCCTACAACATCAGAGTGCAACGCCGCATTAAATACGCACTACAATGACAATAGTTTAAAGCGATTTTAAGCATATTTTATTTTGGGGGGGGGGGGCAGAGTTTTGTGACGTCATATTTGAGGGGGGGGTCTGACTTTTTGTGACGCCGTGTAACGAAGTGGAGGGGGGGGGCAAAAATCGTCCATAATCGCGTGACGTCATTTATGGACGGCCCCTATAATGTTGTTCCTACGGATGCATTGTTTCCCTCCCCCGCAGAATTATCCGTGACACGTGCGATCTCTCAGCGCGGCACTTTTAAATGATGGGGGGGGGGGGCAATAGTTTTTAAATCCTTCATATTAAGTTCACTTGCTTGCGTGCTTGCTTGCTTAGGACCGTGCAAATATTTCGGTCGTTTTTTAACCCACTTCCCGTGATCCAATCGAGCTGACATTTTGCACACGGACTCGTTGTGCGTGACAATTAATGTTCGTGAAAATTTTTTTCCAAAATTTTACACTTTTTAGGACAAAATATTATATTTAATTACCAATTGCTTAATGCTGGCAGACAATCATCTGACCCATAGGTGGCAGCCATCTCAAGCCAGAGGACGAGAGGACTCTAGCCGCCACGCATATAAAGGATTTATAGTGAAAAACTTTGTTTTTACGGGTTATACTTGTTATAGTTATCAATTTGTGTGTGTGTGTATCACCTCCGCAGTATACGTGGGTACACACGACATCTGTTGAAGCGGTGTGTTCCATGCGGTGGGGTAAGATGTGGGTAGGAAGGCGAGGCTGGAGGAGGGATGAGGGGGGGTATAGGAAGGAACTAAGGACTAACCATTGTTTTCTGTCCGACTCGTCTATCCTGCGGTTGCCACCCGTCCCGGCTTTTTCCGGGACAAGTCTCGTACGATGGCATTCGGGAATAGAATCGCTGTATGTGTTTTCTAACACCGAAACGCGGCGGCGCTCGCGTTCAACTTTGTTGTGGTTGTTGTTGTGGTTGTTGCTCAGCGAACTTCCCCGATGCCGAGCGGACGCGGGCCGATTTAACAAACCAAAAATAACCCGTCCGCGTTTTGTTGCGACGGGACGGGCGGAGATGGTGATGGTGGTGGTGGAAGGTGGCAACAGCGCACCGCTCTTACCCCCCCCCCCCCAGTCTCTCACCGCCAGCGCTCCATCTCCTCCCGGACGTGCGTCACGGCGCTCCCAGCGAGCGCTCCTCGCTCTCGACTCAAGCGGTGCAGTAGCACCACCAGCACCACCATGGCCGGAGTCAAAGGTATTTGTCGGTGTTAGGGGGGGGGCTGACCGGGGGGGGGGGGGCTGAGCGGGGGGGGCTGAGCGAGGGGGGCTGAGCGCGGGGGGGGGGGGGGTGAGCGCGGGTTTTGGGGGTGCGCGTGGGGTGGGGGGCGCTTGTGTCTCACGGAGAGAAGAGACGACGACGATGTTTTGGGGGGCTGCAGAAGGAGTGTGTGGGGGGGGGGGGGCTATCCACCCATCGCTGTGGGTGGGGTTGACGGATCACGCGACGATCGCAGGAGCGAACCACCGCGCTGGGGCAAGTCGACAAAGGGGGGGGGGGGGGGGGGGGTTTGGTCACTGTCGGCGTGGCTTTTGACAGCTCGGAACAGCTGATCGCACGTAACGGGGGTGTTCTTTTTCTCTCGTCCGCTGCTAGAGAAGGGTACAACCGGTGGGAGATGGAGCGATGATCTCTCTCTCTGTGTGTGTGAGTGTGTGGGTCGTAAGTGGCGGCGGTGGTGGCTTGGGAAGGTCTTCGTCCAGCAGTGGATTGACCATGGCTGATGACGATGATAGCGTTTCTCCCCCCCCCCCCCCTTTCTCTCGGGTTGTGGCGCTTCGGGGAGATGTTCAGAGTCAGCGCCGCGATTTGGAGTAGCAGAGCGAGGTTTTGATCGCCTCGCTTCTGCCCCTTTGTTTTGTATCGCTTGTGGAGGAGGGGGGGGGGGTTGTTTTTCTTCCGAAAGTTTTGGCCGCCCGACGTTCGCTTGTGTGAATGCCGTCTGTAATGTAGGGTCCTTCCCAAAACAATGTTAAACTTCTGAGAATTTGCAACAATATCACGAGAAATTTGCCTCCTCCGGGATTTTGGAGACCAGGCAATGCGTTGACAACGATGGCGAACGAGTGGAGACTTTTTAACTTTTTGAAGCTGTTAACATTACATTTGTTTTTCAATTTAAAGCTTTCGTGACTGCAGGGATTCATCTTCTTGGTTCTTTCGGGAAAGTCACGTAGAAGGGAAATAATAAAATAATAAAAATAAATCAAAATAAAACATAATAGAATTGTATTTTATTATGTTTTATTTGTATTATTTTATTATTTCCCTTCTACGTGACTTTCCCGAAAGAACCAAGAATATTACATTTGTTATCATGTTACCGTGTAGTATTATCCGTTCTTTTAACATAAAAAACGATAGTTCCATATGAGTGTTAACATTTATTTTGGAGCACCCGTATATATATGGCACGATTTGCTCAGCACAAAGGGCCATGGCGCCAAGTGACCAGCAACAGACAGCGCTGTTCAAAGTTGTGAATTGTGTTGCGGGCTTCGAAGAACTTTGGTCGATGAAACGACGACGATGATGATGGGAGGAGGAGGGGTGACGTGCGGTGTGGTGAGTGGGTGGGTGAGTTATTGGGTGAGTTGTTGGGTGATTGGGTGGGTGAGTGGGTAGGTGAGTGAGTGAGTGGGTGAGTAGGTGGGTGAGTTAGTGGGTGAGTGGGTGGGTGAGTTATTGGGTGGGTGAGTGGGTGGGTGAGTTATTGGATGAGTGGGTGGATGAGTGGGTGGGTGAGTGGGTGAGTGGGTGGGTGGGTGAGTGGATGGGTGAGTTATTGAGTGAGTGGGTGGGTGAGTGGCTGGGTGGGTTATTGGGTGAGTGAGTGGGTGGGTGAGTTATTGGGTGAGTGGGTGGGTGGGTTGGTGAGTGGGTGGTTGAGTTATTGGGTGAGTGGGTGGGTGGTGAGTGGTGGTGAGTGGGTGGTGTGTGAGTGGGTGTGAGTGGGTTGAGTTACTGGGTGAGTGGGTGGGTGGGTGAGTTATTGGGTGAGTGGGTGAGTGAGTGTCTGGGTGGGTTATTGGGTGAGTGAGTGGGTGGGTGAGTGAGTGGGTGGGTGAGTGAGTGGGTGGGTGAGTGAGTTATTGGGTGAGTGGGTGAGTGAGTTACTGGATGAGTGGGTGGGTGAGTTATTGGGTGAGTGGGTGGGTGTGTAATTGGGTGAGTGGGTGGGTGTGTTATTGGGTGAGTGGGCGAATTATTGGGTGAGTGGGTAGGGTGAGAATGGTGCTGGCCCACCCACCCCCCCGGGTGCCCGCCGGCCTCCATGTGCTCGATAAACAGCACTTGCCCCAACGATGTGTTAGGCCTACACGGGGGATCTTTGTCTTTGTAGTTACGGTGTAGCGGTTCGCGTGCTGCGCTACGAACCCAGCCACCCAAGTTCGATTCCCGCTCACGGCCAACACCAGTGACGATTATCGGAAACCGGTGCGCTGTGTAAACATCGCCACTAGGGAGACAAAGGCGGTCGGGCGTAGTGTTGGCCACCCACTCGCGTGCCACAGTGCCGGCCTTCATTGGTGCTCGCTAACAGCACTTGCCCCAACGGTCTGTGAAGGCTACACGGGTGGCATCCTCGCCGCGCGTGCGGATTGGGAAGCGTAGGTTGATCGATTCGCATCGATTGCCCCGTGATGACCATCGCTGCGCCATTCGTTTCGACAGAATGCGAAACACCAACCCGTGCCCCCCAGAGTCACGTGACACGGTCATCGCCACCGTCGTCATTTCGCCAAAACCGTTTGTTGGTGAAACAAAGAAACGGGAAACGCGCGCGAATTGTGTTTTAAATAACTAATCATGGTTACACCAGCCCACAGGGGATTATTGTGTCCGTCGTGCAGGGAGGGGCTGGGTGGGGAGGGGTTGGGTGGGGAGGGAGGGTGGGGAGTGGCTGGGTGGGGAGGGTGGGGCTGGGTGGGGGGTGGGAGGGGTGGGGCTGGGTGGGAGGGGTGGGGCTGGGTGGGGAGGGGCTGGTCACCCCGTGGTGCCCTTATAAAACTCAACGTTTAACCTACTCACGCCGGCTTGTGCCCGCACTCACAGTCGGGCATATTTGTGGAATACACCACGCCGCCGTTGACCCTGGACATTGACCGAGCAACCCAACGTTCCTACCAGCTCCCTCCGCAGGAATGTGTTTATATATTTTTCTCCGTGGATTACAGATCATAGGTAAGGTTATAAGAACGTATTTTGTATCAGAGAACCAAGGCTGTAATTATAATATATATTGGGGGGGGGGGACACACACAACCCCCCCCCCCAATATTCAAACATGCTCCAAATGTCCCGCTCCATAATATTTATATAAAATAGATTTATATTTATATGATTGTGGTTATGGTTGTACTTTATGAATCCCTAATCTCTGCCATTACAAACAATGAAACAAGAAAAGGTAAAAAAGAAAAAAAACAGAGCAATGTAATAAAATACACTATTAGACATTGTTGTAAAACATAAATAAAAAGTCCATCCTCTGTGTTATTAATTTTTTAAAATATTTTAGGCAGAAAATGGCATGAAAGTCGTTTTCAAATGTAGATTTTTTTTTTTTTCTGGGGGAGCACTCCCAGACCCCCTGAAAGATTTGCCCCCCCCCCCAATGTTTACTCCATGGCTAGGGCCTTGCAGAGAACATCAGTCTCAGGGGTAGAAGGGGCAGGAGGTGTCGTGATGGTCACGAACCGCGACAGGAGAGGCAGCCCCCCCCCCCCCCCCCCCGCGAGAGTACGTCTAGCGGGGAGACGGAGCGGCGGAATCGGCTCGGCGAGAGAAGGGCACAGACACAACGGAGAACTGCGGTGGATAACGCAAAGAACGCAGCTGAGAAACGTCGTTTGCATTGGAGCCCCCCCCCCACGTGACGCTAGAGCCCCCCCCCACGTGTCGCTAGAGCCCCCCCCCCCCACGTGACGCTAGAGCCCCCCCCCCACGTGTCGCTAGAGCCCCCCCCCCCACGTGTCGCTAGAGCCCCCCCCCTCACGTGACACTAGAGCCCCCCCCCCACGTGTCGCTAGAGCCCCCCACGTGCTACACTAGAGCCCCCCCCCCCACGTGACGCTAGAGCCCCCCCCATCACGTGACACTAGAGCCCCCCCCCCCCCCACGTGACGCTAGAGCCCCCCACGTGCTTTTCGACACCACCGGCAACCCACCCTGGACAACGCTGCCTGGCCACTGGGGGCTGCATTGGCGGGGGGTGGTGGTGGGGGGGGGGCTGCGTTTAGGGGGGGGGGGTTGGTAGAGGGGGGGCTTTGGAGGGGGGGGGGCGGTGAAAGGGGGGCGGAGCGATTGTCACATTCTCGCGATCTCCATCCCCCCCGTTACCTGCATCACAGCCACACAGCAGTGGCTTTGATGGGAAGAATCACTTTCATTGCGTCTAACGTGGGACCCCTTGCGGCGGGGGGGGGGGGGGGTCCCTCCCGGGGGGCCCGCCCCGTGCACAGTGGGAGACCCCCTAGAGACCCTTAGAGACCCCCCCCACACCCTCCTCTCCCCCGAGAGACCCCCAGTTGATTGAGAAGCGAGAATGGGACCCTGAGCCCGTGCAACACAATGGGTGGCCTTGAAGACCCCCTTGGGGGGGGGGGGCAAAGCAGTGGGGGGAGGAGGGGAACCCCCGAAGTCAAACAAGGGGGTACTTTGTTCCCGGTCTGAGCGTTTGGGTGACGTGACCCTGGGTGGTGAGTGGCCCTCACAGGGTCCCCTTTGTACCCCCTTCTCTCGCCCCCCCTACCAACCTCCCCCCCCCCCATTTCCTACGACAACTCACAACCCCCCCCCCTCTACACGTCATCAGCGATTGGTGGTTCCGCAATTGCGGGCAGGCCGTGTGCGTGCAA